GGGGCGGGATAAGCGCAGTAGCCCTTCGTGCTAGGCCTAGGTCGGGCTTCATATGTTCCCAGTGCCATTGCCCTGGCCCCTCGGTGGCTGCCGGGATCGCGTGGGAGCAAGGTATGGGGGTAGCCCAGAAGGGCGGACGAACGACAGGGGTGCAGGGATGCAAGGGAAAAGAGAAAGACATGGAGGGTACAACGATGAAGCCTCAAATGGTGGGGGAGTGCGAAGTCTCACTGTTCCGGGGCAATTTTCGCCGATCCGGGGCATTGGTCGGCAATCACTAAGATTACCATTCGCCAATGGAATGCAAGGAAAATCACCACCCGGCAGCCCGGGGTGGTTTCCGGATTACACAGTGCGAATAGGATGGAAATTTCACTCCAGACACGAAGAGCACCAGGCAGGCTACAGGGATGATCTGGACCCCAGTAGCGTGGGGGTATACTGACCTCCACGAAAGCCCGATGGACCCCTTGAGGATTTGCATAGACCCCCTTCCCCCATCCTAGGGGCTCTGACCGCCAGTCATTGGCCAGCGCAATTATAACGAAGTACGGAATACGTTGTAAACCTCGTAGTTACAGAAAGTATCTAGTATTCTCGCGATGGAATTCTCTCTGGTGGCTTTGCCTCGAAAAGTTGGTTTTCTCGTCACCTCGTTTTACCAATTGTCAAATTACAGAGAACGGAGTACTAAGATAATTACTAATACATGGATAGGTACCTAATAAGGCAGTTACGTTCTGGATACGGAATGCGGCCTTTGATTGATCCAAAAAAAAACCCCATTACATCATTCAGTGGACTTTTTAGCACGAGGTACATGCTGCAGTTGTATCCGTCGACGAGCCAGGAGCAAGAAAATAGACGCGAGACTTCCCTGTTCCGTCAGGACCCGGACCTGTGACGATGTGGACATGTCATAACCAAAGATCATTTTATGGTCTAGGTATGTCCGGTTTGCCTGGCGTCGGTTGGATTGGCCTTGGCAACTTGCCCCATCTCCGATATGCCGCAATCACATATCATATAATTATTGTATCGGTATGCAAGGCTCATGAAACTAAAACGCCTACTGGCGCCTGTTTGTTGAACTGGCGGGCGGCTGTTTTCTATTTTTCTGTTCTCGACCAACCTCGCGCCATCCGATTTCCTTGGTACTGAAGTGGCTTGTGTGGCTGTCAGGGTCACTACCTAACCCGTGCCCTACCTTAACGGAAAGTCTTGGGTGTCGGCAACGTACCCTGTCAAAAGTTACCTGATCTGCCTACCTAGGTAGCTGCATCAACATTGGGGAGTTCTACTGCCATCAAGTCAAGATCGCGCATCCAGAGCATACTCGAAGCAACAGCCTGACAACGAGAACCGTCTTCGTGACCAAAGAAGCCTCGGCATAGAATAGGAATATGAAGGGGAATAAGGGCCTTTCGGAGGTATCACTTCTCTCTACCGAGGCATGGCTGTGATAAAGCGCTACGACTAGGAGTATGTAAGCTCTGCGTTATTTCGGTTATGGCCTCGGAAAGGGGGGCTGAAAGGAGGCCTCCACCTATAGAGGAATCAACATCCCTTGTTGCGAGGAAGGGAGACTCCTCGTGCAGCTATCCGTGTAGGTACCTAGCATTCACCTCCATATTTCCCGATGCATGTTCTCATTTGTACCCTCACACCATTGCTTTCCATGGGTCCTCACTTAAGTCGCGAATTTTAAAGTACCGCTTCGTCGAAACCAAGCAGACCTGAGGATTTACAACGTACTTCGTGGTGACAATTGTGTATCGAGGATTCGAGACCCACTGACGGGACCAGGCTACAGCGCGTTAAGATTCAATTCACCAGCCAGGCCTAGGGGACTGCCGAGACAATACCAAGCATCTTAAAATGCCCGAGGTGGTCACGGGACTGTGAACATAAATCCCGCCTATGACATGCCCTGTCCAAGTCGAAGCCGATGAAAGGGCATATACGTTTTGGGCGTTCTGCACTCCGCACACTGCAAGTTGCAGGACACATATGTGCATCGGCTGAGACTCGTCACCCGCCGTTGGCAAAGGCCGGGTCACAGTCCATATCTCGGCCAAATGCACACAGTGCCTCATGCGACAGAACCGGCTTTCGGAAACGGATCCCGCCCGGGCATTGGACTTTCAAGGTAGCAACCCCCATCGCCGCCTATAGCCCACCACCACTGCGCGTACCCCATACGCATACTGCTTTTCAAGTTCATGGGGGTCATGGGAAGTGTGCTCGCGTAGTAGACCAAGGTAAAGCTCCGTCTGAAGCACACCAAGTGCCGCGAGGGACAGCGGTAAAGGGTGGTGTTGAGTAAGGGGTCGGGTCCAGCGAGCAGCAAGGGAAACGAAGATGTGGTGAAAACAGACAGACTGCATATCGTAGACAGGTAGGGGTTGAGTCAGTTGCCTGCCGAACTGTGCATGCCCCGCCTTACGGAGTGCGCGGCAAGAACTGGAGAATAAGACAAGAAGATACTTTGTGGATGCTAACAGGGCGGGGCATGTATCATAGGTACGCCATGGAGCGGTCAGCAGCATAGAATTTCCTCCTCCATCGGCCTCCCCTATTAAGGCCAATATGCATCGGTGATCCTCCCGCTGGCGAGCCTTGCAGATGGGACATGGGGCGTGGGACATACCGCCGTTATAGTCGGAGGGCAGTGAACCAGTCCCTCGAGATCACTCGAGGTTGAAGAGGTGGGACTGAAGATAAACGCGATAGAGCACGGAAGTCCCAGAGGTCGAGACATTGGCCCCTGTGTCGTCAGATCTTTGCAATTGCTGATTTGTGTTGCGATTCATGGGACAAAACAAGTTCTGTTTTTAACGCCCCCTAAAAATCCGGTGGCATTGATTATCCCCGCGATGTGGCTTGATGTAGGTAGTATCGTACCAGCCCAACAACGGGCGCTGATAGGAGATCGTGTGCATGGTGGCATGTACTTCCGTACAGAGATACATGATCCCGCTCAGCGATTCTCTGCATTTCGTAGCTCATAAAGGCCCCTGCTCATCGACTGAAAACATCTGTTGCGCTTCTGCTAGGTCCCGGTCCCTAGGTAGGCAAGTAGGCAAGTATGCAAGGTGTATTATAGACGAAAAAGCAGCCAGACAATTAGGCCAAAATAAATAGTATGGCTAGTGATTACCCCTCATCGCCCCATGCCGCTTAGGCTCGGGTTAGCCTCCTCTAACTGGCTGCCTGAGGAATAAGCGTGTACGGATACCTCGTCGCTCCTTTTTGTACTTCGTACTCTGTACCTTACCACTATCCGTATCCGTACATCGTAAGAATTTGCTGCAGGGAAAGATCCATCGAGACGGAGGAAAGAGCCAATGAGTTGGTCGAGTTCCAAAGTTGGTTTGCAACCGCCTTAACTGTAACCTCCTCCTTCCGTCCAAGGCAGGCTGCCATGTGGTCTCCAATCTTTGCTGCCCGGCTGTCACCCTCCATACGAGCGTTTAGCTTGAAATCGAGAACGTCGCCAGCCCTTCTAAACCCTCTCAGACTCACCCAGCACACGGTGCATACCCCCTTTACCCCCTTCCGAAGCAGCCGGAACGTACCACTGCAGCTGCAGACGTATGCCACTATGAACTCTCAGGAACTCGCACAGTACCTGGCCGATGCCCCGCCTACTGTCGTGCGCCTCGAGATTGAGAAGCATTTTGAGGCTTTGACGGATAAGCAGAAGCGATATGCGCATTTCATCAGCAGGTAAGGATCCGAGTCGCCCAGCTTAGGTGACAATGTCTCTATCCTGGCTCCGCCCGGCGTAGCAGGTCGCTAACATAGGATATTCATTCCCTAGGGCCTCACTTGCGGGCAATCGTATCGTGCTCCGCCAGGTCTCACCTGAGTCTGAGGACATCTACGACTTCATCATCAGCCTGCACAAGGCCTCGGGCGGTGACTGGGATGGTCTTGCTAAAAAGGCCGGAATTGACGAGACGCAACTCTCGCAATTCCTAGAGTACGCCGCTCAATTCCTCGGTAACAGTGGCAACTACAAGAGCTTCGGCGATTCCAAGTTCATCCCAAGATGTGATGAAAGCACATTCGCTGCGCTCGCCAAAACGAGCGCTGACGCCCAACGCTTCTACGAAGCGACCAAGGGTGCTATCTTCAGCGCCGATAAGCCTGGCTTGTTGCATCTCGGATACCCGGACAACGGCCACATGACGACGTATTACCCTGGCTCGCCGGACATCACGCAGTCCGAGATTGAGGCTGTGTCGAGTTGGATGGAGCAGAAGGGCCTATTGCCTGAGAACACCAGGTTGCACAAGACCCAGAACGGCGTCTATGAGATTCTCATCGCCTCGGCCATCACTAGCGTACCCCCCGAAGGCGGAGATATTGGCAAAGACACCGAATTTACCATTGATGATGGCGCGCTCAAGGGCAAGACGATCAGGCTCGTCTACGGCGACTATGCCGCTGAGATGAAGAACATCGCTAGTTATATCGCGAAAGCTCGCGAAAACAGCGACAATGATACCCAGACCTCTATGCACAAGGCATGTGCCAAGTCGTTCCACGACGGATCCCTGCTCACATTCAAGGACAGCCAGAGATACTGGATCCGAGACAAGGGGCCCATGGTGGAATCGAACATCGGATTCATCGAAACATATCGAGACCCGGCCGGCATCCGAGGCGAGTGGGAAGGGTTTGCTGCCATGGTCAACCTGGAACGGACTCGGGCTTTCGGCGAGCTCGTCAACTCTGCTCCATCTCTCATTCCTCTTCTTCCTTGGAGCAAAGATTTCGAGAAAGACAAGTTCCTGTCTCCCGACTTTACATCACTCGAGGTACTTACATTCGCCGGTTCTGGAATTCCCGCGGGAATCAACATTCCCAATTACGACGACATCCGGCAAACCGAGGGTTTCAAGAACGTCTCGCTTGGCAACGTACTCAGCGCCAAGGCGGCCAACGAGAAGGTACCCTTCATCTCGGAAGCCGACTTGGAGCTGTACCAGAAGTATAGAGACCCTGCCTTCGAAGTGCAAGTCGGCCTGCACGAGTTGACTGGCCATGGATGCGGCAAACTTCTCCAGGAGACGTCTCCTGGCGTCTACAACTTTGATAAGGAGAACCCGCCAATTAACCCCCTAACAGACAAGCCCGTGACCACATGGTATAAGCCGGGCCAGACATGGGGTTCCGTCTTTGGAAGCCTTGCCGCCTCGTACGAGGAGTGCCGCGCAGAGCTGGTCGCCATGTACCTGAGTTGTGAATTTCCCGTGCTCAAGATCTTCGGCTTTGGGGACGGCAGCACCGACATGAGTAACGAGGCCGGCAATGTACTATATGCCGCGTACCTTCAAATGGCTCGTGCCGGTCTTGTGGCGCTGGAGATGTGGGATCCCAAGAGCCAGAAATGGGGCCAGGCTCATTCTCAAGCCCGGTTCTCCATCCTCCAGTGCTTCCTCCAGGCTGGCGACGACTTCTGCGTGCTGGACTACAAGAATGACGACTTGTCTGACCTGCAGATCAAGTTGGACCGGTCAAAGATTTTGACCACAGGCCGTGATGGTAAAGTTGCCCCAGGTTTTTCCCTGCCCACCTTCTCTGCTTTGTGAGTTCAGATAGCTAACCCGATACCTTCCTGCTCTGTAGCCGTGGGCAAGTACCTCCAGAAGATCCATATCTATAAATCAACTGCCGATGTAGAAGCAGGCACCGAATTCTACAAGGCCATGACCAACGTTGACATGGATTTCTGGGGCACCAAGGTGCGCAACGTTGTCCTGCAGAACAAGCAGCCACGCAAGGTCTTCGTTCAGGCCAACACTCACCTTGATGAGGCTACCGGAAAGGTTAGCCTTCGACATTATGAGGCTACGCCAGCCGGCATGATCCAGAGCTGGGCCGATCGGGAGGCATAATTGATTGGGTGTGCGAATGTAGAAGAGATGGTCTAGAGACAGTGGCATATGGAGTCTCAATGGACATTCCTATCGAATAGTTCCTGTAGAACTAGCATTGAAGAGAGGGGACTGTTGTTGCATAGAAGTCTCCCCGAAAACGAACTCTAGACACTAAGACATCATGAAGTGTGGCCTGCAGGCTCCGTTACTGTGGAGATGTGCAACAGATCAAAGCTACCGACCGACTGGGCAAGCGCACTTCATCCAGAGACACATCATCCACCTGGAAGTCCCATTTCCAAAGGCCTCAAGTTGGACCAATACATGTCGTCGTTCAGTTTAATCATGTTGCTCTTTTTTTTTTCTTCTTTTTGATGCCATCAACCCGGGAAACCGGATTGTCACCTTCCTTGTTGATTTGTGAAGAACCTCATTACAGACGCCAAATGACCGACCGATGCCGTCGAGTTTCAAATGCAATTGGCAAAACCAGCCCTGCCCTGAAAGCCCAGTTCTTCATGTCCCGCTCTTGACACTGTTCCCTTACCCCCGCCTTTTTTATTCCCTTGGCAGAGGTACGGGTTGTGCGCACGCATACACACATCCAACCCCCTTCAACCAGGCCATCCGAGATATCCGCTCTCATTTCCGTGACAAAACAGATTTACCACTTCATCTCGTGCGGCTTGTCTCCCTTGCGGAGGCTGAAGGAAGTTGCCAGATAGGCGGCGAGCATATCGACCTTCTTGATGTTGGCAAGGAGGGCCTTGTCGATGGCCTTCTGGTCGGCGGCGCGGCTGCTGCTGACCTCCTTCTTCTGCAGTGCGTATATCAATGTCAGTCATCCGTTCGTTCTTCAAAGAGCGTCCGCTTTTACTCGATACGCGGCGAAAACACTTCCTCCGTAGAACCTAGGGATGAGGTCGTTCGTACCTTGGGGGCCTCTCCCTGCTTGAAGAAAGCCTCCTCGCCGGCCTTCTCCTTGGTCTTCTCGGCGGTGAAGTACTTGGGTTGGGACACCTCCTCGATCTTCTTCTCATCAACGCCGGAGATGTCAACCTTGAGGGAGGTGGCAATGACGTAACGGGAGTTAATCCGGCGCAGGGGAACGCCGTTAATCTTGAAGGGGCCGGTAACGAGGAGGACACCCTGCTCGAGGGTCTTCAGGAGAACGACACGCTTGCCGCGGAAGCGACCGGCGAGCAGGATGAGGACGGTACCGGGCTGGAGGCTCTGACGGGGGGCCCAAGGGCGGATGGCCTTGCGGACCTGTTGGAAGAACCCAGTTAGCGGAATCTGTTGCTGCGACCGCATGATGATGGAGATTCCCGGCCAGTATGCATCTCTCCGTTCCCCCTAAGTTTTCCTAGCTCGTTCCCAGTCCCATGTCGAGGAAGCTGCGCATTGCGCTACCCATGCAACCGTGTTGATCGGGACTTCTAGGATAATATATCCAGTGGGACTCGGATTGAAGCCAGCAATAATCGCCTTCCCACGACGTGACAGCCACTGTATCACGCCGTAAAAATCACCCACGAAAAAAAAAAGTCCCGTCCATTGCTCTCAACCACTGTCGAACTATCGCCAACCACACTCACCTTCTTGGGCTGGGACTCATCGTCGGCAGGGTACCACTTCTGCGCCTTCTCGGAATTGGCAAGGACCTCCCGGGTGCCCGAGCCGAACTTCTTGGTGGTGGATTCCGCCTTCGCCGACATTTTTGCGATCGCGTCGTCCTTTCGTCTCGAGGGTGTTGAAAGGGGGAGGTGGAGGGTTGCGGTTGTCCGTCGGCCTTGGATGTTATTTGCGGTCGGATTTCTGAGAAGGCTGGATCAATTCTTGTGTGTGCCCACTAGCGAAAACCCTCAGTCACTAGCCACGTTGTGTGGGGCGCAAAAAAACCTTTCGGCCTACTAGAATATCCGAGCCGGGCGTCAGCCACAATTGGGGAATTTTTCTGTGGCACGTAGATAAGATAAGAGTGAAGAACATTCTGTGGATCTTCGCCCGACTAAAGTAGCCCGGTCTCGCCGCCGGTCAGAGCTTCCCCGAAGCTACCAGAAGCTGCTATGAAAACGCTCATAGGAGATTGGACGTTTCTGACATCACGAGACGAGCTCGACGGAGCCCATTAATTAATTGATGTTTTCTATCTAAAGCCCCAAGTTGGTAATTTCCTCTTCTGTACACTCACTTGGACTCTGTTATGGTGGAAGTCTTTCACTATTTACGTCCTTTTCTCCGAACCGGAGCAACATCATGCAAGCTAGGAGACACCTTATTTCATCTGCCAGACGGCTTGCTGGCCCACACTCGAGGTCTCTGCGGCCTCTTTCAAGAGCCATTCTCACCGAGACAGCTACATTAAGGATCGCTCCCCTTCTACCCATTGTAGCCGTAAGGAATTACGCAAATGGCCGCGGCCCTCATCCACCCGGGGGTACCCATCGTATGAACTTGGGAGGAGAGCCCGAGAAACCAGCACTAGAGCAGTACGGCATCGACCTGACGGCCAGGGCGAGAGAGGGTAAACTCGATCCGGTCATTGGGCGAGATTCGGAAATTCAGCGTACTATTCAGATCCTCTCACGTCGGACCAAGAATAACCCTGTCCTCATCGGAAATGCCGGCACTGGCAAGACGGCTATCCTCGAGGGACTTGCTCTCAGGATAATAAGAGGTGATGTTCCTGAGAGCATCAAGAACAAACGGGTCATCTCCCTCGATCTTGGGTCACTCATCGCGGGAGCAAAGTTTCGCGGCGATTTCGAGGAACGGTTGAAAAAGGTCCTGGAGGAAGTCCAGAAGGCCGGAGGACAAGTCATCCTTTTTATTGATGAATTGCACGTCTTGCTCGGCCTCGGCAAGGCCGAAGGCTCGATTGATGCCTCCAACCTTCTGAAGCCAGCCCTCGCGCGTGGTGAGCTCCAATGCTGTGGCGCCACCACGCTTACCGAATATCGACAAATCGAAAAGGACGTCGCACTTGCGAGACGTTTCCAACCCATTATGGTCAACGAGCCGACCGTTCAGGATACCATCAGCATCCTACGTGGGATCAAAGACAAGTATGAAGTGCACCACGGTGTCCGAATCACCGATGGTGCTCTAGTCGCCGCTGCCACCTACTCGAACAGATACGTCACAGACAGATTTCTACCAGACAAAGCGATCGACCTGATGGACGAAGCTGCTAGCCATCTTAAGCTTCAGCACGAGTCCAAACCCGAAGACATCATGGCGTTAGACCAGAAGATTATGACAATTCAGATCGAGCTGGAAAGCTTACGCAAAGAAAAGGACGTTGCTAGCCGGGAGAGGAGAGAGAAGCTCGAGGGGGATCTGAAAAAGCTTCAAGACGAGATTGCCGAGCTGAACGTTCGGTGGGAGAAGGAACGCGCTGAGATTGACGCTGTCAAGAGAGCGCAGGAAGAACTCGACAAGGCCAGGGTTCAACTCGAGATGGCCCAGCGCGAGGGTAATTTTGGACGAGCCGGCGAGCTACGATACAGCGTCATCCCAATGCTAGAGCAGAAAATCCCGAAAGACGGGCAGCAGAACGAAGGCACCTTAATTCACGACGCCGTCACAGCGGACGACATTGCAGCAGTTGTTTCACGCATCACCGGTATCCCGGTTTCGAAACTTACCTCCGGCCACATCGAGAAGCTAGTCCACATGGAAGACACCCTGCGCGAGTCCGTTCGCGGTCAGGATGAGGCGATCAGAGCCGTCTCCAACGCCGTCCGTCTGCAGCGGGCTGGCTTGTCCGGCGACAACCGGCCCCTTGCATCTTTCTTCTTCTTGGGACCAACGGGCGTGGGCAAGACTGAGCTGTGCAAGAAGTTGGCCGGATTCCTCTTCTCTACCGAGTCGGCCGTTGTAAGATTCGACATGTCGGAGTTCCAGGAGAAACACACCATCTCTCGCCTCATCGGTGCCCCATCAGGCTACGTCGGCTACGAGGATGCGGGCCAGCTGACCGAAGCCGTGCGCCGGAAGCCGTACGCCGTTCTTCTGTTCGACGAGTTTGAGAAGGCCCACCGCGACATCTCGGCTTTGCTCCTTCAGGTGCTGGACGAGGGGTACCTTACGGACGCGCAGGGTCATAAGGTCGACTTCAGAAACACCATCATTGTTCTTACCTCGAATCTCGGTGCTGACATCCTTGTTGGCGCCAACCCCAGTGTTCCGTACACCGAAACAGAAGACGGCGACGTCGGCCCCGACGTCCGCAAGGCTGTCATGGATATCGTGTCGTCCGCATACCCACCGGAATTCCTGAACCGCATCGATTCGTTTATCATTTTCAAGCGTCTCGCGCTGGATGCGATCCGTGACATCGTCGACATCCGGCTACGGGAGCTCCAGTCTCGACTTGAGGACCGCAGGATCACGCTGCAGGTGCCAAACGACGTCCGTGACTGGCTCGCAGAGAGGGGCTATGACCCTCGGTTCGGCGCGCGGCCGCTGAACCGCCTCATCACGAACGAGATTGGGAACGGCCTCGCTGACAAGATTATTCAAGGCGATTTGAAGATGGGCGAGACTGCAGTGGTGAGCATCAAAGAGGATGGTTCGGGCCTGGTAGTCACATCTGCGGGACCGGCGACGGCTCCATCAGCTGAGTCCGCGGCGGAGGAAGCGTCTTAGTTTTTGCTGGCCAAGGTTTGCGTGGTGATTTGCGATTTCGGGGCGTTTCGCGGGATTAGGGCGACGGGAAATTGCACAGACTTATCAGTCCGGTTTATGTATACCACTTGTTTGTGTATTGTTGTTTATACGATGTTGAAATACCTACCACTCAATGTAGACTGTATAATGAGAATTAGAAACACTTCGAAATGCTCTCAATTGTTTTACTTAGAGCTGACTCCCTCTTTAGACGGCATATCTGCCCGGCAGGACAATCGCTGAGTGATGTATGGGACTATTGGTGCAACGTGTAATGCTCATTTAGTGATTTGTTGTCGGCGTTGGAATATTCTCAATAACCTGGGCGTCCAACACCTGAATAAAAGGATGCATGCCGGGGCGGAATCTCTTGGAACAACATGCAATGTTTCCCATCTACACACACAATTCCCACACCTAGCCTCTTTCGCCTCGCTTTTGCTGTATCCGGATTGCAAATGCCCCCAATCCACCAATTTGCGCCGTTATGTTCATACCCCATCAAAGCCAATGAGTGAACACTTGGACGTCAAGCGGAGTGACCTGGAACAGAGCCTTCCAGCCTGACTTATACGACTCGCTTAACCTCGAAGAACCGACGCAGCCACCAGACCTGGAACACGCCCTCGCCAACGACGAGACCAATGACAAAGACATTCCACCACTTGACACGGGCATTGGTGCTCTCGGCAGTGTTTCGATGTGTGCGCTCTCTGGCGACGATGTAGAATTGTTCATCTTTGACTTGGGCAAGCAATTCAGCCATTTGACGAACTAGGTGAGTGGAAAGAACCAACGTTAGCAAACAAGGAGATGCGAGAAGGTATGGGATAGCAGAGAGGTTGGTGGTTTTTTTTAAGCTTACCCTCCTTCTCGAGAGGGTCGGCCGGAAGGTCTCCCTCGTTGACGTAGACAACGCCGTGAACATTGAAGTGGACCTCCTTGCTGTTGGCGCCCCAGTGTTCGTTTCCGAAGCAGTAGGTGTATTTGCCGTCGCTCCTGGCCGTGAAGGTGAAGTCGCCGTTGGAGACACTCTTTTGGTTGGTCACGTATTGACCCTTGGGGTTTTGAATCTACAGAGAGGAAGGTGTTCGCAACCTGGGTTAGCGAGAGGCTGCGCTCCTTGGTTGTGGGTGGGGGGATGGGATAGTTCTCGGCGGCCGTACCCAGAAGTCGATGTCGAGATTGCCAGAGCTGCCGAATTCCCGGTCTCCGACTTGGTAGGTGACGGTCATCTTGTCATCGCGACGGAGGTTCTCGTGAAAGCACTCTCGGCCGTGGGCTGGTAGCTGGATGATGTGGGCTGCGGCAGACTGGAAAAGACCAGCTGCAAGCAGCAGCGTGCTGGCGACCGCGGGGAAGAGCATGGTCAGGGATAGGATGGATTAGGACGTTGTGTGCCCTCGCTGAGTTAATTGACGAACTCGCGGAGGCCGAGGCGTCTGTTCGTGTCTGTCAGTTTCGCTGTTGACTAGGTACCTTAGAAAGTGGTATTCGTAACGTGACGTCCTGCATTGACCTGGCCAGCAAGTCCAGTCTCTCGATAGAGATCCCTGTATGGACTGGACACTTTGCATCAAAGGTTCATTCGGATTGGCGTTACTTGCGGTTTGAGAGGAGAGCCGCAAATTACACAGGGTATGTGGGTCTACCAAGTACCTCTTCCAGACTAGCACGGTGGTTTTCACTGTGCACTCACTGCGTACTTCGTACCTTACCTTAGGTATCCATACTACCTACATTACCTACCTAGGTAATTGCGTCCTTCGGTGTGTGATACTCGAGCCTTGTCCGATAAGACAGCACCAAGGTGTTTGTGAACTCCTCTACTCCTACAAATATACCAGGTGCTACATGGTATATACATTGCATTGTATATACCTTACCTACTCCCTAGGACTCTCGCGTGTTATTGGGAAATAGGTAATTAATTACCTTACCTAGGTGGAAATATCCCGCTTCGAGTATTCTTCTACCTTCCATAATGTTAAGAGTCAACGTGGACTCATAGGCTGTATCTCCTACTCTGCTGCCTTTTGTCGCGGTTAGTCTAATGAACAACTGTCTTATAAACTTGGACTTGGACTCGGTAATCGCGACTGATAAAATACATCTTTTCGTTTCCCCGTGATTCGATATCTGGGTACCTTATTGCATTTCCCTACCCGTACGACGAGGTCTTATAATTAATGGCTGCCTACCAATACCAAGCAAGTCTTTGGACAGTGACAGGGCCACTGCTTTTCCTGATTATCAGTCCCAAGCATGTACAAGTACAATACTCCGACATTGAGCACGTGATAAAGGTACACCGTCGGGTCCCCTTGGATGTATGTAAATTGGCTGTACCTCAGCAGCCATGGGAAAGAGGGTGGTAGGTACAGGTGCCAATGCCAAGCAGGGGCGAGTAAAGAGTGGGGACTCAAAATCTGAAAACATGATGTCCTTCCCTCCTTTCTTTGCTGACCTGAAAATCACGGCACCAACCTCTTCTGAACTTCTTTGGCCCCTAACCCGCTACCCCATCATAATAATCTCCATCCCGACACTTTGCCCCCCTTTCTTCACCGACACCGACTCGACATCCCACGACACACTCTATCGTACATCAAGGCCGAGGGAGTTTATTGCGAAATGTGAGTTGAGATGTTCCCCTCCTTTTGTCTTCGGTCCCTTTCTTTACTCGTCTTCTCGTCTTCCACCGTCACGGGTGCTACGCATGTCGTTTGGGGGCGTCTGTCCCAGGATTCTCAATTCCATGCCATCCCCTGCACTTTCAATCACCGTCTACCTTTTTGAACGACCTAGTGGTCTTCCCCCATCTAAACATAATTATAGCTTTGCCGCCTGACTCTCGTAGACGTCTCGGAAATGCTGCTGCCTGGTTGTCTTTCGCGCTCAGATCGCACAACGTTTCTGTCCTAGCTCCCAAAAAGCCCAATCTGTCCTCTTTTCCTGGCATCATTGTCGCTCTCGGGCAACGTCACCACGCGTAGCCAGGTCGTCTTTATTTATCACGACTACCGCCCGTTCTTTGCGCTTACCATTGTTTCGAACAGAATCGCCTTTCTTTCTCAAGTCGACATAATTCCACAGAAAATCAAATAGATCGTCGTTGCCGTCCGAATTGCCATCATGGGTCTCACTTTCTCGAAGCTTTTCGACAAGCTGTGGGGGAAGAAGGAGATGAGAATTCTCATGGTCGGTCTTGATGCTGCTGGCAAGACTACAATTCTCTACAAGCTGAAGCTTGGTGAAATCGTCACCACCATTCCTACCATCGGTACGCCGCTCCGCCCGCCCCTTGCCGTCGCCTGCAGTGACGAGTTCACCGCTTTGCTAATACGGCCTTCCAGGCTTCAACGTTGAGACTGTCGAGTACAAGAACATTCAATTCACCGTGTGGGATGTCGGTGGTCAGGACAAGATCCGTCCTCTCTGGAGGCACTACTTCCAAAACACCCAGGGTATCATCTTCGTCGTCGACAGCAACGATCGCGACCGTATCGTGGAGGCTCGTGAGGAGCTTCAGCGCATGCTGAACGAGGATGAACTGCGGGACGCCATTCTCTTGGTATTCGCCAACAAGCAGGATCTTCCGGTATGCCACCCCCGCATCTTTGCTTATCGAGACCTGCATCACCGTCAATATTTCTTCCGCTAACTCCCTCCCTCCTACCACAGAACGCCATGAACGCTGCCGAGATCACAGATAAGCTCGGCCTTCACAGCCTGAGACAACGTGCCTGGGTATGTGCTCACTCTTTATCCCCCTCGACCTCGGAGGCGATTCGCCGCTTCGACGAATATGCTGCTGACCCATGTTCCCCTCGTATAGTACATTCAGTCTACCTGCGCCACCTCTGGAGATGGTTTGTATGAGGGTCTTGAGTGGCTCGCGACCACTCTGCGCAAGGCTGGTCACCAGTAAACTATTCATACCCACGCAGACAACCAATGAAGCCGCATGAAGCCTTACGCTCGCTCCGTCCGGCCATGTCAACCTACATTTCGCTTAATGGTTCGGTGGTCATTTGCAAGTTATCCGAGCACAATCCAATCGAGTAGTCCATTAGCCATCGATGGCAATCTTTTTCCTCTGGATCTTCCCAAATGCCATCGTCTGTTTTTGTGGCCCCCCCCTCCCTGTGGTGGCGCCTTATATCGTTTTCGTGAGCTCGCCAGGCTTGGGATCGCATTGGTATCGGTTCCGTCTATCTACGTCTTCTTTCCGACAGCAGAAAACACGTTATAGGCACGCGCGTATTCCGGTCTCCGAGGGAAGAAAAAAAGGGGACAAGTACTCGTTTTCTGGAGATGGTAAAGGCGTCTTTGCATCGGGAAATCCTACTGTACACTCTTTGTCCCATGGCATCCAACCGGGCACTTAGATCGCTATCTACCACTTGTTTCGTTTACGGCTTCTCTTTGTTGCCAGTACTTGACTTAAATAAACAGAGAGTTATTTTCAGCGTCCATGACGTTCCGTACGTTGTGTTTTACCTTTAACGGGACATTAAACGAGGTGCATATTGACACAATAGCCAACTCTATCTATACGAGTAAACGGCGACCCTGGTCCTACGCCCATTGCATGATATATAATGGCGAGAAATATTGCCAAACTAACCCCTGCCCGCATATATCCCGCGACACATGAGTGGTATCCGGAAACATAAAAACACCAACGCCCTGTACGCCTTTGCCAAAACCAATATCATGTTGGATGTTCCTCATCTTCACTCACGCGTTCGGATCCGACTCGGGTATCTCCACCTTTTTAACCTCCTCCTCGACAGGGAGCTCGACATCCTTAACGGGATGGATGAGCATGGGGGGCAGGCACATCCGCCCCTCGCCGCCACGGAGGCCGCCGACCGTCTTCCCGTCCTTGCTGGGGTCCTCCACGAGCTCGAACTCCTCGCCGCCGTCATTGTTGACCTTGAGGCCGAGCCAGCGGCGGTACAGGTTGGGGCCGAAGCCCGAGTTGTAGAACCAGGTGAGGCCGCGGAGGTTGTGCTCGCGCTGGCCGAAGACTGACGTGCGCGCGCCGCCGCTGGCGCCGTTCTTGCCGCCGTTGAGCACCTGGGCGAAGTACTCGGTCGGCCACTCCCGGTCCAGGTACTGCGGGTGGGGGGCGAAGACAGCCTTGTAGCCGTGGTGGAGGGCGGTGGTGGCGGGCCACATCTCGGGGAAGGCGAAGTGTTTCTTGTAGGCCGTCTCGCGGTGCATCGTCATGAGGAGCCTGCGGGAGAGGCGAGAGGCTGTGATGATGTGGGCCCGGCGAGGAGGGAGAGCTTCGGAACGATTGTTGTTGTTGTACCCCGTGATGTCCTCGCCGAGGGACCAGGTCGTCCCTTCAGGATCGAAGATGGGGTTCAGTGCGATGAGGTCGGCTTCTTCACCAACCCCCCACTGATACTTGTCCTTGTCCATGCTTGTGGGAGGTTCGGGATCGTTCTCCGTCATAAACAGGTCGTCTTCGCTCTTAGGCCGCTCCGGTCCCCAGATGGACTTCTCTATTTTGGGGGCCTCGCCGCGTCTGGGTCCGTGGATCTCGCTCCAAACGTTGTCCGGGGCTGCCTGTCCCATCTCCACTTGCACGCGTGTCATCTGCCGGAAGTCCTCCCATGAGCCATGCACACTGGGGATATAGTAACGGGCGTTGCGTTCCCAGAGTCCCTTTCGCGGCTGCTCCCGAGCCCAGTTCTCCAGCTTGGAGAATAAATCGTAATAATGTCCCGTGTAACGAGCGTCCATCTCCCAGGACCAGTAGTAGTCATACTCGGGATGCCGATACGAGAAGTACTGCATCGCCATGGACAGCCCGCGGTACGCGCCGTGGACTGGTCGGTCGGGCCCTATGCTGAACAGGTCGTAGATGCCTTGGTAGAGGGATAACATCTGGGTTTGCGTCCACAGCGTCACGAGACCTCGGAATTCCTCCGGGAAACTGTCCTTGATGCGCTTCTGGTATGCTTCGTGGTCGGCCCAGATTGGGTTGCTTGCGTCGTCCTTCACCTCGACCAACAGGTGGACATCGTAGCGACCACCGGAAGCCAGAGAGAGTTCCGAGATGATGGATCGGATGTTCATGATGTCCTCCTCGCGGAACGAGTATTCGTCCCAGGCCCGAATCACAACCGCCGTGCGAGAGAGCTTCTCTTCCTGGGCTGTATCCTCCTCGGTAGATTTGCGCTGAGAATGAGCCGAAGAGTTCGACCGCGCAACGGGAGTGGTGGTGTCCACAGCAGCCGCGCTGTCGGCGCTATTGGCTCCGTCGTCAATATAGAACCCCCTTGTCGAGGGCGTCCTTGCTGGCAAGGGCTTATAGCGGGCTGCATTGGCCTGATAACATCGTCGTTGGGCGTCTGCCCAATCGACCTTGGCAAAGCTCACTTTCCCGTCCTCCTCCCAGACGGTCTGGGAGCCCTCCATCTCGCCGTATTCTCCGACTCCCAGGCCACCAGAGCGAACGGAATAGCCCAAGCCGTAGGGTCCGTATCTACCGTACCGCTCGTAGCAAATGTCCTCAGGCAAATCAAGCAGATTGTACGAGCCGAGAATGTGCTCGGGGAAACCCTGGGGCCGGCCCTCGTAGTACCGAATAGGCGGGACACGGACCCTGTTGTGACGGTCCATGAAGCACTCGTGGATGTCCTCGCGTTGGGTCGCGAATATGGAGCGGGGATGTTCGTGGAACGGCTTGCTTTCGAGCAAGGCCCTCTTGACAGCGTCGTCCACACCGTCTTCCGAAGAGTTAGTCATGATAGTGTTGAAGTCGAGCTCGTCCAGGGGTAGCTCATCCTGAGCGCGGGGATACTGAGGAACAACTTCCGAGAAAGGGACTAGACTCCTAATACCGCCGTAGTACCTCGTGAGGAACCGGAACGTCTCCCATACAGGTGGCGGCTCGGGTGCTTTTTGGATCCTGCCTTCGGCTAATCTTTGATTCTCGTTCAGGCTGGCGCGGACGAGAACTGTAATCATGAGAGCGATGAATGCTATTAGGCCCAGGCAGAGCAGTCGAACGATCTTGTTGGGCAGCCGATAGAATTGTATCCTGGCAGGTCGGCGAGGCGGAGCGAGGGTTCGTTTGGGAAGCATGGCGGCGGTGCTGGACCGGGATGACGATGTATTCCTTGAGCCCCCACTGCTCGGTGAGGACTCATCCGAGTCATCTGACGTGTCGTCGGAGGGATAATAGTCCTCATCGTCGGAGAGGCGCTCCTTATGGAGTTTCTCGTAGCGGGGAAGTCTTGACGTCCGCCCCTGCCGGGTACGGAGCGGATTGGTTAATAGGCCCATGGAAGATTGACTTTCGATGGGCGACAAGCTGGCAGGTCCTTTCGTCAGAGAAGTTGCCAACATGAGGACCTTAGATTAGCCAAAGCCTTATGCCGGCATTACTCACTGCAGCTATTGTGTTGTGAAGTTCGACCAATTCCCGGTGTCGAGTCGAGCCCGACTCAAAAGGGCTCAAGCGCCCGGATGATACCGGATCTGATCGTGTCTCGGAAGTTTGATTTTTTTGCAGAATTTGAGGTCGAACTTATGATGGTCCTAGTACGGACGGGAGAATGCAAATCGTGGCGTGGCTGTGGAATTCTGCGAGGGCCCGAGGGGGGCAGCCGTTCTCCAGTTGAACCTTGACAGGAGAAGGGGTGAATATGTGGAGATGGACAGGAATTTTGAGGAGTATTGCGCTGAGTCTCGGCTAGCGTGATATTCACCGTCGCGCTATCAGGAGAACCAAGTGCGAAGTATGAAAATTATTTGGTAGCCGTAGTCAGGGTAAGGAGACAAGTGAGAGTGTTGTGAAGATGGACGTCTTCGTTAGGGCATCAGCAAAGTCCGTGTTGAAACCAGGGTACCTCAGTTGCTAGGGGCAACCAGACTCCTCTCTACCTTACCTAAGGTACCTACGGATAGGTAACTTCGAGTGTATAGAGTACGTACCTTGTTGTGACGGCATCCTGTCGCTCAACCACGCCGGTCATTGCGCCGCTCAACTGTGCCGCTCAACTAGCTTACATAATCATTGTCGTACAGTGTCGAACAGACCATAGTCTTTTCGGTTACGTAACGGGCCGGATTGCCAAGAGTATAATCCGGGTAGACGCTTGCAGAATCTGCACTATATAAAATACGGTGGCAGCGTTTCCCTAACGGTCTGATATAGTTATAATTGAATATCATTGCCTTAATTAATTTTGACCTATTTTATGACGATTTCGACTACGCTTGCTTTATCTGATATATAGTAGATCGCTAAAAGTGAAGAGTAGATTTAACCCCACTACGTGTTTACAACGCGTTTTCCACCCTCAACACTATAGCCCTTATACTTAAAAAATCACTAAAAATCGAAAATACCTCCTATAACTCTACGCTTTAAGTATTCGCCCTATAAACGGACCCTGATTATATAGGTATATTTTAATAGTCTTAGTTAGAAGACTATAGTGTTAAATTTTAACGTGTTACTAGGGTTAGTATAGGGGATCGTATCCCGGTATCACGAGTAGTCTTAAGCATATTCGAATAAACGCTCCGGCCGGCCCTAGGCTTTAGGCTAGGATAAAAAAAGGCGTATAATTCAGGCCTAATATACCTAACCGGCAAATCCCTGGCCAGCTAGTACTATAGGACCTATAAGCCAGGCTTTTCTCGAGGGGTGACCTTTAGGTATAGAAAATACGGTATAATAAAGATATCTTCTCTAAGCTAAAAGGGCGCGCTCCCGGGACTTAAGTATTCCACGGGTAAACCACGTAGAATCCTCGGCTTTTACGTATAAGAACCCGGGGGGGGGGGGGGGGGGGGGGGGGGGGTCCCCGGTATTCACTAATTATACCCTAGGGAAGCTATAGTATACCCTAAAGGTATCTATAGCGTACCTCGTAGGTGCTATAGCTTATACTATAGTACCACTAGGGTACCCCGTGTTACGCCCTGGTGTTCCCGGTGGAATCTAGGGCGTATTAAGGCCCTTATAAATAACTCTTTTATATCCCCTGCCTAGTTACTAATAAACTGCGTGCTAACCTATCTTAAAACTAAATTATTACGGTATATCTAAGCTAAGGGCCTCCTCTACCTTCTAGCCCTACGCCGGCCAGGACTATTACCTAGTTAGGCGCGCGTATACTACACACGCATACGGATATAGGTACATAGCATTCTTATAGATTTATAAGTCAGCAGGTGGTAGAGGTCAACAGTCGAAGTACACCGCCACCCCATCACGTGGGCTATCTCCCTCCCTCACCGACACTCTAAGTAGCGCAGCGTCACGGATACCCCTACCCCGGTAGTCTGCCACGAAACCCACGAGACCCGCGCCTAGGCCTGGTTAGTTAGCACGGCCGCTTTTGCTCAGGCTTTGATCACCCTTGCTCACTAAGCATCACCTTTGATCACCTCAACCTCGCCCATCTCACCTCTTATCCATGCGACTTTGAATTTGCACTGTATCCCTTCAACTTAATGCGGCCTTCGTTAGCGGCCTTTGTTATAGTTAGTTGGACGAGCCAGGGTCGAGGTGCAGGCAGAATTCTCAAGAAGCCCGGCTTTTGGCAACCCTCTTCATCCTCTCAAAACCTAAATGCCTGCCTGATACTTGGCTGCTGAAGGGCGCGCAGTTCTCGGACTACGCATTTAGGCCGGTAATAGTGCTGGGCGCTCAGATAGTACGCATATATAGAGCCTGCCCTACCTTGAGGAGTGCCTATCCGTAGTAAATAGACCCGATACCGTTCGCCCGAGTGCTCCCCGTCTACCTGTCCACTGACAGACCCTGACATAAGGCGTTTCTATTTTATGAAGTGGGGAAAATGTAAATCAAATTAAAAAAATAGGATTATCGCGATGGGGTGGCTCACTCGGTGTTATAGCTCACTCAGTGTTCAACTACATTATTTTATAGAAGCATATTAGTAATTCCTTTATCCTTTAACAGTATGCTATTAGGATTAACTTATCCTTGATGGATTTAAGAGCGATATCCTTGATCTTCTTACCGCTTCTCGCCGCGAAGTCGCTCTGCTTCTATGCGCCCTGGTGTGTCATCTTGCGCTCCAGAGACCTGTGTATCACGAGATTGTACGCTATCCTGAAGAATGAGCAGTTGATCGCCTTCAACCAGGACCCCGTCTATGGGAAAGGTGCTATTCCTCGCCTCTGAGATAGTATTAGCAACGATATACACCCAGCCAACTACTAGGCAGGCAACTCGGTGAAGGGAATGCAATGCATTCGTGCTGAACCTGAACACTTTCGAGAATAAGACGGATATAAGAGGTTCTTTTTTGGAGACATTCCAGGACTCAAGGGCAAGGAGTCGCAGGATCTCCTTGTCCATGATATATGGACTGGTAAGGACATTTGTGGATTCAAGGGGTCTATCACGGTCACGGTCAAGCGGCACGATACTGCTGCACTCCGCATCACAGAGGTTGATGGAGCGCAGCCTAATTGCCAGTGGATGCTTCAGAAGCAGGTGATTAGTGGCTGAGGCGCTTTACTCACATAAGTATAATAAGTGAGAACGTGCCGACCTTTATTCACGATCGCTCCGCTACACTTCGGAGGAATAGGGCGATATCGTCAACCTCCTCTGGTCCTTTTAGCCAGTGACCCTCCTGATCAGCGCGCGAGTACTCGTTCCAATCCACCGTCCACCCAACTCGAGAGAGAACATCTTTCGCTTGACGTCCTAGCTCCACATCTACATAAGCATCGTCTGTGCCATGGCCGAGAAACACAGGCATCGGTGGCTGAGCTTTTGCGTGCTGGCTGATCATCATAGACCTCACAAAGTCGCTGCCAATTCTGTTGTCCGACTCCTCGTCGATTCCATTCAGAGCGTGCTCGATGTCGGCGGCGAATGGGAGCCAAGTGCTAGCTCCTATGAAAGCTGCTGGATGCGACGTGGGCCGTTTACTTTTGATGCACAACATGGTCCAGATACCGATTGCACCTCCTTGGCTGATCCCGCCCAGAACGACTTTGGACGCCAGGCCACCCAACCGCTCTACTTCGGCCTCCCAGATTCCTTCAAGATGCTTCACTGACTCACGAATCCCGTCCGTTTGTAGGTCTTGCCTCGCCGTGACATCTGTTAATGAGTAGGCCTCGAACCAGGCTGGCATGCTTTCTTCGAAGACTGGGCTCCATAGCTCGCGGGAGCTTGGGAACACCCATCTCCAGCCAGGCAGAGCCTGCATGATAGTTTTGCCGTCGGCCATCAACGTCTCAGCGAGCTCTTCAGCGAACTCTTGGCCAGTGCTGCCTCGTCCATGGAGTAGGATAGCGGTGTGCGTATGCGCCTGTGTTGCTTCGAGCACGTGCACATGCCCGAAGGCCGCAGGCGGCGTGTCAGCCATACCGAGAGTTTCGTTGGCCGGCAGAGGATGCGAGAAGGAATAAACAAGAAATGTCGCAGACGGCAGGGAGAGAAACAGAAAGATATTTAGAGAAAGCAGACAAATACAGCTGTGAGGGTTCGCTGGATGCAGGTGAAGGTCCGTGGTCTCCACTTACGTGTTTAGTTGTTGGCAAGCTGAATGTGAGAGTGAGGGGGTCCCTACGCGCCGAGAGGGCAGGGTTGTCAGCAGTCCGCAGCACCTGCCAAAGCATTTAAGCTCACTAAATTTCTGCTGGTGCTGCAAAGATTCTGCGAGCTGACCTAAGAACTCCTATAGCGCGCGAAATCGTGGCCGAGGATCAATTTTAAACACCGTAAGTGCCACCTAGTACATGTTTGACTTGTATAAGAACATTATAACAACAAGACACATGATCCATAATAAGTTTATTATTTTACATACCTCTATAGTTCCATGGTAACAGGCATGCCTTGAATTACTCTTCTCCCAAGCCACTGACTTATTAGGAGATCTGTCGCAAACTGCCAATTGCTTCAGTCGGCAAATAGTCGCACCAGTCCGCTAAAGGACCCCGTTGCTGCACTATAGATAGCGCCTTCACAAACTCCCAATATACTGGGTACCAACCGGCTAATTCCCAATCGATCAGCGAAGTAACGCGAATGTGCGTTTCGCTGTCAGGCGTGACCTCCGTGTACGAATCCCACCGAACCATGATAATCACGAGCTGGTTATGACCTATGGTGATTATCACTCATAAAGGAACGCACCATCTTGATCCATGGCGTCTTAGTCCTCCGAGCTTGGCGGCAAAGGAAATCGCTAAATTACACTTCCTTTTGGATTGGCGTTTCTGCTTCCCTTAAATCCCGGCGCATGTCCTTGCACCTCCCTGATACAAAGCTGCCTATACGCTGCGAAGTAGGCCTATCCTGATCAAGGCCGCGGTCTTTCCGCCGAAGTTGTTGAAATATCGTGTTCAGTTGCTGCTGGACAGATATTTTATGTGAAGCGAGCAAGCGCGGCCAGACTGTCTCGAGAGTCTTGCCCTCTGCTCGAGCCATGAATGCGTATATCCATAGCCCGCATTGCAAGGCACCAAGACAAGATGGTGTTGGGACCTCCTGTATATGCTTTCTGATGTACTGTAGGTTGGTAATGCTGTCGTGGTCAAGGGATATGTGTATCTTGACGATTTTTGATGGGCTGATTTGCAGCACAGCCGTGTTGTGAAAGCGCAATAGCGTTTGGCTGTCATTGATTGCCTGGTTTAAACCAGACGCTAAGGCGGTAAGGTATTCGCTCTCAGTTGACCGCAAGGTTTGTCGGGGATGACTATTGGGGTAGTCTGTCATACCCGTATCATTTTTCCCCAAACAGAACTTCACCCCAACGTCATGGTTCGGCTCCATGCGTGCCTATGAACCACGCACTATACGAGTGGGGTTTCTCTGACGCATTTTTTTTTTCAGGTTGGGCATCTTCCCTTTTGTCCCTAGTGCATTATTTAGTGCACCAAGTACCGAACGCTATCCGTAAAGCCGTAAAGCTGTCGCTACTCGGAGCAGAACGTCCATTCCGGCTCTCATCCGTGTGGTCTCCCTCGTCCTATTCCCTGCAGGACCCAATCCCAATATTGACCACCTGGCCGACTGCTTCCCACGCATATACACCTGTGGCGTTCTCATCAGACCATCAGACCATCAGACCCCTTTTCGGAGTCGATTGCTTTTTCAATACGTCCCTCATTAATGGTTCTACCCACTTCGTTCTTGTCTGAATTGCTAAACGCCGTTCATCGGTAAACGTTCAGACGAGTAAAGTTTGGGGCGTTGGGCCAGCCCATGGTCATGGTCCAGCCATGGGTCAGCCATGAAAAGGCGGATCACGATTGCTTCCCTCCTGGCCACTGGCATTTGACGTAGATCAACGTCACTTGATCCCCCTCAGGTTACTCCCGCCTCCAGCGCCCGGCCTACGCCTACGGGAAGTCAGTGCACAGTGCACAGTGCAGCCCCTATTCAGACCCCGCCAGACATTTAGGGAAACCCAACAACTCTCACCTCTTCCTCACGCCTCTTAACCTCTGTTCCGATTGGACTCGGTTCTCGCTCTTTCCTCTATCACTCTTTATTACCATACCACTCTTCGTGCAGGCCCTTCTCCTTCGTGTTCGTCGGTCTCCTCCCTGGCATTGGACCTGTAATAGTCTTGACAATATCCCGCCCATTTCCGCCCATTTCCTCCTTTCTCCTCGTTCTCCCATCATTTATACCTTCGCTACGCACAACACCTTCTAATACCTTCTCGTGGCCAAGATCTTTTCTTATGTAGTTCGAGTTCGTTCACCATGACCGTCTCATCCTGCACAACGGTTCAGCTCAAGCAACCAGAATCACATGTCATCCCGCAGAACTTGGGCTCTGACGTTGACCAGGTTGCTGCCACCTATGTTCTCAAGCAAAGGCCCATCTCCGTCACCCTCGACGGCCCTACCATCTTCACCCTGACCGCGGCCCTTATCTTCCTCATCCACTTCACCAAACAGTCCATTGTTGAGATCTTTCTCGCCACTGTGCCCATCTTACTCCTAATCCACAATGATTACAACAACTTTATCGGTCTCGGCCCCGGTGGCACGCCGGCGACGTTTCAAGGCTACGTCAGGATAGCTTGGCTCCGCCTGTGGGCTATCCGAGACCCCTTTTCCCCTCCAAAACCCGATCCGTCCCGCCGTCCGGAACGGGGTATCCTCCACGATTCTCCGCTACCATATAGGCCCGGGCCCCGGCCCATCGTCGCCGGCATCGCCCCGCAGAGACAACTCGACCAACATGGCACACTACAGCACTACCGCGCCCTCCGCCGCACCCTCGAGAACCTAGCCCACACCCGTTCCGAAAAATTCGGCACCGCCCGCTCCTGTCTGGAGAAGCACGGCCTCGGCCTCTTCGCCCGCCACCCCGTCAACGTCACATGCAATGGCGAGGTGTGCCATGTCCACGAGTCGGACCACTCCCTTCACATGAATCTGCACCCGGACGACATTGCTGAGGTTTTGGCCAAAGGATGGGGCCAGCGACACCCTTTGGCCTGTAAGGGGTGGTTCGGCTCTATGCCCGTGCCGGAGGAGTTTCTCATGGTCTATGCGCCTAGAGGTGAGTTTTTTCTTCTTTTCTTCTTTTCGTCTTTTTTCTTTTTCCTTCTTCTTTGAGCGTGTCGCGAATCCGGATACCACTTTCCTTCTCGACCACCGACCACTCTTACGATGAGAGCGTTGTTAACGAAAACACCCAATAACACTTCTTCAGATGACCTCGAGCTACAGATCGTGTGTCGAATCATTGAAGCCGCAATATGGTTCGTTATCGCCGACAGGGAGAAGCTGGACGTCCTACCAGACACCGCGAACACCGACGGGGTCATCAGAGCAGTTGGTGGAAACTTTTAATACATCCATGTGAGGGGACATCTCGTATTGCTGTATTCTTTGGTCCTGCCCTAGGGACCAATATCAACTGCCAGTTCCCCATACCGGCAGCAGCCGGGTCTGGGATTATCTAGTCAGGTAGCCAGCTTGAGGGTGTGTCCTTTAAAAAAAACAAATGCCTATTAGTTTTACATGACACAGAACGAAGACGGAATGTTCAGCAGTCGCTTAACCATGCAAGTTTTCTTGGAGGTAAGAAGGGAATAGCTGCTAGATCGGACCCCGGCACATGCTCATAGCATCATCTCGTCGGGCTTCAGCCGGCTTCCTATTCCGGATCAGAGCCGTGCTCGTCCTGGGATTTCTTGTTTGACTTCCGGTACCGCTCCCGTCCTGTCGCAATGGACGCTTCGACAGTGCGCCCGTCGAAGCTCCGCCCGTGCATGAGTTGTACGCACGCTTCCGCCGACTCGGGCTCTCGAAACTTGACCGACACGATGCCCTCGGGCTCCTCGTCGTACAGCACCACATTGGTCACGGTGCCCAGTTTGGCGCACTCCTCGCGCACATCTTCCTTGATCTCCAGCAGGGCCGCCGGGTCTTCATCCAGCTCCTCCAGGGTGAACATCTGTTTCAGTATGACCACCTTATTCCAGCGGGATGAGCCACCAGCCGCCCCAGGCATGGCCAGGGAAGAGGGCTCGTCATCGCTCCAGTCCGCCAGTCGCGCGGCCATCTTCTGCGTCTTCTTAATGATCCGCTGCCTCTCGCGATCGTTGCCCCTAGCCCTGTTCTGCCGATCTTCGCCGCCGTTGTTGGCTTTCCCGTTGCCTTCGCCATTGCCATTGGCGCCGCCGGAGTTGCCGTCACCGCCGTCCGCGTCCGCATCGTACCGCATCTTCTTGTAGCTTGAATCGGCAGCCTGTACTCGTATCTTACCACTGCCAAGCCCGGAGCTAGAGATTCGGAAGTCCGTGTCGTCGAGCAGCATGATGGCCATGTCGACGCTTTGCGGCTTGAAAAAGACCACTAGGGCGTCGCCCTTGAAGCGCCCCTCGCTGTCCGTATACATCTTGATTCGCGGCCGGCCGCTGTCGATCTCCTCTGCGATGACTCCCGCCTTGCGGGAGAAAACCTCGTGGACTTCCTCGGCTGTCGCGTCGGGAGGGAGGCCTGTCACGTAGACGGCCGTGTTCTGTCTCGGTTGTGGGGGTTGCCTGGCTTTCTTGGCCGGTCTGCCTATTTTCTTCTTTGTGCTGCTGTTGCCTTCCTACAGTTCGCGCGAGGGACACATGGCCCCAGGTCAGGTTAGTGTCTCTGTCCCTGTTCGTGACCCTTTGCCGTACTTCGTCTCCCGTCCATGCTATTCGGGCATTGCAGGGACTTCCATGGCATCATCCAGGGAGACAAATAGCGAAGCGAAGCGCATAATGGGAAAAAGGAACTCTCGACAGCCCTCGCCACTTGTCCCTAAAGCGGACCGGATAGAGGGGGATCACGGTGAACAAACATAGCCTAAGGTCTGCCTGTGCCGGATAAGAGGCGCAGCTTACCTCGCTTTCATGGGACGGTTCTTTTCGTTTCCTTGACGTCGTATCATCCTCGCCCTGCGCCTCGCCAATTAGCGCATGGTGTTGCGCCTCGTCCCCATGTAGAGCCTCCTCTTCTGCGAGCACCCATTGTCCCGTCGCGGCATTGAACTCGAATTCGGTGCCATCGTCGTGGACAGCTAGGTACTTGTTGTCGAGCGTCGAGTATGAAATCCGATCATCTTGATCGAATTTATCTACAGAGGTAGGTAAGGGAGGTTGAATTTCGGCCATGGCTTTCCTTCCGAGGCCAGAAGAACAGTTGTTGAGAAAGGAATAGCCTACAGGTTATAGAACACCCAGGAGACGAAAGGTGCTGGTTCTGGTTCAAGGTCCTGGTTCCAGGAACTTGAATTAGTCCCTTGGAGTGACGCTGGCTGGTTTGGTTGGTGGAGCACAGCAAGGGGACCCACTTTGCCTCCAAACGGGATCGGATGGTTGTTCAACGTCGATGTATACAGTGTCTGTACCGTATCCAATACATGCCAGCGGGTTTCGGGGGGACATGTTCCAAGAAGCCCAAGGCCCTCAACAAAGCTGTGTTCATGATTCGTATGCAACTCATAGGTAACTTCGTAGACTGCACACAGAAATAACACAGGATTCGGTTCCGTAACGCACCACGTAGGTATTTTCATTAATAAACAGCGACATCCCGTGAAAGACCAGACCAACTATCCCGATGCCTGACCTGGAGTTGCATACTCCACCTCCAGTTTGCTACGATCACATGTAGGACAACCTCTTCAAAACCTATTGTCTTCGCTGCTCCTCCTCTTCTTTGACCGTCGTCTTCACGCCCTCAACGAAAGCCTCCACAGCCTCTCCACCTCCCAGAGGCATCCCCCCGCCCCTAATGTAACCACCGTTGGCTACTTTCACATTGAGAGCCTCCGCGATAGTGGGAAGCCCACCATCCCGAAGAGCCATGGTGAGGCTGCCCAGAGCTTGGTGAAACTGTGGACTCCTAAGGACCTTCTGCAAGAGATTCTTCTTTTCTGCCAATCTCAGAGACGCCCTTGCTGCGGCTGCAGCTTCCGCGGACGGCTCGACATCTCCCGCATCTCCAGCGCCCGTGGCAAGGACCAAGACGGTAGGGGGCAGGAAGCCTAATAAATTATCGGTAAAGGCCTCTGATGCCGATGCAAGCATGGGAATGGTAGTCTCGTTGGGCAGCAGGTGGTTTAGGTAGGGGTACGGCTTGTCAGCAGCCTGTTGTCCTCCAGACCGCGAGCTGCTGCCCAGACCAGCGTTGCCCTGTAACGACCGTAGAAAATTCTGCACAGCAGCATCGGCATCGGACGCGGGTGCGGTACGAGCCCCGCCGGCCGCTCTGGTATACCAGTTAGCAACAAGGCACAAGCATTGGGCGGGCGCTAAGGTGTCTCGATACCACAAAGAAATGCTCGCCCTGAATCATGATTGATATGGGATATTCTAATAAGTACAGCCATGCCAGAGTATTCAGGCAGTTGTCTTGTTTTGTTTTCACCCTGGGGCTCTTTCTGGGATCGTATCGTGTCGACGAAAAGACACCAAAGCACCCCGTTACTGCGCGAGGCAGTCGAGTCGGGGTAATTGGAAGATGACCTACGCTCTGGCTCCGTCGCTTCCACCTTCTCTAGCATCCTCGCCTTCCTCTCGAATGTCACCTCCCGTCGCACCGTGGCCGGCACCGCCGTGACCTTCGACATCCTCCATGGTCTCGTCGTCGTCATTATCGCGGCGGTCGTCAACATTGCGCACCTGGCCCAACTCTTGTGTGGCGCTCACCTCCTCGCCTTGTAGTAGTCTGTTGACGATCTCCCCGATTTTCTTGTCGCGCGGGCTGAACCAGCTCGGGTCTCCGTTCCTCGACTGGGGCTTCGACTGCAGCCAGAAGAAGTGGCGCGACGACGAGGAGGCAAACTTTAGGACGAAGATACGGCCGTTTGTCTTTGCGGAAGACTGGTCTGCCCATGTGTAGGGAACGAACTGGCCGTCGGTGGGAACCATGACTAGGTCAAGGTCGGGTTCGGTCATCGGAGCGCTTCGCTTGCGCCAGCAGAAGTGGATTAGGTCTGCACACAATTAGCGTCAACATTATACCTGTTGAATGGATGAGAGAAAACAGACCATCGTCAGAGTAGAGATAAATGTAGCCCTGAGCCGGCAGAGGTTTGACCTTGTTATCGTCTCTCTGCTCCTACATGGGTATTAGTAGAGCCAAGGTTTCGTCTGGGTATGTGAACATGAAAAGGGAACTTACATCGTTATACTCACAGGCGCCGGCCTTGAAAGTGATAAGAGGAACAATCGACATCGTTACAAGTGGTTGAGCGTACCAGGAAGAAAGAAGTATACAAATGGAAGAGAAGCTGTGCAGTGTTGAGTCGAGCAGGAAAACGAAGGCATGCAAGTTCCTTCAGCTGTATTCTCAGGTTGACACTGTTTGGGTAATTGGAGCTCCAACGGAGTTACGTAGAGCTCTGTGCCTAGGTACCTGTAGGTATCCGTACCTTAGTAAGAAGGCAAGGTAAGGCTGCACGAGTCCGCTTATGTGGTTGGCGGGCCGAATCTAATCCGAGGCGAGATGCGTCCGAGGCGGGCGGGTGGGGCAGGACAAGGGTTCCGAGTTCTATTCCGTTCCTGTTGGGCAAGAGCGGGGTGGGTGGTCTGTAACGAGATGAGGGGCCCGTGCTGGGGAAAAGAAGGAAGTAAAAATTTCCCAACCCCCACCTCAATCTCTCCCTCTTAATACAACAACAACAACATTCTCCTTTCTTCTTTTCCATCTTCCTTCTTTCTCAAATCCAACCCTTTTCTATTTTCCCTAAAGCCACCTCCCTTCGTAACAATGGGCTTCGCGGACCTTGTCACCGACGCCGGTGCTGCCAGTACGTCCTTGCGACCTCCAGCGACTTCTCTTGATCGTTTGCTAATAGGAGATTAAGCGCTCAACGGCTGGCTCACCGAACGTTCTTACATTGTTGGGTATGTTTTCCCCTCTGAATGCTATCTATTCTACCTCGTAGCCCTTGTACAGACTCCGTGTCTGGTTTCGGGCGGATCCCCGGCACTCTGATGAGAAATTTTGGTCCGTGTTTCTGAAGCGGACTCAAGACCCGCGAACTGAAGTCACAACCCAGCGTTTCACGCAACTCTGATCTTTTGCCTTTGTTCCCTTTTCTCTTGTTACGCCACGCGACTCGAAGAAGCGCCTGACTGACAATCCCTCTTCAGCAACTCCCCGTCTCAGGCCGATGTTGCCGTCTACAAAGCCCTGAGCTCCTCCCCCAACGAGGAGAAGTACCCCCACGCCGCCAGATGGTACAAGCACATCTCTACTTACGAGAGTGACTTCGCCACCCTCCCCGGTGACGCCACCAAGTCTTATTCCGTCTACGGTCCTGAGTCTGGCGAGGCCACCTTGAACCCTGCCAAGGCCGCTGATGAGGACGACGAGGACGTCGACCTGTTCGGCAGCGACGAGGAGGAGGATGCCGAAGCTGCCCGCATTCGCGATGAGCGCCTGGCAGAGTACAAGAAGAAGAAGGAGTCCAAGCCCAAGCCAGCTGCCAAGTCCATCGTCACCATGGACATCAAACCCTGGGGTGTGTAATCATGCCATCAGCTGTTGTAGGAAAGCCGAAATAAGCTAACATGACTGTAGACGACGAGACCGACATGGCTGCCCTTGAGGCGGCGGTCCGTGGTATCGAGAAGGACGGCCTCGTCTGGGGTGCGTCCCAGCTTGTGGCTCTTGGCTACGGCATCAAGAAGCTCCAGATCAACATGGTCGTTGAGGATGAGAAGATCAGCGTGAGCGATCTCCAGGAAGAGATCGAGGAGTTCGAGGACTACGTCCAGTCCACCGATGTTGTAAGTTGCCGCTTTGCACGACTGTCCAACTGGTTCATGTGCTAATACACTTTCCAGGCTGCTATGCAGAAGCTTTAAGCAATGCGATCAACGAATTGGGAGGTATGACTGGTTTATGAGGCATGATGGGTAGTGGGCATGGAAATTCAAAGGAATTGGGAGGCACGGCAATTGGTAACCCTGGGAGGGTTTTCTGCGCATCGGAACTTGCCTACCATAGACTTCCACGAACATGCGATGATGATGAATGGAATAAAACAATAGGCAACTATACGGAATTCGGGTCAGGCTGGCTAGCCGGTGCATTATGAGAAAACATTAGCATCAGCTCGTCATGTTGTCGAGCTTGAATGATCAAAGCAACCCACGTAAAAACGAGATCAGATTTTGATCATGGTCACTTGCAATCACTCTTCGGACAGACTACGCCAATGGGATGTCAGAGATGGAGTGGGAGCACGAACATGTAGACGGAACTTGAACGCGTTTCGTGCTTGTGGATGTATTCACTCTATTGATTTATAGCCATGGCTCGAAGGAACATGAATGGAAGAAAAATTCAAGTCGCTCCAGGTGGCAGGCAGACGTTAGGGATATTAAGGTATGGGGAGGATAGGTGGTGGGGTCATGGTGAGTACCTACTCTTTTCCCGATTAGGGTGCCCCAATCTGGAGTGTGCGACAGTGTCTGGATGTACCTCAGGTACAGTACCCGAAATGCGGATACGCCGTCCCTTCCTTAGGTTCGAATCAGTGAGGGGCTCAATTCACGAATTCCTGGGTGCGAGGCAGCATCACCGTGCTTTCCCCGCCCAATATTGCCTGCATGTCCGCGCAGCTATTGTTGACGTACTCCGAAGGGACCTCGATCGGACATCCCAGATGTATGGCGATTTAGGCAACAAGTTGGTTCGACAACCCCGCGTGTGCAGTGCATGGGGGGCATTGGCTAACGCTCTACAGGTACAACATGCCAAGCGGACACAGAACCTCGCGCACCTACCGCCCTACCAAGCCGAGATTGTACGCGCCGTGACGCGTGAAGTCCGGGACCTGGACAAAGATGTGACGGAGCTTCTCGAACCTTTTCAAGGGTCATTCGATCCCTCGGCGGACCAAGCGACGGCGTGCACGCTCCTCGTAAACCACCTTTCGATGCGGAGGAACAAGCGGTGCCTCCTGGCCTACCATCGAACGCGAACCGATAAGCTGGAGGAGATGGTGTGGAACGGCGTCGACGTGCTTGATCTATGCGGGCAGCAGGTCAGGGCTGGCGACTCGGGAGGAGGGGCTTCTCACGCGGGGACCAGGATGAGCAGCGTCGACGGGGCGACAAGCAGCCTCAGCCCGCAAGAGGATGAATATGTCAGGCAATACGGGGACCTGCTGGCGGCGTATAAGGGTCAGTGGACGGATATTGACCTGACGGGAAGCCTGGAGCCGCCGCGGGACCTATTCATCGACGTTCGGGTTTTGAAGGATGCCGGGGAAATCCAGACAGAGTATGGGTATGTGCTGGCGCGTGTTTCTCCTTGCTTTCGTGGGTGTTTGCCTTCCGCCGTCTTCCCTGGTATCTACGCTGCGTCCACGTTTCTGACTTGATCATTGGCAGTGCCATTACCCTCACCAAGAACAGCCAATTTTATGTCCGACAGGGTGACGTCGAGCGGCTAATAGCCCAGGGATATTTACAAAAACTTGGCTGAGGAAATGGATCTTGACGCGCGCACTCTACTTCTTCTCTACCTTATAAAACCTGTTCTCTCTCCCTCTCTCCCCCCACACACACACAAACACACAAATACAAAAAAGAAAAGGAAAAAGAAAAAGAAAACGAAGAAGTTCAATGCGGGCTGGCGCACGAAATTGCGTTGTTCTACGGGTATAGATAAGCACATGTCTGGCATAGTGACCGGTACGATGTTGATGCATTCCTGTGCTGTCGATGCTTAACGCAGAGGTCGGGCGAACTAGTGAACAGATGCATCGTGTTGTGGTGACAGTCTGCATACGCCCATGCACTTCGTACCTATGCCGGAGGTCCAGTCGGCGTACATGCAGAACATCAACTGAAACCCCCCTTGCCACGGTGACTCGATGCGAGGAACATCGGAGAAAGTCACCATTTGCACACGACTTTCTCCATATCAGGTGGTGGAACCATGTTGACATAGCCCAGTCGTACCACTGTACCCACCTCAATTAATTGACATCTCCAATTTGCGATTTGTTCCCCTCGACTGTAGCAAGTGGCAGGACATGTCTTCTCAAAAGTATGCCGGACGGGTACACTTTAATCAATACGGTAGGTACATACCATGATATTTAGCCCAATTAACCCAAGGATTTGCATCAATACAAGTTCGCAGGACGACTTGAAGGGAAGGGAGGGGGGGTGGCGGAAAAAGAGAAGAAAAGAAAACGAAAGGAAGAAGAGGCATGACGCAATCGAAGCCTAATGGGAGACGTTTATGCCGGTAAATGCGGGGCCATAGCAGAGTCAAGGTCTAGCGTCCTGCATATCCGACCTAGCTGCTGTAGATACCTACTTGGTAGGTATCGTGCTGCAGAGCTCATGCTGAGCTGTACCCGATCGGAATAGATCCGTCTGAGCCGCTTCAAACTACCTTACCAACGATACAACCACACTCCATCTTGTCTATCTAAGGTATCCTATCATTTCTTAGCGTTCCCTCCAATGCGTATCGTCCTCTAGTCCATTTTTTCCCTCGTTATCAGTAGCAAATCGCAAAACTGATGGCCCTGTTGTTCGACGTATGAGTTGGATCAATCTCAAGGATTCCTCGCTACGAGGATATTTGTTTGCCTCCCGCCCGTTGTAGTTTCGACCACTACCTTATCCCCATCCATTTTTTTATTTTCGGAATGGCCATGCCCTAGACCCAATTCGAGGTTTGACTCGATTCTCCTCGACTCCGCTAGCTAGCAAGGAGAAAAAAAAAAACTACTCGGCTTTCTGCCAGATATCTCCAGTGCCGTCTGTGAGGACTACTATTATCTGCGCCATTGGCCTATGAGATGTTGATCCGATCATGTCCTCTCCAAACTTCGGCTTTACTCCATGGCGAAGACGCGCCTCGTCCCTGACATTACAATCGCATGGTCGCGAGGACGTAGGGCCATCGCCTACAGGCAGCCCTGCTCACAGTGTTCATCCGACAACGGCTGATGGCTCGAGGCCATTGCCCACCTTTGCCACCTCTGTACCGAGAGAACCCATCCGATCCTTCATCCACAGTTCCCTCCGGGACGATCTCGGTAAGCCAGCCCTCTTCAGCTCACCTGACGTCCCTAGCTAGCCTCGTGCTATTGGGACCAATGCTAACCGTAAGAGCAGGCCCTGCCCACATAGTTGAGGATGCTCGTAGCGTTCGCGAAGACACCGCAGAGTTGGCCTCCTATCTTCTATCCGACAAGAGAAACATCCCGCAAGCTCCCGCGTTCTTGACTCGTCGACGCTCCCAGACACCTCTACCACTGCCACCGCCGCAACTTCGAACGCCTGAGATTCACGACGTCACTTCCGTCACAGGCCCGGAACTTCCTCACTCTGCGGCCGACACAATACAGGAGGTCTCGGAACCTTCATCTCCAACTGAAGAACGACACTGGGATGAAGATGGGGACGGAGAAGGCGTGCCGGACGAAGGCCCGTCCATGTTGACGAACCTGTTGCGCAAGTCCCCTCCCCAGTCGCGTCATGGCATATCCCCCGAACGTCCCGCAGAAGCGGGAAGGTCGGCTGTGCGAAAGCGCTCACATTCAGGCGAGAGGAATGGGGAACAACCAAGCCCAGATAGTGTCGACGAAGAAGCAAGCGAACACACGCCCCTCCTCAAGAAGCAGCCTTCTGCCGAGACTCAACACACCAATGGGAGGGACACTCTAGAGGACGTCGAAAGCCAGAAACCCGAGACGCGGAGGCGGTGGCTAGGCAGGATAAGGAACGCCGGCCGACGCGTCCAGACTCGATGCGTGCATGCGGCCAAAGCTGCTACGAATCCCAGCATCTGGACGCCTACAGCTCTCTGGCGTAATCTGGTGGTAACGCCGGCTTCGTGTCTGCCTGCGGTCATGGTCGGACTTTTGCTCAACGTTCTCGATGCACTATCTTACGGTGAGTTCTTGTCTTGTGACGAGATCGAAATCCGGGTCTTACTTAGATGGACACCAGGCTAACGCTGGCTATTCAGGAATGATTCTGTTTCCCCTGGGCAAGCCCATCTTCGCACATCTTGGCTCAGCTGGCATCTCCATCTTTTACGTCAGCACCATTGTTTCCCAGCTCATATTCTCGTCTCGCAGCAAATTCAGGGGTGCGGTCGGATCAGAACTGGTATATTCTCCCCCGTCTTGTGTTGGACCTTGATTGGCAGTACTTTGCTAAGCTCTGGACACAGATCGAAGTTGTTCCCTTCTTCCACAATATGGCCCAAACTATCACCGACATTATTGGCCAAGACGAACCCGACGCCGTGATCGCCACAACAATCACGTCTTACGCTCTCAGCTCTATGGTCACAGGAACCGTCTTCTATCTTATGGGCAAGTACAATTTTGGCTACATGGTTGGGTTTATTCCGAGGCACATCCTCATCGGATGTATCGGCGGCGTCGGTTGGTTCCTCGTTGCTACTGGCTTCGAAGTATCGGCTCGTCTGAGCGGCAGCCTCGAATACGACCTGGAGACCTTGCGCAAACTGATTCAGCCCGACACGGTCCTCCTCTGGGCTTTCCCCCTCTTGTTGGCCATCATCCTCTTCTATGGCCAATCCAGGGTGGCTTCCAAGTACTTCCTACCCCTCTACATCATCGCCATCCCGGCCATATTCTATTTCTTTGTGGCCGTCATTGAACCCCTGAATGTCGATCATCTTCGTGACAACGGCTGGATTTTCGACGGCCCACCGGCAGACGAACCCTGGTGGTATTTCTGGACCTTGTACAGTGAGTTGCCTCTGGGAAGTTCCCGCCTTCCCCTCTCTTTCTCCGCCCCCCAGTCTCTGACGAACGGATTCCAGAATTTCACCTCGTGCGGTGGGATGCCGTGATGGATACAGTGCCTGCCATGCTGGCGCTCACGTTCTTTGGAATTCTCCATGTCCCCATCAATGTGCCCGCATTGGCGTTGCAAACTGGTGAGGACCACGTGGATCTCGACAAGGAGCTCAAGCTCCACGGCTATTCCAACTTCTTCTCCGGGCTGGCGGGCAGCATTCAGAACTACCTGGTCTACGCCAACACCGTCTTCTTCATGCGGTCTGGCGGTGACAGCCGTCTCGCCGGGTTCATGCTGGCAGCAATGACTTTCGGCGTCATGACCGTGGGGCCCACCATCATCGGGTTCATACCCGTCATGATGGTCGGAACCCTCATTTTTGACCTCGGGTTCGAACTTCTGCTAGAGGCTGTGTGGCTGCCGAGGAAGAAGCTGAAGGTGGCTGAATACTTGACGGTCAGTGAGCTCCCCTCCCCCTTTTTTTTTACTTCTTCCCACAAAATCCCTTCAATGTGCTTGAAAAAGACGCGGCTGTTAACATCTACTTCTTTTTAGGTGATTGCAATCGTGCTCATCATGGGCATCTACGATTTTGTCATCGGAATAGGCGTAGGCATTTTGCTTGCCTTCATCTCCCTGATCATTCAGACATCCAGGGTACCTGCTGTCCGAGCAAGCTACAACGGCGACATTGTGGGATCAACCGTCCGTCGTAACCCTTCTCAGCATCGGTATCTGCAGAAGGCCAGACGGCAGATCTACATCGTCAAGTTGACGGGATTCCTGTTCTTCGGCACCATCGTGAGCGTGGAAGAGAAAATCAGGGCATTGATAGAGGACGACACGTTCTCGGAACGACCCATCAAGTTCCTGGTGCTGGATCTGTACCACGTCACCGGACTGGACTACTCGGCCGGGGAGGCATTCAACACCATCAGTCGGTTGTTGGACAACAAGGGCGTCATACTCGTCATCAGCGGAGTAGACGCGGAGAGTAACCTGGGGCGCACCCTGCGGGCCGTAGGTCTCGGCAACGGATCTGTCGAGGTGACTCTGCTCCCGGACCTCAACTCGGCACTGGAGAGCTGCGAGAACGAGCTCCTCAAGACGCTGTACGCCAGCGAGGAAGAGTTCCACGGAGGTCCTCGCAATGCGCCATCCTCGAGCTTGGATGTACCGACCAAGTCGCCTCTCAGCTCTCCGCCGGAACTAGTGCTGAATTCGCCGCGGCAGAGCCATCTGCACGCGGCCGCCAAGGACGTGCTCAGCAGCACAGAAACGTGGCGGAGCACGCGGTGGCGGAGCTTCAAGGAGCCGCTCCGGCTCATGCTGCAGATCTTCCAAAGCGTGAGCAAGCAGAACGAGGACTTTTGGTTCCGGGCCACGTCGTACTTCGTCCGCAAAGAATACGCCGCCGGGACGGTGCTGTTCCGGCGGGGGGACCCGGCCGACGGGTTCTACCTGGTGGAGGAGGGCATCCTGCGGGCCGAGTACGACTTGCCGCAGGGCTGGCTGGCCGAGAGCATCGTGGCCGGGACGACGTGCGGCGAGCTGCCGTTCTTCTCGGAGACGGATCGCACGGCGGACGTGGTGGTGGAGCGGGATTGCGTGGTCTGGTTGATAGACAAGGAGGGCTGGAGCAAGTTGCAGAAGGACGAGCCGGAGGTCACGCGGGAGCTTTTGCGTATTTCGCTGAAGCTCACGAGCGAGAGGATGAGCTCCATTACTGCGTACACACTGACGATGGCGGGCTGATGATGGACGACGGGAATGTGGGCGGTGGATTCGACGTCGAACAGGCCGTCTCCGCTTGGGGCGGTAATTTGCTTTGCGAGGAGGTGGGAAATGATGGCGTTGAATGGAGAAGACAGTAAAAATACCCAGCGAAAATAAAATAACAATGGAGGCCCATTCGAAACCTCTCATTCTTCTTCACCCCCGGTGTGGGAGACTTTAACACACGGCGCCCCAGCGTGCGACGACTTAATATGGTCACATGCAGTATCACAAGTGCGAGTATTCCACTGCTAAGGGTCGTCCGGTTTTCAGGTATTTAAGGGTATCATTCAAATTATTCTCGAGGATTCATTCACTCCTCTCGTGTTATATGACTCCCATACTGACCGATATAGGCAGCATCAACTGATTTAACATAACCGGGTTATTGTCATTTCAGTTCTTCCAGCTCTGACCTCTTCATCATATAATGCGATATCTCTCTCCCTTCCGTCTCTCTTCCTTCCCTGGGCCCAACTAGAGCGAAGGAAAATAAAAGTCTCACAGCAAAACGTAAACCACACAGACAGCGACAACGACAGAATGCCGTACGGTAGAAAAGGAGCTCCACAGCGAGCCCGCCCCACTGCCAGGATCGAGAGGACCAGGGCCCTGATCGGCAACAGTGGGACCCGCCGGGGGCGTGGTGGGCGTGGTGGGCGTGGTGGGCGTGCCGGGCGAGAAGGACAGGGCACACGACGCGTCCATGGCCAACACGTCGCCGACGGCGTTGGTGGCCTCCATCTCGGGACACGAGAAGCCTTCGTCGTCGCCCGGTCCTCGGATCGTCCTCGAACGTGTCTGGGTGGTCGTGAAGGGTTGCGTGACCCACATGGTCGTCGTCTGCGTCGTGAAAGGTACGCAATTGGCCTGGCGCGGCAGTAGTAGGGGGTTGGCTGCTGCTATGGTGGGGTCGGGGTTCGAATCCCGGGCGCGAATGGCGGCGGCGGCGGCGGCGGCGGCGGGAGTGGTTGTGGGGCTGGCGGGCGGGTTGTATTGGAGGCCGCAGTCCTCGGCCAGCTCGAGAGTGGCGCCCTCGATGTTGGTGGCGGTCATGGGAATGCAGGTGAATTCGGGGGCGTCCTCGGTCTCGGGGGCCGGGTCGCGCGTGATGGTCACGGTGCGGAACAGGGTGGTTGTGCTGCTCCAGGTGGAGGTCACGGTGCGGGTGGCGGGCGGGCAGGGCTTGCAGTAGCCGTCGGAGCCGCAGTAGCCGATGGAGCGGCAGCACTCATACCGGCAGCAGGTTGTATCGTTGTCGCAGGTGCCGCCCTGGCAGCACTGCTCGGTGTTCGGGTTGCGGCAGTAGCCGTTGGGGCAGCACGCCTGGGAGCGGGTGCAGGCCCAGACGGTGCCGGGCCCGGTGCAGCAGGTCTGGGTGTTCGGGTTGTAGCACTTGGAGTTGCCGCAGCGTCTTTGTCCTGAGGGGCAGCAGCCGCCGCCGACGCAGTCCCAGCCGCTGGGGCAGACGATGTAGTCGCTGCAGCACTTCTCACTGGACGGGTCGTAGCAACTATTGGCGCTGCATAGCCTCGTGTTCCCCCGGCAGCAACCAACGGAGACGCAGGTGTCTCCGTTGGGGCAGCACCTTACGCCGTCTGCGCAGATGTCTGTACGGGGGAGGAGGGGTTGTGTTATCGTTAGCTGTTCGTGGTGTTTCTGGTTCTGCTTCTACGGGGTGCTGGACGTACAGTGTCCGGGGTTCACGCATTGGCGCTGTCTCGGCATGAGAGCGACAAGTCCGAGTTCGTTGCCGTCCAAGTCCTCGGATGATACAACGGACGAGTTTGCGCTGGTTTCTGGCACGAGAAGATCACTGAGCTGGGCCTCGGACGAATCGATTGTGGATAGTCCTAGTCCCATGGCGAGTTGCGGTATCTGGTTGGCCCGTGACGGACAAACCGCTGCCCAGAGGGCGAAGACGAGCACGGCCAGAAGTCGACCCATCACGGCAGCCTCTTTTTTTTGTTTCCTTTTAACGGATTGAGGGGGGAGGAAGAGAAGACGGCGACGTGTCAAGTGGTTTTGTCGAGATTTACCCGCGAACCTGTCTACCAGAAGTAAAGGATGCCCTGGGAGATGTCGAGAGGTTCCAGGTGAGGGAACTCCCAGAAGACGAGCAGATGGAAAACTTTCCGCCTGGACTTTGGCCGCAGATTGGGCACAGGATATTATTAGTCCTGGTGGTCCTCGTGGTCCTGGAATTCCAAGCTTTCCCAGCATACATAGACATAGACTGGTCCTGTGTACCGACCAAGGCCGAAGTCAGCCTTGGCGTACGAGGTAATACCGCTAGAAAGAAAATGGCAGACAAAGACGGAATAACCAATCATGGGATCGGCAACTTCATCGTCGGGACTCGCGTGCGGAGGGGTGGACAGTTTGATGACCCGAGGCCAGACAGGGGATGCTGGATGCAGATGCAGATGCAGATGCAGGGCGGGCAGCTGTTGGAGTGGTCCGGCATCATTCGCGACCCGTCGACAGCCCGGCCCGCCCTCGGAGATCCAATCCATGAAAGCACAGTCATGTTTGTGAGGTGTGAGTGAGCAGGCTGGTTCAGTTCGGGTTCATCAAGCTGAGCAGATGCCGTCCTTGTTAACAGGAAGCCCGCCCACTGGTGTTGATGTACGAAGCACCTTAAGTTGCAAGGCACCGAAGGTAAGGTAACTAACGTACCTTATGTTGCGGCGGTGGTCCGTGCCCACAACCAACCAATCAGGTTGCCGCATTTAGGTAGCCAAACCTCCTCGAGGCTTAGCCGAGGATCTAGATAGCTTCCTCTTCCACACACTCAATATATCCGTTTAGTGTCACATTCCACACCTTATAGTATATCCTACATGTACGGAATACCCCGTACCACGGAGTACAAACGACGAGTACAAGTCCAGTCGCTGTGAAGGTGCTCACATGACATTGATCGGAGTAGCGAATAAGATGCCATCGCTGCTTCTTAGTGGGAACCCCACGTTCTGACGCCATTTCAGACCTGACCTTGACCCCTTGGGGTACTTCCCAAGTTTAAACCCGAACACGGGCCGCAAACTGGCCGTCGACTTTCCATTTTCGCCACTTATACAATACGTAGTTCTGTCGCCGTCATATGATCTCCCTAAGAAGATCAACTCGAAGGTTGCCATCAGACAAAAAAGTGCCGGAAAGAGGAAAGAAAGAGGTTAAAAAAAGAGGTAAAAGTCAAGAAAGGCAAAAGGGACTGCCAAAGAGATGAGCAGTCTACACTCTCTGCTCAAAGGGGGGAGGATAAAAAAATCAAGACCAACATCCACAACAGCTTCCCAGTCAACCTCACCGCGCAAGACAAACAGCAACAGAAAACCAAGCCCCAAGAAACCCGCACAGAAGCACCATGACTCCGACGAGGAAGACTTCTTCCAAGATCACCTCGACGACCGAGGCCTCGTAGCAACCCTCGCCACCGACCTGTCCCTCCGCGACGTACCGCAGGCCATGGCCTACGCTCTATCCCGCATGTTCTCCCCCGTACCGGAACGCGCCTCCGGCCTCTCGAGCACCCGCATCGCATCCGTCCTGTCCAGGCGACGAGACATGCCCCCGATCGTGACCACAGGCCACGTCCACGCCGTACTGCAAGCCTCGCCCGCGGCCGTGGAGCGGGAAGTCGCCCACCTGGAGGCCCAGGGGGCGCTGCGGCGGATCCGCGTCCGGGGCCGCCGCTTCGGCGAGGCACTCATCGCCGCGGCGGAGTACGAACGGCTCGTGAAAGACAGCGAGGCGCTCGACGAGGCCGCCAAGGAGGCGTTCCTGCGGTTCCTGGCCGAGAACCCCCGCGCGGCCGTCGTCGTGCGCGGCGCCGTAGGGGGCGGCCAGCGGGCCGAGGACGCCTTGATACGCGCAGGCTTCCTGACCGGTCGGGGGGCGTGGGGAACTGGCGGTGTTGGGGACGCGAGTAGGGATGCGCCGCGGGGGCTGCGCTACGCAGCTGGCGGCGCCTCGGCCGTTTCGCGAAGGCGGTCCGGTTCCGGGAAACTACCGAGCGTGGAGACCGTGGCGAGGGCGCCGAGCGGCTCCGTTCAGGCGGTGGGAGGTCCGGGCGCCGTGTACGCGGCCGGGGGCGGGGGAGGCGGCGGTGGGGCCGGGTTGGCACGGTTAGCGGATTCCGCTGCCGAGTCGGAACTAGACTACGTCCTCGCCGTGCCGGGACATGGCTTCTTCCTCAAGCTGGTCTCGGCGGCGGTTGAGCACCTGACGGAATTGCTGGGCAAGTCCCGCTTCGGCGAGATGCCCGAGAGCCTCCTGAGGGAGCGGTGGGACGGGGGCATCGCACGCGACGAAGCCAGGTTGGCGCGGCGGGCGCGAGGGGAGTGGGCTGGCGTGCTGCCCGGGCGGACACGGAAATGGAAGGAGTTTTACGGGCTCCGATTCGCGTGGGTGCTCGAAGAGGCCATGGGCGCTGGCCTGGTCGAAGTCTTCGAGACGGGGAGTGTTGGCAGGGGAGTTCGGAAGCTGTGACATGTGATGGAGGTATAGAGCACGAAGTAGTGTACATGCCTATCTATAAGGTACCTACAACCATGACCTACGTGTCCCTATCCGTACCAACTTGACTTGCCCGGAATAAGGTAATGGGACTAGGCGGGAAATCGGCTGCCTGTCAACGTCTCCAAGGTAAGGTACTTATTAAGTTACTGGCGGTTTATCCGTCCCGTTGAAGGGCCCCGATAATTGAAATGAAGCTTGTTCTCCTGCGGTGATACCGACTCGGAAACATATCCAGACTTCCCGCCTTGGCTCGATTGATATATTAACCTCCGGCTTGATGATTATAGCCGAACGGGATGATGCGACCGGCAATGTCGCGAGAATGTCACGTTCGCTCAGACGTAGGCTAGCGGTTAGTTTGAGTTGTGGCGTCAGTAGCTTCGCTGTGGCTGCTCTATGTAGATGCTGAATCCCGAGACATCTCTTGATGTATCCGTACTGAGCGTGTGTACGTTGTACAGAATAGAGTGGGCGGATGGTTTCGTAAGGTAGGTAGGTAGAGAAAGTACGAACGAGGCTGATCATGGGACGGGTGGTAAGGACCCTGATGCGATCCTTTCATTCCAAGGGTCTCGGAATCTAACGCTATACATGACAGCTGGGAGTTGTATCATCATGTAATCGTCATTATTTTCCTTTTCTTTTAAAGGAGAAGAATTGGCTTTAGTACTCCTGTGGCTAGAAAGATAAGATGGGACTCAACTAATGCCTAACGGAGTACGGATACATCGTGGATTCGTTCGAACACCACCGAGAATGTTGCTCTTGAAGGACCCTAGATCCTGGAGAGGGCAAGTCGAACCGAAGGGTTCAGGAGTTTTGTGCGTGCATGGATCACATAGTGATACCTACCTCATAAGGACCAATCGGGAGGTGATGAACGCAAGTTGGAGAGTGTGATGGGTGCGCGGAGATTACGCTCTAGCCATTTTTGGTTCCCTCGCGCCTCTTGGCCGGGATGATAAGTGGTGATGTGATGATGGTGATCCCGAATGGACGAATGGACGAGAAAATGTTTGTTTTTGCGAAACGAAGTGCGGAGTAATTACTCGTGGGCATTCCGATACTTCATGCCATTGGCACTTCGAGAAGCAAGTTCTTCTCTTCTGTCATGAGGTAAAGGTAATTATCAAGATTCGCACTGAAGCCCTGATGTTGCCAGTTCGCAGTCTGATTTGCGGACGCTCGTCCAATGGATGATCCTTCCTTCTCCTTCGCACAGCGAACAATTGAAATAGCAACGTCGACGATGAAAACAACCAGAAGGAAGAAAACCATATTGCTAGCTGCCGGTTATTCCCCCCTATGTCCGGCTGAGGTGAGTGATATGAACCAGAGAAGTTTCTTCCGCCCACTGGCGTAGCATCAACGTTGCTGTACGTTGTACACACAACGGCGCAGGCAGTGTTACAACGTACATGCTACATTAGCCAGGGATGCTCATTAAAGTTGCATTGCACCTTGCATGAAGCACAGAATATGGAGATTATGTACCAGGGATGCCGGTTACCCGCCATGCTACCGAGCACGAAAGCAGGTACGGTCACTATGCGTACATGTACAGAGTGCATTGTGCATTTGATCGATCGGGAACGGAATAGTCGGTGTTGATAACAAACCCCTGCTTTCATTGACGAGTTCGCAAAAGAAGACGAGTGACGGGGAAAGGAAAACTACCTAACGGATATAGGATATATAAGGTAGGATAGGACAAAACACCGACTTGGATGCATCAGAGGGAGAGGAGAAGGCACGGAAAGACAGGAAAGGGACAGCTGGTCTCGCAAGTACAACGTACCGCACAAGACCTCGTCAATCCCTGATTAAGGTAAGGTACTACGGGTAACTACCTACCTTAGGTAGTACTCGGCAACGAGCTGCCATGTAGGTACCTTACAGACTGCGAAGTAGTTGTACGGATGACTTCGTATTACAGTGTACAGTCGATGCACCCCGACTCGTCTGAAGGCGTGGGGTAGGAGAGACATGTCGGGTTCGTTGAACGAATCACTGTCCCTTCCCTGGCCACTACCTTAGTGCCCTGGCCGGCCAGGAGAGACCGAAGAGGCTTTGGGGAGAATTGGGGAGACGAAATGTGCTGATGCACGGAGGACCAACCAACAACCAAAAGGCACGGCATACAACGTGTATGGATGAGATAACGACTTGGCCTCTGAAGGTCTTCCTCCACTGTCCATCAACTCATACAATACCCAACCATATTTACCCATACCAAAATTACAACGTACTTCGTACCTGTATGCGTGGTGATTAGCTATGCCGGAAGTGGATTCTTCAACCACGCGCACTCTGCCCTTGCACATTTGACCTTGCCCCTTGCAGGCGTGATAAACAGGGACTCGTCTCGTAGGTCGATACCGTCGTCAGACCATCAGACATCTGCGCCTCTATTGAGTTGAGAGTTCCTGAGGGATGAAAGGTGAGTGCAATGACGGAAGGAGATTTTCGCCACAACATAAGGTAGGTAGTTCAATTCGAGAAGGAAAGGGACCAAACAAGGGAAGGAACTGGGGTATGAAGTACGGATATTACCTACTTCTTAGTTAGGATTTGCTTAGTACAGACAGAAGAAATAATAAATGGAAGGGAAGGGCAAGAGGGAAGGGGGGAGAGGAGGGAAAAGGGCAAAGGGCGGCGGGGAGAGAAAAAAGGGGCTGGGCACGAATAACGAGCGAGGAGTATCCGAACGAAGAAGTACAAAGTCCTTGGTACCTACTTGAGGTAGGTACCTCGATACCTCGACAAGTACGAAACCAACACTCCGTCCCTGCCCGTCCGGGGTAAACCCACAGGAGCAGATGTCTGTCCATCTCCTCCCATCACTTCTCCTTCCTACCTTATCATTCATTGATACCTGTTCAGTCTCAACACAGCAGTGTCGTCGTTTCGAGTGAGCGAACAGTGATATCGCCCGTGGTCCGCCAGCGCCTTGTTTCTAGGTCGTTTTTGCTGCCGACTGTCGTTCGTTATCCTTGTACCCACTCTCCTTGCTTTGCACGGGCTATCAGAAACGCCTCTTTTTTTTCTCGTTGCTTTTTTTCGCTACCTACTTTTCTGTTCTTGACTCGTCGTCCCTGTTTCGTCCCTGTTGTACCACACATTCCGACCTTCACTTCTCCACCTTACACCACCTTTCCTCCACACGCGGCACGCGACTCGGCCCAAACAATTAGTTTGGCTTCAAGACACTGGCGTCGAAGGTGAAGGCGGTTACTCTCATCGTATTGGTGGTCTGTTTCCCTCGTGGGTATCGAAACGGTATTGAAACGGTCAAAAGTCAGCCCAGAAAGAAAGTGCAGAAGGCGGGCTTCAACCACCGGCGAGTCGACGCTTTTCGTCCCGCTCCCTTCCCTTTCCGCGACACTTCCTTTCTCTCGACCTCCTTCCTCCGACATCACCTCGACAGCACCCATCTTTACTACCGACATACGGCTCCGCGACTCGGTCACTAATCCAAAAATCCGCTTCCACCCGACGACGAACGACTCGGCCCCCTTCCCCTCCCGCGACGTCTCGAAGTCCCCAATTCGTTCCCTTGAGCCTCTCGATTTCATTCGATATCCCTTCGTTTTTTCGAAGATACTGTCCCCTCGCTGTCTCTATAGGAAGCGTTTTTTGCTGTTTGCGATTTGTCATCGGGTTTCTGCCCCATCTTCGTCTCGACTTTCGACTTCAACCGCGACTCTGAAATCCTGAACATTGTCAAGTCGCGTACACGCACAGCACAGGACACGGAACCTGAGACGGAATACTGGCGTCGTGGAATCAAACATATTCCTTGCGCAGCGTTCTTATCTACATACAATTGGCTACATCGAGTCGACGCTCTCGGATATACGTAACCAGCTTGTTGGACCTTGTCTCCTCCTGCATTTCCGCTCGCTCTACCTTCCCGCCTTACCCACGCCCTCATCGGACACCGCTCTCTGGGCTTCCACCGTGAAATTCATCAACGTCGTGACAGTCCTCGTCTTAGTCTTTGGTAAGTTCCCCGCCTCTTTGGGTCGCCGTACTGCCCAGTCCTGTTTACAACCACATCTTCTCCGACTGACTTTCCTAGTTGGTGTGACAGACCTTCATGGCTACCCCCTCGTCTTGAGCCATCTGCGAATAGAGACGTCACATAGGCAACCGCGACCGCATTCCATTTTCAGCCTCCTCCCCGCAGAAACCGCGCACACCCCGCCGGACATCCGTCATACAACCACCATGACGACCACACTTCCACGCCCCTCCCGCCCCTCAAACGGGCCACCGACCATCGCACTTCCTGCACTCCCTGTCTCTAAGACTCGCAAGAGCACCGGAGCCCTTCCGTCCCCTACCAACAAGTCTGCCCCCAACACACCTAGGAGCGGCCTTAGGGCCCCCTCGACCACCTTCGCTCCTCCTCCGTCCCCGGCCCCAACATCCGCCTTGCCTCAGCCTCGAGCGGTCTCTACCATCGGCACCCCGGCCAGGACCCTTCGAAAAACCGTCAGCATTAATTCATTTCCGCAACCACCACGGAACGAGACCCGCATTAACAGTCTGCCGCCGAGCCCACTAGGCCTCGACGCCTCCCGCAACTCGGCGCGCAAGCCGAAAAACCCCACCACACCTTCGTACCTGCATCTAAGCAATAGCACCCCGAGTCTCCTCAACAACAGTGGGGAGGGCAAGTCAATATCTAGCGCTAGCGTGCGCATGTCAGATGGCCTGTTCAGCGTCTCCTCGCCTCCTCAAAGCCGCAGCTCCTCGGCCCAGGATTCTTATTCCACCTCCGCCACCACCTACGACGATTTGGCCGACGGAGCGGCATCCAGACACGCGGGCGACTCGAGCGAAAAGAGGTCATCGAAGACGGACGGAAAGGGCAACGTCCTTGTCAGTGTGAGGGTTCGGCCAGACGCAGGAGGCAATGAAAATAACAAAACCGAAGGAGAATGGATGGTGGATGGCCGGAGGGCACTCATATCATGCCGTGGCAAGGAGGGCGGCGACTATCACTATGGTACGATAAGACCCTTTCAACCGGCGGAGCGACGCGCCTGATGCATACTAACACCATCTTCTAATTTCATGTAGATAACGTCTTCTCAACGCACGACGACAACGGCAAAGTGTACGATCATATCGCGAAGCGGCTTGTTCGCCGCGTCATGGAAGGTTACCATGGCACAGTATTCGCCTACGGAATGACTGGCACCGGCAAGACCTTCTCCATGCAAGGCACGGCCACTTCTCCTGGCGTCATCCCCCTTGCTATCACCGACATCTTCTCCTATATTAGGGAGACCCCGTCCAGGGAATTTCTGCTACGCGTCAGTTATCTTGAGATCTATAATGAGAGGATCCACGACCTCCTCAGCATGTCCACAGGCGGCGGTATCGGCAGTAACGCAGGGCAGGATGAGATCAAGCTGCGCGAAGACGCCAAGCGGGGCGTCTACGCCACGCCACTCAAGGAGGAAATTGTGCAAAGCCCTACCCAACTTCTCCGAGTAATCGCTCGCGGTGACCAAGCTCGCAGGACTGCGAGCACCCAGTTCAATTCGCGGAGCTCGCGAAGTCATGCCGTCGTCCAAATCGTCGTGGAGAGCCGAGAGCGCGTGCCGGGAAATACAGGGGGCGAGAGCAAGCGATCCGGCATGCTCCCCGGCGGTGTCCGTGTGTCAACGCTGAGTCTGATCGATCTGGCTGGCTCGGAAAAAGCCGCCGAGTCGAAGGAACGCCGAACCGAGGGCTCGCATATCAACAAGAGTCTACTGACGCTAGGGACTGTCATCTCCAAGCTGTCCGACCATAAAGACAAGGATGGCAAATCTGATGGGAAAGAGGGAAAGCATTTACCCTACCGAGACAGCAAATTGACGCGGCTACTGCAGGGCGCGCTATCCGGCAATTCCCTGGTTAGCATTCTGTGTACGATACAGATCGGCTCGGCCGGAAGCGCCGCCGCCGCTAACAGCCACACCACGGAGACAATCAACACCCTCAAATTCGCGTCAAGGGCGAAGAACAACATCGTCAGCCATGCCAAGAAAGCCGAGGAAGCGTTGGGCAGTGGCGGCGACGGCGGCGCAAGGGTGTTGTTGGAACGTTACCGTATGGAGATCCTCGAGCTGCGGCAACAACTAGAGCTGCAGGCCAAGGCGAAGAAGGATCGGAAGGCTCTAGAAGAAGAGGAGAAGGTCGCTGAGGAAGAGAAGGCCAGAGAGCTGGAGGCCGAGTATCGGCACGAGGAGCAGATGCTCGAGATGCAGCTGGCACGTACGGCACTCAAGGAGCGCATCGACCATTTGAACCGCCTCATTCTAAGCTCCAAGTCGATCGGCGTGAACAGTGGTTCCTTCAGTTCGCTGGGTGTCCGGGCTTCCATGTTATCAACGCGGTCCTCGGTGGCCACTCCGACGAGCGGCCGACCAACGATTGAGAGGTCGTCATCCTTAACTTCGGCATCGTCGACGGTCGGTCGCCGCTCCAGCGGCGGCGGCCAGAGGCTTTCCGGCGGAGAAACGGGGCCAGAGGACGACGATAGTGTGGGCGAGTTTGGGGATAGCGTAGCGTCGCTCGCCGCTCAGAACCGAGCTCTGCAGGCCGACCTCGCCGACAAGAACCGATACATTCAGACTCTCGAGAAACGACTAGTACAGGCGCGGAGGGCCAGCTCTTCCCGAGCGTCTACTGGCTTCTCCGCCACGAGTAAGGGCATTCTCGTTGGAGAAGACCACAGCGTGGCGGCGCTGCTCAAGGACAAGGATGCCGAGATCATAGACCTTCGAGCACGGCTGGACGACAAAGACCGGATACTCGCGGCGCTACGCACCGCAGCCAGATCCCGAGACGTCGCCGAGGGCACCACGGACGGGAGGACTTCACAGCTCCTCGACAACATGCCACAACCGCCGCTCAGCCCGCCCGCGACGGTGACACCTGGTACGGGAGCGTTGGACACCCGCAAACGACGGAAGAGCGTGGATGAAATGAGTAAGATGCTGGAGGAGATGATTCATGAGCGGGTCGAGAACGGCCAGATTATTCGCGGTACCCGAGGGAGTGTCCGGGTCGCAGATCATCGTAGGCTCGAGTCTCTGCCCGAGCCTGCTGCGGAACTAGAGCCGCTCGCATAAAGCCTAACACCCTAAGATGAGAAGGATCCTAAGGTGCTTGTGGGAGCGTAAGTGGGAATTTGCGACTCGCCCGTTATCTCGAGGATGTTGAAATGTTCTCTATCGGGGCGACTCGGCGTGTTGTTACCATGAGAAGCTTAGAGATTGCTGGTTCGATGGGAGCTGAGGCGTTTTGAGGCTGGGATTATGCGCGTCTGTTGTCACGTTATTTTCATCTTCCTTTCTTTTTTCCCTCTTTGTTTTTCTTTTTCTTCGTCTCCTTCTCTTCTTCGCTTTTGTGCACTTTTCTGGTTTCCTTTTGCGCTTTTTCTTTTCGTTTTCTTTTGCTGGATATTTATACCCGACACTCTTGTTTGTAAACGTAAGGACTCCCCCTAGGGGAGCCAAGGAACACGCGCAGTTCTGGGACTAAGGCGTCTTTGCTCGTTGCTATGGCCAGGTTCTTTGATAGAGTCTCCGGCTTGTTTTTGCTGTTATGCTTTGTTGGTTATGGAAGACGTAGGTAACGTAGCCGCGGAAAAGGATAATGGTTGTTTTTCTTTTCTTTTCCACGTCGATACGCGTTGCGCCTATTTTAATGCCGTAGAGGGGATGAGGTTGGGATGGGTCATGTACAAAGTATCTAGGCGGACAGGCAGAGAGAAAAAGAAAGGAAAAGAAAAGTGAAGTCTGTACGCAAGTTGACAGGCTTTGGGTTTATTAGGAGACATGGTTCTTATTGTACGGACGAGGCCAAGCCGTGGCGGAAAGAGACGTTCACCCAAGTTGATTTCCCATCCTTGCCTATCAGTTGTCATGCAGCCAGCCATCCTTTGTGTGGACAATCAGGATATTATCAGGATACTATGAGCTGAGCGAACCCGACATCTTTCTTTTGGATTGCTTTCTACCGTGTTACTACGGGCTCGATAATAAAGGTGCTCTCTCTGTATTCTCTGTACCACGGTCACAGCGCATCACTCTCCCGAGAAGACACTACTGATGCCGAAGACGACAAGAGGCAAACGAAGGAACCGAGAAGGAGACCGAGAAGCCGCACAGAGATCCCCTTTTTTGCCCTGACATGCCACCTCGACACGAGTTGGTAACAAGGGTATTATTTGTTGCGTATCGGATCATTGTTCCGCCTTGTGACATGATTCGCGAGAGCTGTTTGCTTTGATTGTCCCCCGTTTGTATGCTGTGACCTTGTGTCATGCGGTACACTATGAGGTTCGCGCGTGTACGTGTACACCCATACACCCACCGTAAGACCACTGCGTAGATGCATGATGTCCTTTGGAGGATCCGATCTTCCTCGCTTTTCCCCCCTCGTCGTCTACTCTTGTCGGATGCACAGGTTCCGACCCGGGTGGTCGTCCGGACGGCTGTCTCTGGTCCGATTATGAGGCACACTACGAAAAGATACGATATGCGGCATATGTAAGTGTCGGGAACACGGGATTCATTTGTTGTTACCATACCTTATACAGTGGGTGTAACAGTAATTAATTACGTTGTACACTAAACAGCTCACTGTTCCTAGCGGGAGACAAATCCCGCGTACAATCTAGGGGTCCTTTACAAAGTAGAATTCTGGGGCTTGACAGGTACCGATTGGCTCGGGTGTGTTTCATTCCCGCAAATAGCAAATTTTGTTTGTGGGGGGTGCCAAGACCTTGGAAACGACCCCTTCTGAACTGGCCAACGGTGTGGGTACCGAGTCTCTTTAGCGCCGTCTCGGAAAGAGTAGAGTACTTCATGGCGGAGTGTCTTTGAAGCAGAACCCGGCTGAAAATGTACTTTGTCGGGAAGTATCCTGGGAGCCTAGGGGTCCCCGCACATTGCGTCACAAGTTCCTCTGATCGTGAGACCCCGAGGGGCTACTTTTAAAGGCACGAAGTAGTGTAAGGTACCTTACGTTAGTGTACAACGTACGTACGAAGGTAGCAATGAAGGCATGATCCAGAACCTAGTCGGTCTTGGAATGTACCTACTTCAAACGGTCCTGTCTCTACGATGCGGCATCCCAATGGGGTACACCTGGGGCCCAAGCAATTCAAGAGGAGTGTGAATGAAGTACAAATTCTGGTCTAATCCTTGCCCATCAAACGCAACCAGGGGCACGACGATCTACATTGAGAATTTCCACGTACGTACAAGTGGACTGCTTGGCTCTTCCGTGAATGGATATCAAAGACTCGGAACGACTCGGTGCCTCAGCTGCTTGCTTCGTTGTTGGGGGCGTTCTTGGATCCATTTCCCTGCCATTTATTTTATTTTCGTTTTGCATCTCCCGTATACCGGGTTTTTCTTTTCCCTTTGGTTTATTACCCTTGGTCGAACCCGACCCGAGAGGACAGGACACCCAGGTGTCACGACTTCTTGTCGCCTTACTCTTACACCGACTATTAGCTGCGGGGAGAAGGAAGGAAAGACAAAGACAGAAATAAGCAGGAAGACACGGGGACCCTTATTATACCCTGGTCTCCTTTCCTGTCTCTTTCTGCCACGTCTCGTTGGACTGTGACGGCATGATCGGCAAGGAGATCAACCTACCGTCATTTACGGCTCTATTCCTCTCCGCCTGATCATCTTCACGCATTTCCCCTTCTCGGACGAGGATCCGCTGGACACAGGAGGGTTGATTGAGAACGCTGAGACCTAGCACTGCCGCCTCGGTGGTCTATTTTTTCATCCCTTAGTTTATCTTCCCACCACGCTGGCCCCGATAGTTTCCTCACAACGCTCACTTGTATCATGAGTTTAGCCCTCGAGTGTGCACTCGGTTGCCATTCTTTACCGGGCCCCCACTAGTCATCAGTCTCTAGAACTGTGGAGATTCTTCTCGGTGTCTTTTCTTTGTCTGTTCGAACCGCTCACGGATATCTCCAGACTCATATGTCCCACTAGCAGGATTGGAAGGGTATTGCGCAATTTGGAGCCTCAACCACCCATACCACCACCAATACGGTCACTTCTCCCATTCGAAACATCAAGCTTTTCCGATGCAATGGCGTCTAGGAATAAGCTGCCGGCGCCGCTGGATCTCAGCAGGTCCAAGACGACAACGTCCTCGCCGCGTATGAATCTGCGCCGAGCTGCTTCATACAACAATGATAAACAGCTCTACTGTAATGCGCCGCTCTCTGCGACATCATCTCGCTTCAGCTTTAATCACCTCCTCTTCGCCTCTCCGCCGCCCTCCCCGAGCTTGCCCGCCCTTGTCCCCCGTCCCCGAAAGTCGCCCAACCGTCCCCGACCCAGCCGAGTCCTCCGCGTCGTCTTCTGGCTTGCTTTCGTCCTCCTGATATTCTACTTTGCAACAATCTCCGTCCGAGGCAACGTCCCTGTGGACATCCCCTACATATCCCGGAAACAGGAAGAATTCGAGATGGTCGGACAGGACGAACTGCCCGACTTTGCCACTCCCATTGTGGTCACTGGCAAGAGTGGGAGGTCGAAGTGGACCGTGTCTATCCCTGCCCACTTGGACTTCCCTCTGTCGACCCGTGACTACGGCGAGATGTGCAGCAAGTGTCGAGAGGTTGCTTCCCGCGTCAGGGATATGAGGAACAGGAGTCCTCCTCCTCCTCCTGAACAGGCTACCATAAGCCGTGGGGGCCCTGTGGATAGATACTTTCTTGACGTCCAGGACGCGGAGAAGGTTGGCCTCTTGCCGGGGACGGTTGTGAGGCAAGGTTTGCAAGGCAACATCATTGGGGTGCATCAAAACTCCGTCGGCCAACAGCCGATCTGCGAAAGCAGCATAACCTTCGTGTTAGAGACGGCGGATCCCGGCATCGGCCACACGATCATGGAGCTCTGGATTTTCTATGGGTTGGCCATGAAACAGGGTCGCGCTTTCTTCATCGACGACACGAGATGGGCGTACGGGAAATACACAGATATCTTCCGGCCGCCCCCGTTGCCCAACTGCCGCCCACCGCCGCGCCATCAGATGCTGCCGTGTCCTGCGCAGGCCCGGCACTTGGTCGTCTCCCCAGCGACAGCACGCGAGCTATGGACTGACGCGCTGAACAAGCCCCATCTGGACCTTCAGTCCAGCAAGAGCGACTCGGCAGTGCGGGAGCTGTTCGACCTCGCGCATAAGGGCTATCAGGGGCTATTTGACCTGAACGAGGACGATGCCAAGCATGTGATGGACCGGGCCAACACGCTTAAGACCAAAGCTGCTTCCGAGACGAACAGCGGCAAGGTCGTTGGCATGCATGTCCGACACGGTGACCGCCATCCCCTCGAGTATCAGTATCGTAGCACGTATATACCGATGAGCGTGTTTACGGAACGAGCGAACGAGCTGGTAGGCAGTGGCCAGGGGGTGGAAGACGAAAAGTCCGCCGTGGTAGTGGTGGCCTCTGACGACCCGCTCGTGTACGAGGCGGGGGAGCTGTCGGGGAGCCATCGCGCGCAGGAGCAGATTCGCCTGGCGAGCAAGCCGCCCCCTGCCAAGCCGGCCAAGAAGGCCAGCTCGCGGGCGATGCACCGCTTCGAGGACGAGGCCTTCGGGTGGGAAGGGGGGTTCTTCGGGTCCATGTTCTGGGGCCTGGGCGCCTCGAGCATGAGCTCGTCCAACGCGGCGACGACGGAGAACATGAAGCTCCCGCCGTCGGAAGAGTCGCTGCGGCTCAGGAGCTACATCGGGAGGGCATATGTGATGGACCTGGCGGTGTTGGCTCGGTCTGGTGACTACGTGATTTGCACGGTCAGCGCCATGGGCTGCCGTCTGTTGGCTGTCATGATGGGCTGGGAGAGTGCGATGAAGGAAGGCCGCTGGGTCAATGTTGATGGAGACTACGGTTGGACGGCCCTGGCCTGGTGATCACTTCTTTCCTTTCCCCCCTTTTAGTCCAGACCTCCCCGACGGCAACACATAATATTGCGAAGCAGGTTAGTTTGGGAGGTAGACGCTCGACTCATGAACCTAACGGCCTTTGTTACGCCTAGAGCAGGACCACAGCAGAGTCCAAGAGGGCGAGAGATCAGTGAGATTATACCCATATACCTACTTCTGAATATACCCATGTACATACATTACTTTGCACATACCTTACTCTACACCGAAGACAACCGACATTTCGGTTTTTCGGTTTCATGCTTTTGGGGGAAATGGCTTCGTCAGCGCACCCCCCCTCCTTTTTTTTTTCTTCTTCCTTTTTCTTCCTTTCTCTCTCTCTCTCTCTCCTTTTTTTACTTTCTTTTTTTCCCTTGAATTTCTTGTCTTCACTTAAATCCTGTTTCCTCCGATTTTCCATTTAGTTAATGTAATAATGGACCCCAACTACACAGCATTTGCGCGCTTCTTCGAGCATATAATATGCATATTTCATCTAATTTGTCCAAAGGAGGGAAAGCCATCTCGGTCTCCGTGATTCAGAACATGGGATAAGCAATGGACCAACCCTTTGAATAGATGCTGGAGCATTCGTGTTTAACATGACAAATCTCGAAAGAAGCCCGCCTCATCCAATGGCGTCTCGGACAATCTCGCAATTTCCCTTCATGGCAAGGTGTTCAACCACATCTTAGGTCAAGAAACAACACTAATAATCAGGGACAGAGAGTCATGCCATATAAGCACAAAAAGAGCTACCCTTGTACGTCAAGTGGGGATCTCCCTTTGGGTCGGAGTCGTTGCCAAAATCTGTGGATGTACTTTGTAATATTCAGTTCAGGCAGGAAGGAACAAACAACGTAACTGCTTCAAGGGGTCAGGGGATTAGGGGATACGAATACGAGAGGCTGACCGCCTACTAAATTTGGACTGTGCAACGGTGTTCCTGGAAAGGTAGGGCCAACCAAGTAAAAAAATACTGCCAGTCAATTTAAACCGCCCACCTTTCCACGCGCGTTCACCTCCTTATCTTGCATCAAGCCAACAACGGACAACCAAACGACTGACGACTGACGACTGAACGAGCCTATCAGAGTCAAACAGTCAAAAATTCAAGCGCAACAGGCAACGGCATCTGTCGATAACCTGGATGCAAAAGCTTGGGGTTTTCAGCTTGGAACAAAGGGGTTGAGCAGTCGTTTGGCAACTTGGAAAAGCACTCTTTCCTTCTTTCTTCGTTTTATCCCCTACAACCATGGGTGTTCTTCAGGACCTCGCGGGACCTTCGTCCCAGTATTTCGAGAGTTTGGGCACTGCTTCGCAAGTCGGGATTGTTCTTCTGACGGTCCTGTTCCTGTCCGTTGCGCTCAATGTCGCGTTGCAGTTTTTCTCCCGCAATCCCAATGAGCCTCCTCTTGTCTTCCACTGGTTCCCCTTCATCGGTAGCACTATCACCTACGGCATGGACCCTCCCACCTTCTTCACAGAGAACCGGGAAAAGGTATGTGTTCGATTGCAATTACAATGTCAAGATGCCACTAACACGATTCCGCACCCTACAGTATGGTGATGTTTTCACCTTTATCCTCCTCGGCAAGAAAACCACTGTTTACGTCGGTCCCAATGGCAACGATTTCATCCTCAACGGCAAGCTGCGCGATGTTAGCGCCGAAGATATCTATACCGTCCTGACCACTCCTGTCTTTGGCAAGGATGTCGTTTACGATTGCCCTAACTCCAAGCTGATGGAACAGAAGAAGGTAATGATAGATGCACCCCTCTTCCCTACGCCAGCTAAGCTGTTGAGTGGCATACTGACGGGTGTATTATCTGCAGTTCATGAAGATCGCTCTGACTACTGAGGCTTTCCGTTCCTACGTCCCCATCATCTCTCACGAGGTTACGAGCTACTTCAAGACGAACAAGGACTTCAAGGGCAAGTCGGGCATCGTTAATATCTCTGCCAAGATGGCTGAAATTACCATCTTCACCGCATCCCACGCCCTCCAGGGCTCGGATATTCGGGGCAAATTCGACGAGTCGCTAGCTGCCCTTTACCACGATCTCGACATGGGCTTCTCCCCCATCAACTTCATGCTCCACTGGGCGCCTCTGCCCTGGAACCGGAGGCGCGACCACGCCCAGCGCACTGTCGCCCAGATCTACATGAACACCATCAAGGAGCGCCGTGCGCAGGGTAATACCGCCGGCCTGGACATGCTTACCCATCTCATGAACTCATCTTACAAGGACGGCACCAAGGTCCCCGACCACGAAGTCGCCCACATGATGATTGCACTCCTCATGGCTGGCCAGCATTCGTCCTCCTCTACCAGCTCCTGGATCATGCTCCGTCTCGCCCAGAACCCCGCCATAATGGAAGAGCTGTACCAGGAGCAGATCCGTGCTCTGGGCTCCGACTTGCCTCCCCTGAAGTACGAGGACCTCGCCAAGCTCCCCCTCAACCAGGCCATCGTCAAGGAGACTCTCCGCCTCCATGCGCCCATCCACTCCATCATGCGCGCCGTCAAGCAGCCCATGCCCGTGCCCAACACCAAGTATGTCATTCCGACCTCGCATGTGCTCCTCGCTGCGCCGGGCGTCTCCGCTTCCGACCCCGGCTACTTCCCCAACCCGGACATCTGGGACCCCCACCGATGGGATCCCAGCTCCCCCAACGCGCCTACCATCAACCGCAGCGACGTCGAGGACGAGAAGATCGACTACGGCTACGGTCTGGTCAGCAAGGGCTCCGCTTCTCCCTACCTGCCTTTCGGCGCTGGCCGCCACCGCTGCATCGGCGAGCACTTCGCGAACGTGCAGCTGCAGACCATCACCGCCGAGGTTGTGCGCCTCTTCAAGTTCCGCAACCCCGATGGCAGCGACAAGCTCATTGGCACGGACTACGCTTCTCTCTTCTCGCGGCCGTTGGAGCCGGCCAATATCTACTGGGAGAGGCGCCAGTGATCAATTTTGATCAAGTAATCATGTGTAATGGCACAGGCGGGGTGGTATGTGTATGTTAAAACGCATGGCGTGCAGGTACGGGATTTTTGCTGCATTGTTGTACATAACAGGAATGAACCTCTCGGTAGGCCGGATCACCGTGGCGGACAAATGGCACGGACAAGAAACACAAGGGCCTTCCAGGAGGGCACTGAAACATAAGAACTGAGGGATTTCGGGCAGACAGTCAGGTTCCGGCGTTGATAATACTTTCTAATACTAATTAATACTGACCATGAATATTGCTCCTGCCACTCATTTCCCCATTGGCATGTCCATTGATCGTTCGAAGTCAGGCGGTAGCGGAGGGTCGAGTTAATAAGGGCCTGGGATAGAAGCACGGGGAGGGGAATGCCAATGACTTTGGAGGCGCTTCCTGGAAACCAGGTGGTGCTGCCTGTCTGGTGTCCCTGATGACCGCGGTTAGACCTTACGCTATCCAAGGAAGGAGCCGTCGAGGTACGGCAAGGCAATGGCTCCTTCCTTGCATACCTCACCTACCTACCTACCTATGTAAGACTATGTAAGGTAGGTACTAATAACAAGTGCGTCGGTCACTCCTTCCGGTGCCATTGGATATGGTCTGTGTCTAGGTACCTAGTACTCTCACTGTGTGTAACTTTTAGCAGTGGGACACATAGGACATGACATGTGTATTCGTATGGCATTTGGGCCAGGGAATTACAAGGTCTTTACGATGCCTGGGGATCTATTCAATTCAATCCTCTCCATCGTTCTTGTTGTGCTGCCACTTCTGGTTGAATCCGACTTCATATGACATGCATTTGAGGACCCTCGCCAATTAAGCTTGCTCCAGTCGTTCGAACACAAGAGGAGAGCATAGAATCATGGGCCCGAATCCCTCCTTCTCCCAACATATCACGCGCCACCATTCGCTGCTAACCCCGTCCAACAGTCAGGGGCAATCATCCCAGTATGGAGACACGGAGTCCAAGCAGACAGACGGCTACGATACACGGAGCCCTGCGACCCAGCTGGACTTTACGAAACAGTTTAGGCCCCATCCAGACAACGAGCAACTCCGGCGCCAGCGAAGCAAGACTATTCGGCAGACGCTCGCTGCAAGCAACAACAAAGAAACCTTGGGACAGCCCAAGAACGCAACGGACCTGGCGGCTTCCCTCGTTAGTTTAGTTCTCCCATACGACGTCCGGAACCTGCAGCGAAGCCTTTTAAAGATGCAGGACCGCGTCAAGGCCGTCGAACTCAAGGCCGAGGAGAATTCCGAGGCGCGGGACTGTGCCAACAAGACTTTACACGTTTTGCAGGACGAGCTCAAGACGGTCCAGGCCCTCGTCCGCAAAGCCGGGCCTGACTTGACCGACCAGATGGGTATGGAAGGGTGGATGGAAGAGGTCCGCAGCCGCCACTCTCAGATGATAGAAGCTGTCGCCCAGTTCAACGAGGAGCGCGAGAAACTCTCAAATGAACTGAAGCGCCAGCTGGACCAGGTGCAGCAACTTCATGCTGAACTCGCTTCGCAACGCTCCCCGACAAGGGGACAAGCAATCCTGCAGGTCGACAGACCTTCAGCGGATGCTGAGGGCCCAGCTTTCATTGACGATGATGCTTCAGATGAAACACCCAGAGCGCATCCTGTGGACAATGATGGGAACGAGAGCCAGAAGAGGGACAACGAGATTTCCCTTGCCCAGATACAGACAAGAGACGAGGCCGACATCTCCACGGCCTCTGACTCTGGAGCCGAAGAAGGCCCGGCAACAACCCACAACGTCAGAGCTTGGAGTCATGAGCAAAAGACAACGGTGCCCAACCGTCAGAACGAAGAGGACATTGAAGAACCCACCCAGGCCCCTCGTTTGCTTAGGAGCCAGGTTAAGCAAAGCCCCAAGGCAGTCGAGCATCGAAAAACGGAACGTAGCATGATATGCAAGCCCATAGCCAAGGTTTCAACGTCAACAGGCCCCAGTCGTCGAGCTGCCTTCGCGAACTATATGAAGCGGTTCAATGTCAAGTACGAGTCAGACACGCCGAAAACGTCCAGAGGGCATAAAGACTTTGTGTGGTACTTCCTTGATAACATTGAAGACAAAGAAATGTCCTCATATGTACAGAAATGCCTGCAGGATCGCCTCCCTGAACTGATATCGCCGTCTAAGGGGAGGGGGAAGCCTTACCGCGAGATCGTATTCACCGGCCAGCTCAACTGGAAACAGGTATTAGATGCCATTAAAACCATGCCTATGCCGCCCTTCTTCTCTTGAAATCTCCAAGGGACGACGGTTTCACAAAGAAGATAGCTATACCTGGCAGAGTAGCAGGACGAGATCTAGCCAAAGAGAGGAGATATCATGAACGAAGGGGTCGAGGCGTGACGGGAGAAACGCAAATTGTTGGGGAATTTAGTCAATATGGGGAACGCTATCCAGCAAAATCCTAGAGCTCGTGAGAGAAGGATTCATGTATTACCGTCGGCCTCGAGGTTTCGGGGAACGGTCTCAAACGTCATGTATCTGAATACCTAGGTAATTACCAACAACTCGAAATCTGTTCCGCGACGTCGCGTGTTCTTGGTCGCGTTAGGTCGAAAGAAAGATACGTACCCGTACAAGGTACCCTGTAGGATTCTCGCAGCTGTGCTGTGGCGGTGGTACCTTCGTATGGATAGGTACTAGCGATTAACCTCAAAGGTAAATCGTCATTGAACTGCTCCAACCCGTCTGACCTTCCCTTAATCTCACAGCGGGCCAAACCTACTACACGGGAAGGCGAAACCCCATGGATCTTTATCGAAACACCGGAGAATAGCAATATATTCGAGGTACAACGGAAAAACTTCTCTCGACGCCAAACCATTCATCCATTACGCCCCAACTCTAGAGATATTCAGCCATTGCCGGTTGTCACCCCCATCAATTGCCTGCGACTTGCCTCCTCCCGTCAATATCCTCGATTTCAGACAACTCGCACGCAATAATACCTTCTCAGCCGCTCTCCAGCGATCGCTCCTTCACATAGAACTTGCCCTTGTACCGTCAATATGTCGGACATAGGCACCTCCCAGCCGCCTCAGCGCCCCAAGTTGAAGCTGAGCATGAGCTCGCGGGGAGCCTCATTTGACGATCCCCAGGCACCGCAGTCCGCAGCCACACCCAGCGCGACACCCAAGATCATTCTCAGACCTTCCCAACCATCCACACCGGCTGATACATCTGCACCTGCGCCTCAGAAGACCAAGGCAGGACGACAAACCAAACCGACGAACAAGTTGATCGAGTCGAAGAAACGAGAACAGCAAGAGGACGACGATGACGAACTGTTGAGCGCGAGCCAGCCCACGAAGAGGATCAAACTACTCAAGGCACCCAGCTCGGCGGTGGCGAGAACGGGCGCCGGCGGGCTCATTCTTAAGTCAAAGGGAAAGCCGCCACACCACCCGCCTGGCGATGGATACGACTCGGAAGCCAGCGACCGGGAACAAGACCCGACCATAGAGGAACAGTTCATTTTACGCATGATGCCTGGCGAACACTGCGACTACATAAGACGATGCATGGACGAGGGCAAGATCGGCGTACCTCGTAGCCAGGGCGGGGCAGACGTGTGCATCAAATGGCTAGAGGAGGAGACCCGGCGTGCCATCGTGTACGTCAAAGGCCAGCCCTTTGCCGCCGTCATGGTCGAGCTGCCCACCATCACAGAGTCGATGAAGACCTGGGATCGCAAGACCTTGATGAAGTCCGCGGATCTATGCCACATGCTCCTCGCCTTTCAGAAGGTGTCATCGGAAGAAGAGGCTAGGAAGGTGCCGTTGCCTCCCATGGTGCAGCCGGGGTTTAAGTGGCCCCATGGACTGACACCACCAATGCACGACGCCGTCAATCAGAGGTTTGCGAAGGTTATCAGCCGATCCGAGATTGAACTCAAAGAAGCAGAAGTTAAGAAGCTGCTACAGGCCGATGCAGCGGCGCTGAGTACCCGGTTCGAGCTCATCGACGACAGGCAATTACAGTCCGAGGAAGAGGTGGAGATGGAGGCGGAATATTCCGAGGAAGAAGAGGATGCGGAGGGCGAACTCGACGAGAGCGGCTACTTCCCGGCAGATGGCTACGCGGACGGCGAGATGCTGGAAGACGATCTAGCCGCCGAGATGGAGGCCGCTTTCGAGATGGAGTTGGCGAATCAACCCGCCGATGCTGCCACGCCGGCTACTCTGCCCGAGGGTGTCACCCCTCGGACTATGGACTCTGGGACGCCGGCTCCCGCCGCGCAGGAAAGCGCAAACGACGAGGATGAAGAGGAGGAGGAGGAAGAGGAGGAGGTCAGCGAGGAGGACGAGGATAGCGATGTGGATCACGAGGAGCAGTCGCGCATCAAGGGCGTCAAGCAGGATATTGCGGCGCTCAAGAAGACTATTGCTCAAGCTGAGACTGAACTCGCTCATCATGCGGGTAACAAGATCCTACGGAATCGTCTGGAGATGAGGCTGAAGAGCCTGAGAGGCGAGCTTGGGGCCAAGCTATCTTCATTACCACAGGGGGAAGAAGACGATGAAGATTGACATGCGTAATATCTTACATTATTATGAAATGGGTATTTAATAACGATGGCCAAGCAGCTTGAGAATTCTTTCTCTTTCTTTTTTTCGAGCACAACCCGGCGGTTCAATGGCCTCGGCCAAAAATGATAGAGCGTTTCCAGGTAGTCGTTCGATATAATAATCTATTGACGACAACAAGAAGCTGTGGTATACAAGCCGGACACAGGTCAGGCAAATTGCAGGTAATATACAGAGCTTTTGCCAGCTCGATTTGCTCCCACCATCCATACTGCTACATGCCAACGTACATATTCCTGCCTCCCCGAACATCCGACAAGTTACCCCCGTCAGTCGAGGGTCAATTCGAAAGACACAACTGTGGTATGCTTTTCCAAGGGTTGAAAAGAACGTAATACCCTGTAGAGTGGTCCCATCTGGTGCTCTCCATCCCATTTTTCCCCTCTTTACATCGACTTGAGGTAATTGGCCTCCTTGATCTTGGCCTTGCGCTCCTGCCGCATGGCTTTACGGAGTTCCTCGCGCTTCTCGGCCGCAAAGAGGTTGTCGGCGACATCGCCGTCCTCCTTACCGGGCAGATTGACGGACTGGTGCTGCAGGGGCACCTTGGGGGCCAGGGCATCGAGGTTGCCCTCGGCGAGGAGCTTGGCTTGGATTTGCTTCTGGCGCTTGGCGGCTAGGCGGCGCTGCTTTGCGGATTTGGCTGTTGCAGAGAGAAAGAGAGAGAGAGAGAGAGAGAAAATAAGTGTCAGCGCGCTGGAAAATAAGAGAGATTCGAAGAGAGTGCTTGACGGGGAGCTGATTCTCCGAGTTTGCACTTGGGTGTTTTCGTGGTAAATACGTACAGAACTCATCGCCAGCGTTGGCGTCAGCTTCGTCAGAAGCAGTAGACTTGAATTCGAGGCAGTCCCACAGCCATTCGGGGTATTCCTCGTCAGGGAGCGCCACGGGGTCCGTCTGGCTCTTGAAGTAGTTGAGGCCGGTGAGGACGGTGCCGGGAGGGCAAGAGGAGGGCGGCCGGGCGGGCTTCGAGCCGGCGTTTCCGGCAACGGGTGCGTCGACGGGTGTCGAGAGGGTGGGCATGCTCGAGGGTGAGGCGGTCTCTGAGGCCGGCGAGGCTTGTGTCGTTGATTGTGTTGATGTTCTTGAAGGGGAGGAAACGGAAAAGGCTCTGGGGAGGAGGGTGCTCAATGGCGGATGAGTTCGGACGTTGAGTGCCGTGGCACGGCGGAGGCAGGTTCGGCAAATCATGGCAACCAGTTTGCGCTGTCTGGCTAACAGCAGGGTTTGCTTGAAGGTGGTGGTGGTGGTGGTGGTGGAAGTTGGGGAGTTGTTGCGACGCGGGTGTTTGGAAGTGGTTACTAAAATTTCTGGGCGGCACGAGCTTCTTTTACTCCGTCGACAGCGCTCCGGGTGAGGTTCCGAACCACCACACAACCACTTCGACTACACTTGGACGCTTTAGACGTAATTACTGCCAAACTGCAATTGTTATGAAAATTTAATTGACTGCTTCTAGTTACACATCATTCGCGTTTTCATGCATCTTGGGCCGATGTTCAAGGCCACCTGAGTCTATATTTGGTAGATGATTGTGCCTTATAAGCGCATAACTCGATTGATTCATGGTGGTATATGTACATATTGGAACAGGGCTCATCTCCGGCTCATGCCCCCAGCAATGGGAGACACATTTGTCTACATTGTTGGGCACAAGCGGCCCGGATGATGAACAGTGCCGACTCTATGCCTTGATCCAAGATGGGAGATTCGTTTCCGACTTAACGAGCCCATGATGTTGTAGCCGACCGCCTGTCGTCTTGGCTCACGTAGCCGCCTAAGCGTCGTTGCTGCTAGTCCTTCTACTCCTTTTTCGAGATGTAGTTCGTCTGTTGGAACAAAGTGCCGGTGACCTTATTCTCCTTGAGTAGCTGAAGGTATTTTTCTGCCAGCAGTTCGTCAATTCCCTGGTATAGAAGCGCATCCGCCGAGGAGGGACTCGGCTTACCTCTCAGATGACCGCAGTTCTCCAGGTGATTCACGCCCTCACGCGAGTAGCACTTGCCCAGCTCCTCGCCCACAAGACGAACCATCATGGCGCCAACCCATTGTTCCCTGATGATAGCGTCTTGTGCCTGCTTGAACGCCTTGTTGTCGTCGTAGTCAACGCCGTCGAAGGTGGGGGGCACCTTTGGCTTCTGAGCCAGGAACATCGGCGACTCCGGGGTCGGCATGGTGAATGAATGGGAAATTGTTGAAGGTGTCTCGAGCAAAGTGGATGGTTAGATAGTTTTCAATGCGACGAGGCGAACCGGGTCGGTTGTTCGTGGGCGAGCCGATATCGATGCCGTTGTTAGCACAAGCTATCCGATGTGACTGAGGTTGGCAATATTGTGGCCTGGATTGACAGGCAGCAACGTATCCACGGTACGTATCGGGTTGTCGCACCGCCGCCATTCTTACCGCCCGGCAGATAGACTGGACATGCAAGAAGAAAAAAGAAAAAAAGAAGAAGGCGGCGGCAGGCTCCACAAAAAAAAATCAGCTTGAGGACCCTGCAGCTGCCTCGAGTTTCGCATTTAAATCTCTGCTCCTTCCTCTTCCCCGTCCCTTCCCTTCATCTTTTCACACCAATTCTTCAAGGAATCTTTGAAAAGCCCATTCAAAGTTCCTACTTCTCCCCGTTCCTTTACCAGTTTACACAGAACTCTACCCATCTATTACCATGGCCAAGTCTACTTCTGTCAAGGCTAAGACCAAGTCTGGGTCGAAGGGCGCTGCCGACCCCTTGACCAAGGTCAAGAATGCAGGCGTCACCAAGGCTGCTGAGAGCCCCAAGGCCAAGTCTAAGGCCCTCGCCAAGAACATTGCCGCCAAGAGCTCGAATGGCAAGGAGAAGAAGAAGAAGAAGCCCACCAAGGTCGAGACCGAGTCCGAGTCGGAATCGGAGTCTGAGTCTGAATCTGAGGTTAAGAGCAAGGAGGACGACGGTTCCGACTCTTCTGATTCGTCTGCAGACGATAGCTCGTCTGGATCATCTGACTCCTCCGAAGACGAGAAGCCGAAGAAGAAGGTCGCCAACGGCGCGACCAAGAAGGCCGCCCCTGCCCCTGCGACCTCGGACTCGTCCGAGTCTGAGTCTGAGTCCGACGGCTCGGAAGATTCCGATTCTTCTGAGGAGGAGGTTAAGCCCAAGGCGAAGAAGGATCTGAAGGTTAACGGTGCTACGAAGAAGGCTGCAGCCAAGAAGGAGTCTGCCTCTTCCTCAGAGTCGGACTCGGAGGACTCTGATTCCGACAGCGATGAGGAGGGCGGTGCAAAGGCCAAGGCTGATGCTGTAAGTTACCTGTCGGGCGTTATCCGTTGTGCATGTCATGTGCTAACTAGACGCAGGGTTCTTCCGATTCCGATTCCTCTGAATCCGATGCAGCTTCGTCCGAAGATTCGTCTGACTCTGACTCTGATGATAAGGAAGAGGAAAAGCCCGAGGCTGCTGAAGAGCCATCGAAGAAGCGCAAGGCGTTGGACGATCCGGTGATCCCGCCGAAGAAGGCCAGGACCGAGAACAACGGCGATCAAAGCTCCACCCTCTTTGTGGGCAGTCTTGCGTGGGCCGTCAACGATGACATTCTCCATGGCGCCTTCTCCGAATTCCCTGATCTTGTTTCCGCCCGTGTCATCACCGATAAGGAGGGCGGCCGCAGCCGTGGCTTCGGCTACGTCGACTTCGCCAACCCCGAGGCCGCTGCCGCTGCGCTCGAGGCCTGCCAGGGTAAGGAGCTCGAAGGTCGTGCCATGAACATCGACTTTTCCGGCGCCCGGCCTGCTCGCTCCGAGAACCCCCGCGACCGCGCCAGCGACCGTGCCCAGAGACACGGTGACACACTCAGCCCCGAGAGCGACACTCTGTTTGTCGGCAACATTTCGTTTGATATGGATCAGGACTCAGTCCATCAGTTCTTCTCCGGTGCTGGTGAAATCACCAGCGTCCGGCTTCCTACCGACCCGTAAGTATTCTGGATCCCCCTTCTTTTCTCGGAAGAACACTCTCTAACCTTCCTGTAGCGAGTCTGGAAACCTGAAGGGCTTCGGCTACGTGACTTTCAGCTCTGTGGAGGAGGCCAAGGGTGCGCTCAACACACTGAACGGACAATACCTCGGCGAAGGAAGCTCAGCCCGTGCTGTCCGCCTTGACTTTGCGGGCGCCCGTCCCCCTCGTGAGGGCGGCGGCCGCGGTGGCGGTGGATTTGGCGGCGGCCGGGGCGGTGGTGGTCGTGGCGGTGGTGGTGGATTTGGCGGTGGTCGCGGCGGTGGTCGTGGCCGAGGTGGATTTGGCGGCGGACGGGGCGGTGGCCGTGGTGGATTCAGCTCCACCAACCGGGGGGGTCTTGGTGATTTCAAGGGGACCAAGATCTCCTTCTAAGAGCATCATGCTCAGCCGCACAGATCCGTCCCATGTCACTTTGGTGACCATCTTGGGGTACTAGTTGGGCCTGTTTGTTTGAGTTTCGCTCCTCGAGGAGCTGTGGGCTTTGGCTTGCCTCTGATGAGGCTTATGGGACCTGAGGGCATTTTGATTATTACTTCTTCACTGTGGGCCTGTGGCATTGCTTTCCGACCTTGCGCAGTCGGATTCTACGACTCCAAAAGAGGGGCTTTACTTGAGTCATTATGAGGGCTATGATCGCACGAGATATCTACTGAAGTGGGCAGACGGCTTGGATCGCTGAGAGGTTTTTGGCACGAAGCTCTCTTGAGTCCTCTCGCGAGGCTCTCGAGGCGGACAAAACTTCGCGATCACATCTTCTGTGGGCTTTGTGGGCTTTCTGTGGGGCTCTGAGGGATACGCATGACGGCTCCGGCTGTCGATGAAGCTTATTCCCGTGAGCTATTGTCGCGCCTATGGATCCGCCTCGTTTTCTTAACCAGGCTGTTAGACTACTCCCCGGCGAACGTCTTCCATGCATGACTGCAGTAAGTATGCCATCACCCTGCTCGTTCCCAACATAGACCGTCGGAAGCTTGTCACTCTTGCTCAGGTAGGTAGTCACTGGAAACGGCGTTTCGGAAAGAAAAGTGTATTCGCAGAATAGCCCGGATTTCGGGGCTAATATGGACGGCCTAACCGTTGCTTTAACTTAAGTCTTTGCATGTTATTTTCTAACTTCAGAGTATGAATGAATACGCGTGTGACGGGTTGCTGAACTGGACTAGGGAGGACCTGGTCCAGGAAGATAAAGATACTAACCAAACCACAGCACGGTAGTCCACTATATAGTCTTGATCAGAATGGAATAGCTTCTTGATACGATTTTCCTATTTTCAATCCTATCACACATGCACGCTGTGTCATGTGTCGTATCCGTGACTATTATTTACTCTTGACCAACATTTCTGGGCAGTCGAGTGTTGACTCAAACTGGGAGAAGTCTGCTCTTAAGAACATGTTTCGATACCGTTGTGTTAGACAGGGTGTTCTCCCAAGGGACGAGGAACTGTTGGCGCCAAAGCAAGAGCAAAGACGACGCTAAATGGACTGCCTTCGAATAAGGGGCGATTAGAGCCCTTCTGCATATGGGTACTTTGACAGCATCAAGTTGGAACCTGCCTTGACTGGTTCGTGTCTAGTTAGTCGATTACGGTTGGTGGAGTTCTTCCGATGTCAAATGCAAGAGGTACATATCAGTAGTGATGTCTGTCTGGTCGGGTTTGCTCAGCGCAAGCGCAAGAGCGGGGTGGACTATGTCTCAAAGTGACGGGGTCGCCAGCCACCCAGGTCGTGGAAACACTACACTACATAGGTTGATCGAACTGAGGTCCCGGGGGTGCGTTCTACGGCGTACTAGAATCGCCGAGGGCTTGCTCGTTCGCATTGACATTTAGACATTTCGAAACAACGCGGTGTGGGTAGAATCGAGCTTCCTAGAGTTGGCAAGACGTTCGAGGAGTGTATGACGCTAGCAGTCTAATACGATCCTTTGTTCGAGTTGGATTTTATTAAGCAGCAAATCCATGACTGCTCGAAGAAGAAAACGTCAAGAAGCCATATAAAAAAATACACACACACACACACACACACACACTTAAATCGTTGACGACGCTTATCGCTTGTCTCGTCTTCCCCCTGTGATATTACCTAGACGGTACGTGTACTTCGTACTTCGCAGCGATAGGGACCACCTGACAGTTAGAGGCGGTCTGGTCAGATGGGAAGGCTTGGCCTTGTGCCAGGCTGTGAGTGGTCGATACGGCGGACCTGGTGTTATCGAAAAATCATGTGAGACTGTGCATTAGTCCAACTCATCTACACTGTACTCCATACTTATCCCAACCTGATGACATCGTAATTCAGACTGGACATCACTGTACTCCGCATTTAAGAGACCGTGTCAGTACGGAGTACCCCACTATTCTTTCTTAAGTCCGGAATTTGGGGGGCCGGTCCGCCATCCCCACCCTCAACATCAGTTAGCCGTCGCGTGGGCGCAAGATGATGCCAACAAGCATCTTGATGGTGCTGGCGGCCTAGTCCCCGTATTCAGTACGTGTACAATAAAGGAATAGGGCGTCTCAACATTCTCACCGATACTTTGTCCCATTTACGTAGCCACATGAAAGAAAACGGCTCTTTTGTTTGTCTCTAGTTCCTTTTCTTTCGTTTTCTTTTTCCCTGGGTTCGGTTCACGACGCTTCTGCCTCGTATTTGTTTCCCTTGTCTCCATCTACCTAACTACCTAAGGTACCTATCGCCTTCCATTATCTGTCCGTGTGTTCTGAGTTAGGAGCCCAGTACCAAGTACCTTCAGAGCACCGCCAACGCGGGGTTTAACTTCCTCTTCTTGGTCCTGGAGGCAGGCAACTTCTCCTATCCCTTCACTTGCCCAACGCTGTCGCTGTCGCTCTATCCCTCCATCCCTACTACGTACCCCAGGAGGCAGTCAACGTTCCTTCTATCATCCTATCGTTTTCACAAAGTGTTGGACATTATGGAACAACAACCGAGGCTTGAGCAGCCCGTTCGGGCCCACCAAAGCAATACGGCAAGGTCGACTCGGTCCCCAACATCTACAACAAGTTCTCCGCAGAGGAATGATGGTAGGTTTCTTGATTCTTTCTCTTTGTGTCTTGGGATCTTATAGCGATACTAATTAATACATTTCTTTCAGAGTCGTGGGTTGAAGTGTCCTCTCAGCCCTCCTCTTCCTCCCTCTCCTCTCTGGGGGACGATATCGTCACTACTGGCCTCCGAGTTGGCAGCTCCACTACTCGGCGTCGGCGTCCCCACCAACAACTCCCTGGTCCACCCGCCACCCCTTCCTTTCATGCCAACCAGACTGTCGTCCAAGGTGGCACCAGTAGTCAAGAAGAATACGATGAAACCGAAAGCGAGGACGATACACTGTTGACGAGCTCGACAGAGAACGGCCCGGTGCAACGCCGTCAGTCGTTCCACCGCCCAACCCGAATCGAACGGGATGATTCGGATGACGAGATTGCAACGGCTCTAGGTCGCGCTACGGGCGATCCTGTTTTCAGGCCCCAGCCGAACGCCTTCTCACACCCAGGCGGCCGTACTCAGCGGAGCTACTCAACGACCTCAGCCGTCCCATCCCACCCCCACAGCCGAGTGCGCCCTTCGCTGGGGCAAAGGTCAAACCCCCGCCCGCACCGCGGCGTGCCTAACTTCATGTCGCCATCCTACCAGGCCGACAACGACGAAGCCCTTCGCTCCTCGCTCACCACTCTCCTTTCATGTGCCGCGGCCGCTCGGGGCCTTCCCAAGCACAATCACGATCAAGAGGAACGCGCTCCCGCCGCCCCGGCCGGTGTCGGACCTAGCACGCAGCCTGTCGAGCTCCGACTGGTTCCTGAAGATAAGCTCGGGGAGCCCTCCGCCCGGGCTCCGCCCACGGCTCGACAGCCTCGATTGAAGACCCCGGCGGAGACCACGTCCCCGAGGACCGCGTCCTCGCCAAGTAACGCTTCCGCTGCCGCTGTCGCTGCCGCTGACCGACACAAGAGGGGAGCTTCGCCCCAGTCCCGCTCCTCTCGCGTCGCCAAGAAGAAGAAGGTGGTTGCAGTCGAGGACTCGACGGGGGGTCTTCTCAGCCCGACGCTCCTGACGTGGGTCATGAGCGCCGGCGTGCTGGTTATCGTGTCCGTCGTCGGCTTCGGCGCTGGCTACGTTATCGGTCGGGAAGTAGGTCGTCATGAGACCCTTGCGGCTGGTGCGAGCGCCAACGCTTCCACTATTGCGGCCGCCGACTCGTCGTGCGGCAGGGAGGTTGTCCGGTCGTCGGGAGGCCTGCGGCGCCTTCGGTGGGGTGCAAGCGTCGTGGCATCGGCCTAACCCCCATCCCCCCCCCCCCCCCCCCCCCCCCAACAAACCAAAACGAACCTTGCGCAACCGAAATTAATACCACATTTGCTGGGGACTCGGTCACAGCATATGAATTCACGCGATGATGGGAGGCACCTGTCTACGAAGCCGCAATATAGATGGATCCTTGATACCATTGCTTAGGGCTCGGCCAGGGATATTCTACGACACAGGATGGGTTGGCGTTAAACATATCCAACGGTCACGATCGCCAAGGCTTTGGGAGAAATTCCCCATTTTTTTTTTCCTCTTTTGGTTCCTTCCCTTTGTAACTGAGGTTCAGGCGTTTGGTATAATGGTGGTGGGCGATGAGGCGGCTTGGAATTCGGGGACAATGGAGCACTTTTACCTTCCTTCTCTGGCGAGACTCAAGCCAACAGCAGACATCTCACTTCTCGCCCTTTGGGCTACCTGGAAAAGGATATATTCATAAACGCTGTACGCACTTGACATGCCTCGCTCCTGGTCTTAATTTGGGGGCCGGAGGCGGCTGGGTTTGTCCCTCGACCGTTTGTTCCTGTCTCTGCTGGGACGGTACCAGATGTTATAATGGAGATACGGTAGTCAGTAACTCAGGTGCGCGAAATGAACATAGCATAGCTTTATTGGAAGTTACAAGTCGCCATGCAACGTCAATTTTTTTTTTCTTTCTCTTTTTCGGTGCCGAATTATAGCTGCGCCATGTCCATGTTCCCAATATTGACGCCCTGACGACACTCCCCGTAAGAACCTCTCGTAGAAAACGTACGAATGCTGCCGCTAGCCTCGTGGTCCAGTGGTATATGGCCCGGAGAACGAATTCCATCATGCGTATTCCATGGGCATGTGTATTCTCGATCCCCGTCAGTGACTGGATGTAGGCCAGCAAGCATATTCTTTCAACTAGTTCTTGCGTCACAAGCTCTTCACAACGCACTCAGATCAAGCGGCACACTGCTGCCTCTACCGGCGCGGTAGCGCTTCGTGCCGCCCACAAAGTCGCGCGGCTTAGGAAGCATGGACTCGTCCTGGAACTTCCACCGCGGATCGTGAACCACAAAACGACCACCGACGCTGTGCGTGCCGAGAGAGGTGGCGGAACCGTTGGGAGGCGGACTCGGGGTCGTCGGGCCGCTCGAGTTGAGGGTGAAAGCGCTTGGGTCGAGCATGTTTGCGCGCAGAGTGGAGCCGGCGCGGCTGCGAGAGGGCGGTGCTGGCGGGGGGGAAGGAGCCGCATTCGGGGGAGGAGACGGTGCCAAAACCGGCGGCGGTGGAGGTGGTGGCGGCGGCGCAGCGGTCGGCAAAGGATTATGGCTCGCGGCGCGGAAGGCAACTTGTGCTGCGAGATGCGCTGGGCCGTTGGAAGGGGGTGGCGGCGGAGGGGGCGCCGGTGCCGGTGACCGTGAAGGAGGGGGCACTGCGGAGGCCGCATGAGGAGGTGGCGGTGGTCGTGGAGCTGAAGAGGGGGGAGGAGGTGGTGGTGGCGCTGGTGGTGCTGGAGAGGAAGATGGAGGCGGTGGTGCTGGAGGCGCAGGAGCGGCGGTGGGCGGAGGAGGGGGGGCTGGTGCACCCGGAAGCGGAGGCGGGTTGTTGGCTAGAGATGAGGGCTTGCGTGATGTGGGTAAAGGAGGCGGCTTCTTCCCGATAGGGGGAGGAGGCCCCTTCTTCACAGCCGGCGTCGATGAGACGGCTGCCATTCCTGGTCTTCCTGGAATGGCGGGTGCTGCCCCGGGAGGGGGCCTGGGTGCTGATGCGGTCGGGAGTTTCGGTGCGGAAAAGGACCTGCCCCCCGATCCCGCTTCCGTGAGATAAGAAGCATCAGCCGACGCACCTGTATCAATACCACCGCGGCTTTTCTTCAACTTCGGCATTCCCCCGGCAAAGAGTCCGCCAAGCTGGGGCGCCGAATCCATCCCCGATGTTGGGCCATCTCTTCCACTCTGGTCGCTGTTGCTCCTAGCTCTATTTCCGAGGACCGGAGGTGCGAGGCCGCCGGGAGGTTTGGGCATGCCTCCTAAGCCGGGAATCGGTGGGGCACCTCCGATGGGTGGACCGGCTGCGTCGCCTCCTGCTCCCTTGCCTACGATAGGCGCCGAACGATCGTTGGTAACGGCCTTCTTCAGGGCCCGGCCCTTGCTGATGTCTTGGAGAAGGGCGCCCTATAAAAGTTATGAGTATTGAAAACGTCTAGGGCCGGCTCAGAGGATCATCACGTACTCGACCGGCACCTCCCGCTGGCCTCGCGGGCAAGTTCCCAGGCGGGGCACCCGGTGGGGGAGGAGGCGGAGGCGGAGGTGGAGGTCCGCCCATGGCGGGCATGGGGGGAGGTGGAGGTGGTGGAGGAGGAGGCATTCTGAAATGATTCTTTGGTCTATATTTGTTGTTGACTCTCGGGCCCGAACTGGGCGGTTGCCCCCAAGACCAAGGAAGCCTACTGATGGGAGGCCGGGAGCCTGAGAGCGGTGGACGAAGACGTGATGGATAGTAGCTGGCCTTGATTATCTGTAGGCCAGGAACGGAAGACTTTTATAAAGGACGACAGGCACTGTTTTCGAGTGTCAGATCCAGAGGAAATGGTGGGGGAAAAAAGTGTTTCGAACGGTGACATGTATCGGGAGTGAGGTAGTAAATTTGGTGTCGAGGATACAAATGCTGCGTCGTCATCGTGCTGTTGGTTGTCGCCCAATGTAAGGGTAGGGACGTCGAGGGGAGCGACAGCCACGCCACATAAGGTATTGTGCGGCACAGCCACTGTGTACAAACACCTCTTAGTCATGTGATCATATGGAGCCCTCGGTGGAGAATTTAACATAAGATATGGATGTACACGTGTACTAGGTACCGAGTTCAATTGTGGGGCTTCAAATACCTTATGCAGGCAGGGACCGCTTTCCTACCTAATAATACGTACGGGGCGTTATGTTCGATGGCGACCAAGAGCCTCAACTTTTTTCTGTCGTCCAGTGATTGAGACCATCGTCTTCACATCCATTTTTCTCCCCCTCCTCGCTCTTCCGACGCGCCCACTCCTTTGGGGCTAGGGGTTACTTTTCGACTTACCCAATTGACTGAAAGTGTTTCTGGTCCGACACGTACGAAGACTTCTCAGCGTCCCCCAATGCCTATAAACTGGATTTCGACCCCCCTTTGCGCAGACCTCTTCAATATCCGGTCCGCAGCGTGATACTCCACCGTTCTTATAAACATAGGAGGAAGCGAGCATGTCCGGAATAGCACGCAAGATGATATCACGACCATCGCTCAGCCGTGTGGCGCCGCCGTCGTCGCTCTCACTTTGCCAGCGTTGTGCCTCGGCACCCTCTCGACGACTACACATGTCGACGGCACCGACCGCATACCCCTCGAACAAGATTCCACAGCATCCGTGGAAGTTCTTTGGAGCCATTGCCACTAGTCAAAAGCCACGGCGAGAACACCGCGGCATCATTGGGCACGGGAAGAGGTGGCTCAGTTCCGATGCTCCTCAGGCGCCGTCGGCAGCCCTCGAGCCCGATCTGCGGAAACTCTGCGAGCTGGTGCGAAAGAGCCGGGGGCGGTTTCTCTCAACCGATGGGATCCCCACCCCGCAGCTCATTCTTGCTGCGCTTCGTACTTGCCAAGGTGCTGCGAATGCTATACATCCCTACCTCGCACAAATACCGCCCCGGTCACCCATGACCGCTTCCACCGCCTCGAACCTCCTCTCCCTCGACTTGGACCCCGCGGCATCGGGGACCGCAAAAACAACAGCAAGCGCAAACGCCCCGGCGCTCGTCAGGGATGCGATTGAGTGCGTTTCTACCTCCGCATACGCCATTGTGGCACATCCTCCGGTGTTCATCACGCCCGAGGTGTTGGATCTCTACGTGACTATCCAAGCTAGGCTTGGCAGGCCTGAGACATTGCCTGACGTATTGGAGCTCTTTGCATCCAAGCCCAAGCCGCGAGTCGTCGACGGCGCCATCAGTTACGAACCTCAGAACCCCAAGCGGGCCGACAGGGCAATCCAGGCGAGCACGGCCGAAGCGGCTCTGAATTGTGCCATCGAGGCGAGGGACCTGGATGCGGCCCTGGGTGTCATCGAAGCATGCTACACTACAGAGGCGTTTGTCCGCCAGAAGCTCTTGAAGAAGGCGTTTCTTCCCGTCAGCGTCTTTGGCGCTGCCCCTTTCGCTGCTTATGGCCTGGCGGCGACGCTCTCGACGTTTCAAAACACGATTGAGCCCGCTACGGCCACCAAATACGCGTTTGCCGGTGTCATGGCCTATGTAGGATTTACCGCGACCATCGGCATGGTGGCCGCCATTACCGCGAACGACCAGATGAAGCGGGTCACCTGGGCCCCCGGCACTCCACTGCACACCAGGTGGCTCAGGGAAGAAGAGCGAGTAGCCCTGGACGACGTCGCCTGCGCGTGGGGGTTCAAGGAGAAGTGGCGACACGGAGAAGAGGCGGGCCCCGAGTGGGATGGGCTGCGGGAGTATCTTGGACTCAAGGGGATGATTCTCGACAGGGTTGAGTTTATGGAAGGTATGAGTTGAAGGTCCGATCGGCAGACGAATCTCCCATCCTTGCAGAGATCTATCGATCGTGCTGCAAGGACATGCTCAAATCCAAGGTGCTCAGTTGGAATTACAACGCTGTATTATGCGACCGACCGCCACGCTTTATCAACCTGCCACGCGACCTCTCCTATTCCTTTCCATTCCTTTCCATCGGCCAACCAGCCAAGGGTTTGGTCTGAGACATGTGGTATCTGAGATGTGTTGGCGTCGGAGGCTTTATCAGAGCTTTATCGAGAGAACTCGTCACCTTTGTTTTGTCGGCCACCAAAAATGTTTCAACGTCATCTCAGAAACCCACCAGGGCCCCTGTAACCTCAAATTGGCCATGGCATTTGACAAGATAACGGTATCCGCAACCACAACCACCGTGCATCCCTGTCGGCATTGGGCGCCAACCAGTTGTGGATCCTGGTCTGTGTCTTCCAAACTGGACTGTGCTTCTTCTCTCTTTGCTCTGACAAACACACCTACCTACCTTACCCGTCCATCATCTTCGGATATTATATACCTCCCCTCCATTATTTGTACCCTACTTGGCTATTGGGCTGTCCCGATAGTTCTCCAATCTGGCGGGGTCTGCATCAGCTCTTCCGTTAGGTGGGTTGGCTAGCTTCACTTGGCTACGGTGAAGTGACACTCTAGCTAGGATGTCCACGAAGATATTCATCCTACTTTTGATAGAATGTACGACGTACGTAAGTAACCGGGGATGACATCCGTCATGCGGGCGAGAGTGACATGGGATCTCCTTGTCTGTCTGACCAAGCTTCTTGACCCACAACATTGTACATTATGCTTTACACACAGACATTGACAGCAACATAGTCAGATTTTCTTGGTATTGCAGTTTGACACAAACTCCTCCAAGCATGGGTTGAGTGTATAAAGAACAAGACATCCCTCTTCCCGTCTCTCCTAGTTAGAATGGTCTCCAGGACCATTACCAGACCTTCGTTTTCCTCGTGTTCGCTCTTTTTGTTTTCCTTTCTTTTCTGCTTTCTTTTCGCTCCATTCTCTCCTTCACAGCGTATTGGAAAGAAAGTTACTCTTGTTTTTGTAAATCGACAAGTCCGTATTATGGACACTTTCGTACCCGTCGACCCTCCTCGGTGTGCTCACTATGCCAAGTTTGCCTCTCACCTTTGGAGGTGGCAGTTTGATCTGATATATTGGACACTCTTCGGGTTCAATTTGTTTATATTGTTCAGTGCTGCCTATGCGTATACCAAGTAAGGGCTGCCCTCTCATCCTCCTCCCCCCCTTTTTTCCCCCTTGTTTCGCTTTTCTTCTTTCGAGTGCCTAAATCTCATCTGAATCACTAGAGTTGAGAGCATGTTGCTGATAGAGGCCCCTATCATCATTGTCCAGGTGTCTGGAAAAACTCGACAGCTACCCTCGAGACTGCCCCCAGAGAAAGCGGACGACTGTTCGCTGCATCATTTTCGCCTCAGGCTGCGTAGTCCTATCCCTCACCACAGTCATCATGGAGGTCTTCGCCCTATTGGCGCTCCAGTTCTGTGACGGCGAGGACTTGATGTCACTGTATTGGTCAACGTGGACGATGATGCAAGTCGGCTCCTTGATCGCGGTCTGTGGCATTATCCTGGCGCTGCTTCATAATCTGAGAGATCGAAAACATCCGTATGTGCCTCACCCTTCCTTCGTCTCTCTCTCTCTCTCTTCTCTATTCCCATCCCGCCCCCCCGGCTCATTGGGATCCTTGAGGAACAAGCAATAATGAAGGAACGAGAAAAGAAGCAAACGGCAAAGAAATCAATCTTCAGCTGACGCCGCCTCAATTGATCTAGACCATGGGCCCTTGCTCTTGGTACCCCAGTCCTCGTGGCAGCAGGCCTCTTTAGCTTCCTGCAGTCCTGCGCGTCCAAGAGGCTGAAACAATTCGACGAATGGAAACGCATTGCGAAGAAGCAACGACAACGAGGGAGAGACGGGGTGCTCGAAGAGGGTACAGTTCCTATGAGTCAGGTGTAAGTACCTCGCCTCGTACTCCGTTCTTTTGGTTACGCACAGACCGGGACGTGATCCGGCGCGCCGGGTTCGACCTACCTAAGCCCACACCTGCGAAGTACTTCGTACACCGCTCCGTCCCGCTTGGGCTTCACCGAGGTTGCCAATTTCCCCTAAAATGACAATCAAGGCTAATTTAGGACCAATCAACAGCAACACCATTGCCGTTGACAGAGACGACGACGACAAGGACGACGATGACAAGGACGACAACGGCGCCCAGGAGGGTGGCGCCCTGCGAGCCGAAATTATCGGTCTCACCCTGGACGGCGGCCCCATCATCCATTTTAATGAGGCTCTGCCAAGCCGGCTGCCCAACCACGCCCGGATCATTGGGCGCTGCGACGGCGGGAAGCCCATTGTCATATGCAAAAAGGACGGATTTCAGTTTGTTTACCGGACTGGGGGGGCCGCATCGCACTCCAACGACAAGCCTGGTTGAAAGACGAATCAAAAATATGCTAAGAAGTGCTCAGCCTCGAGTCTTCTGTTATCGAAGCGGACAGGCTCCCCAGGGTGCGCCAGGTTGATGGAAGAGGATCCCAACAAACTGACATTAATACGAGGTGCGGACGGACAGACGGACGGACAGACGGACGGACGGACGGACTACAAACATCCGAGCCGCTGGGGGTGGAAACAGAGGGAGAAGAAATGCAAATTCCAAGAAGGAGACGTCATCGCAAGGGCAACTTTGAAGTTTTCACTTCTTCACTCGGTTCTCCCTTGAGCCTCCTCCACCTCCAGTTAAAGAGTCGAGTCCCTTTCCAAGAGCGGCATATGAATCTGGGCCCAACTAAGCAAGCTGTCCGTCCGTACAAACCCTGAAACTCCCGTGTACATATATAGCGTCATGCATTAATATAGACTTGGACATTCCATGAACGGTTGCACAGAAGAAAAGAGCTCAGCTGTTAATGACTCATCGCCTCTCCGTAGGAATCGACTATGACTGGAACTTTGCTGCTCGTACATCTCGCGGAGAGACAAGCCAGACATCCTGACGTCGCCCACAGACAAACCAACCACCGGAAGCCAGCCAGTAGACAAGAAAAGGAAGGGAAAAAAAAATCTCAAGGTTGATCCGACGACAACCAAGGTACCTAGTGAAAAACAGACTCCACGCTACCAAATTGACGTCAGATATTCTAAAACGCCTCAGCCCAAAAGAAGGATCGGCATTAAGCCAAAAAGGACTGGACCAGGTGGGAACCGCTTTGGGAATCCTTGGAAAATATCCAAGAAGCATCGTGAAAAGGGGGAACAAGGAGAGTCTACACAATCTTGTACACACTCTTGGCGATCAAGTAGCACGTCAGGCCAAAAAGTAGCAGCCCGGCGGTGAGACACCAAAACCAGGTGAGCGTTTCGTATTCTTGGCCGGGAACGTAAACGTTCATGCCCCATAGACCGGTGATGATGTTCATCGGCAGGACGATAGTGCCGAGGACGGTAAGTTTACCGAGGACATCGGCTGTTTGCTCGGATCGCTCGTTCATGCGGATATTGATCTGAGCCAGGTAGTTTGCGTGAGAGCGAGCCAAAATCCTGAAAAGAAACGACCGTCAGTCACATTAGCAATACTTCCTGGAGCAGCCGGCAGGGCAGGGGATGAAGGAGCGGCGGCCTAAGAAAAGGAAAAGGAAAAGAAAAGGAAAGAAAAAAGAAGAAAAAAGAAGAACTCACTTCTCGTAGTGACTCAGGTTGGAGGTCATAGTCACAATGTGGTCTTGAATGTCTCCAAGGTACAGACCAATATCCGACCGAGGGGTGACCTCCCAGCGCTCGTTGCAGCGCTTGGCGAACCCCTTAATGACGTCCGCCTTGTTCCCTAGCAGCCGGTAGAGACTCATGACGCGCTTGCGGCAGTCGCCCACGCGCCGCAACATGTCGCCGCCCGATTCTCCCGTCACTCCATCCTCGACCCGCTTCTCGCTGTACGGTAGGCCATCTTTGATCCGCTCGTCACTTGAGGTGTGGAGTTGGAGGATGGCGTCATCAATGTCGTCTACCTCATCCTCTATATTTTGGATTAGGGGCCCAAACACGTCCGTGATGTCGTCGATGATGGCGTACGAGATCCAGTCCGAGTTGACGATGACAAAGTCCTTGAGCTGCCGAATGCGGCGGCGGACGTTGGCAGGGTGAGGCGTCATGGAAAAGTGGAAGCTCAAGACGCCCTCGCGGAAGACGATCACATACATGTTGACCGGCTCCAGGTAGTCCTCGCTGTTCGGGTTCTGATTGAAAGATCGGTAGTTGACAAAGTAGTAGTGCCGGAAGAGCTCCACCTTCTCGCGCGCCTCCTGAACCATGATATCCTCTGCAGACAGAGGGTGAATACCAAAAGCCTTGGAGAGCACTTTCATTTCGGCTTCCGTGGGGCACAGCACATCCAGCCACCAGACCGGCCGGTCGCCGTATCTGGGAGCCTTTCTCTTCGGCTCTCCCGTTGGGGACGTCCTGCGTGATGGCGACTTGGCTCCCGCTGGCGTCGGCGCGCCTGATGCCCCTAGAGAACTCCGCTTCGAGTCCCTTGGATAGCTAGGCTGCGCTTCATGAGGCCCCGAGCTGTCTGTGGTCTGCGTATTTGCCGTAGAGCCCTGGCGCGTCGACATGGCTGATGCTTCCCCACGACTCGTTCCACCCATCGATGGCTGATGCATAGTTGACCCCTCGGGAGACGGCTCCTCGTCACCGCTATCTTCCTCGCTGCTAGTATCCGAAAGAACGCGGGGTTCCGGTACGAACAATTCTTGGAAGCTTCCGCCGGCCTGAACAAGTTCGGAGATGGTCTGGCTGTGAACCGTGCTCTGAAACTCCTCGTTGAAGTAGGTGAACCGGTAAGGGACATCTTCTTCTGTCCGCATCCAACCGCGGTGGACATTCCGCAGTCGCCCATTGACAAGCTGCGGCTCGGTGATTCGCTTGACCTTCCGCCCCTCGTTCCGACCTTGCTCCATACGGCTCCACTCGTCGAGGATCGACAAGTCGGGCCAGACGCCGCGTCGACGTCTTGGCCGACGCCGGGCAGTCTCGACAAGGGGTTCGTCAGTCAGTTCCGGTTCCTCTGTCGGGAAACAGACATCCGCCTCGGCCTCCAGGGCGATTGTCTTGCGGCGAGAGAGTGCAGGAGACGAGGCCGTCATATGAGCGTCGGTGCCGGAAAGGACACCATCGGAATGGTAGCCCTCATGTGTCAAGTCGCCTAGTTGCGATTCCAAATCGTCCCGAATCATGACATCGCCCAAGGTGAAATCTAAGCCATTGGAGGCGTCCATCCGAGGCGACCCTGGAACTGAGGGAGGGTAATTGACATCAAGACCCAATGTTCGCGTCGCCGTGGACTTGCTAGATGGTCGTCGGCTTGCACGAGGTTTGCCACCTGCGATGTTGATATTGAAGGTCAGCTTCTATCATTCGCTGTATCGGGTTTCCCAGTCTCAAAAAGGGAAGGCCAATAAGAAGCCCATATGTGTTTAATTGCGTACCTATGCGCATGTCGGCTTTCAACGAACTTGACATCGGCGCCGTAGCAGTCCGGTTGGGTGATCGGGAAAGCAATGGGGCATATTCATCCAATGCCTCTGCAGCCTCTCCATCGCTATTATCGTCATGATCTTGAGCAACTCGGGACCGACTTGAGAGTTGAGGCTGAAAGGAGTTGGGCAGGGCTGCAGTGGAAGCCCTTCGGGGTCGAAGGGGTTGCTGGTCTCTGCAAACGACTATCCGTCAGCGCCTTTTGATCCAAAAGGAAACCTCTGCCAGGCCAGTCGCTCCGTGGACTACTTTTTTCTTCTTTTCCAGTCTTACCTGTGATCCAGCAGTTCTTCACTGTCCATACTTGTGCTGCTAGCATTCGTCCCCTGAAGGTAGAAGTCAGGGCGCGGAGACTCTGTGTCACCCGTGGGCTCTTCATCCTGCGACTCCTCTGGCAACACAGCAAAGGACTTCCTGCGGCTCCGCTTCTTCTTGCGTCCAGGGCGCTTCTTTTTGTTATGGGGTTCTTGCTGATCGGCAGTCGATACGGAGGGCGTGGGAGCAGATGTCGTCGACTGGATATGAGGTCGTGGAGGCACAGCCTGCGCCTCATCTGGCTTGAAGGAGTTCCTGCCCGACATTCTTGGGATTTACAAGTGGCGCGGGTGAACCTTTGCCTCGCGAGTTTGACATTCAATCTCACGGGATATGAACAGACAAACAAAGTGAGTATGAGTCTTCTGAAAGGGATCCGAGGTTACACGTAATAAGGATGTTTAGGCAGTGTTGACGTTGGCCGTTTCCGAGTCTCCAGTGTCGAGCAAGACCCCACCCCACGCAAGATGACCTAAACATCCCGGTCGGTGCAACGAGTGGTCAGTGCTTCACATAGCCAGGAGACAATGCCAGTTATTATTAGGTAGTGGATATTCCGTGTATTAAAACCCTAGGTAGGTAGGTACTGTACTTATAAATGGCATCTACCATCTAGGTACCTTTTAGGTACCTGCCTTATTTAGTTACAGTGTACTTTGTACACCATGTTCGCTTCCACACCTCACCGGGAGAACAAGGCACCTCCTATCTCGGTACCTATGTAGGTAGGTAAAAAGGATTTAACTTGAGAGCGTCATTCTTTCAGTGGGATACCCTACCTGGTATTGCTTCTTCCCCGTTACCTCTCCTCTAGCCAAATAGATAATTATAAGCACTCCTAGGCATATTTACCATTCGATCTTCCCTGTCATTCTAATATCAAAACGTTTGCCAGGTGGACTTTAATTTAGTGCTATCTGCCACTATCCGTCAGCAAGCTTCAGGTGAGATCTCGGTAATCGATCCGCAGGGATAGGTGTATGACGATCTCCCACGCCTTCCCTCTTGAGCATCCACTCGTTTAGTATGAATACAGGCGGTATATGTCCCAGATATTGTTCTGATTTCTTTTTTGACATTCATTTTGTACAGTGATTTACTATGTGTGTTATCCTCTTAGTCTTTCTAAGGTATGTAGTTGGTGAGACATATCGAAGACGCAACCCAAGTGTCTCAGACGTTCATTTTCCCTCCCCGTCGATGTCTCTCGACACCAACTTCTTCTATCATAACCCCTTATCCACACTTATACATCATGTCTTCTATCCTTGATCTGCTTTCTCATGCCATCATCTCATCATCAAACACCAGCATCATCCACAATGAACTTCCCTGTGGTCATCACCCTCGCCTGGAGTGACCACATTTCCAAACGCCCGCCCTTTTCCCAAGCATGCTAACCCCGGTTTTGTATTTCCCTAAGCTGCCAATCGGCCAGGCTTACCGACTTGGAGGATTTCGCCCGTCAGGCGGTCATCGCTTCGCAGCACCGGCCATGAGGCCCCGTCGGCCTTTGCCAATGTCACTTCGAGTTTGGTTCCGAGCACCTTGAACGTCGACTTGTCTGGGTCGATTTCTGCGAACAGAGGCACCTCGGCGCGGTACCGCTTCGGCGTCGGGGTATCGGAAGTGAGCAGATCAAGCGAGAGTGTTCGTGGGTGGAAGTCCACTTTAGCCTTGTCCTTGATGATCTTTTTAAGGAAGAAAGACGTGATGACCGTCGATGCGGTTTGGTAAAAGTCGGTCCTGCAGCGCGCTCTTGTCAGTTGGCTATTCCCGTAGTTCCCTGGTCGCTGATGCTTTGCATCGTTGGTGCATGCTAGTCTCAGGGAGTGGTAAATGTAGGAAGACACCAAGATGCATGGGTAAGCACCGGTTGTGCCATGATAAGGAACAGGCAAATGAAAGGAGACGACGAGGGCATCAGCTAATGCCATTATCCGTACGTACCTGACTGTCCCAAGGAGCTCTTCGCCTCCCTCGACAGTATTCCCCTCCGCCCCCGGCCCCCCTTTCTTCTTGCCGCTCCCCACGAACAAGTGCCGATCCTTCGTTTTGCATCCCTCAATCTTCATGAACTGGTCAAATTCTAGGACCCGTCGCTTGCAGCAGCTGTACCCCTTGCTCCCCTCGTGGAAGATGGGAGTGCCCGGGTGGTGTACGCACTTCTCACCCTCCCGACTGCCACCGGAGTACTTCGCTCCGCACGCCTTGCGCCGACAGGTCGCGCCGACGGGGATCTGGAGAGCCTGATCGTCCGACTCTGATTCCGGGGGTGGAGGAGGCGGGGATGGTGCCGCTTGTGCCGGGGAGATAGGTTTGCGAGTTGGTTGGACCGAGGCGGCCGCGAGTTTCTCAACGAGCGCGGAATCGGCCTGGGGCTCTTTCTGCTCGATCTTGGGCGGGTGGTCGGTTGTGGAATGTTTTCCTTCTGTACATGGCGGGATGGCCATGAACTCTTCGAACGTCAAGTAGCGGGGCTTGCAGCATTTCCAGCCTAAGTATGGGCACCGTGATTAGCGCATTGAACCGATAACCTCAAGAGCGAAGCCCCCGCATCGTGGCACGTGGTGGTGGCAGAGGCTATTGAGACGTTGGTGTGATAGTTGGATACACGGAGCCAAGCTACCAGCCGCGTGGCGTAAATTTTGTTACTCTCTTACCTTTCTGCCCCTCGTGGAAGACGGGCGGTCCAGGGTGGTAGAGGCAGACCTCGTCTGGATCAGTGAAGAGCTTGCCACAGCCCTGATGGACACACTTTTGAGCCATAATGGAGCGGTGACTCGAGTTCTCTTGACTTTGTGGTTTGGACTAGAATAGGAATGAAGGTATCAATTTGATACGGACTAGAGGGTGCAATCTGGAGGGGGGGAAGCGAGCGGACCTCGAAATATCTACCGGTCGGTGTGACAGATGGCGGGGCATGGAGCTACCATCGGCAAAGTACCTTTCTTCTCCGCGATTCCAGAATCCAAGGGAGCTACAGATAACCCTGTGCACAGGTCGCGTCATGTCACAGAAAACAGGTCTGCTTCGGAGAATAAAACATGGCGCCATCTACTTCTAGGGATTTCGCAAGGGTACCTCGAATTTAATATAGGTAAGGTAAATTTGAACGCTCAAATATGCTCGATAATGAAGTACAGGCCGAAACGAGACCGTGAAGAAAAGCCTGCTCGCTCGAAGGCAATTGGGATTGGGATAGGGAGAGATCAATATTGATAATACTATCACCCTGTTTTGGCAACAGTGCTATTCCGCCGCCCTCTCTTTTTCTTTCTTTCTTGGTAAAACGGAACATCCGGACAGACCGAACATGCGTCCAACGACACGTCTATGGCACTCCTGCCGCATCACCCTTTTCACCCGCGACAACTGCGGTCTATGCGTCCGCGCCAAGTCAGCCCTTTCCCACGTCTGGGACCGCCGCCCATTTGAGTACTGCGAAGTCAACATCAGCAGCCCGGACGCCAAACCCTGGAAAGATCTCTATGATTTTGACGTGCCCGTCGTATGTATCAGGAACTGAACGGGAGCCCTAGGCACGCCCTCAGGTCATACTAATATGGACACTGAATAGATACATCTCAGCAAGGCCTCCGCTCCAAAGGAAGACCCGCAGCTTGTTACGAAAGCTGTCAAATTGATGCACAGGTTTTCTCCGGAGGAAATACAAGCAAAAATGGACCAGGTTGAGAAGAGCCAAAGTTAGAGCCTGGGCAGCTTTTCTAGTCTAATCGTAATTAATTAACATGCCATCTAGCGGAATGGTTTGAAAAAGGCCATGTATTATCGCCAGCTGACTATCACCAAAGTAGCTGTCGTCACGGATGCCCAAATTGAAAGAAGAAGAAGAAAATCGCTTGACATTGTGATAATCGACCGACTCTTCGCACACGTCCCGTCAGCAAACGGCCAGAGGCCGGGTATCACTGTGTCGAGAATATGATAACTGAGTACCAAGACTAGGTGCAGCTGAATGTTCTCTTCCGCATCTGGCTGCAAGCGCGGAAATAGGTAGTAATACATCACAATCCTCTCCCGCGAGACAGTCTAGTTGCGCATGGCTTTCGTGGGCGGCCGGTTTATAGGCCACTCGCAAGCGGTGGACGTCCGATCCTGCCGTCTTAACAGACATTGTCTTACCCTCTCGGTCTATAAGGGTTGGTAGCAACACTTGTTGCCACCCCTCGGGGCACCAGACCCCGGTAACCTTTCCGCTGAAGCCAACGCCGCGGCGGGCTCGCGACCATTGGTCTATACACGAGACCCTTCAGAGATCCATCTTCTCTCTGCTCGAGGGTGGATAGGTGATAAGGATTGCCCTCGTTTAACCAGCGACCAAAGGCAGCAAATGTGCCCCGGAAATTAGTCCTGGAGGCAGCTTCGAGGAAAGAAATTTTGTAAGTGAGGAGTAAAGCCTTTCGAGTCGAATGTAGCCACTTACCCGAGATAGTCCTCTTTAATGCTGCCGATGGCCCACATCTCACTAACCTCGGACCGCGTGCCAATCACCTTCACTCGGACGTGGGTGCCGGGTTCGATCACTGTGTCTTCATTATCCGTGAATTGAGGCGGGGTAGCATTTGGATCCCACTTTATGTCGGAAGGAATCAGCTGAAGAGGAGTGTCATGTTAGCCCTGAGAGAACTCTGGGAGCGCTGCATTTCACATAGCCCCTTTGGCGCCTCGCCTCGCCGCGCCTCGCCTCGCCTCGCCACCTCATGCCGGTGGGGACCTACATGTGCAGACACGAAAAGGCGCAGGGGTCCAGCCTGGGCAAAGAAGCCCTGATGGTTGACAGAGTAGACGACGGCATCAACCTAGGGAGTGGGGCGTCATGTCAGAGCACAACTCCTGACCTGAGGCTAGGGCATAGAAAAAGGGCAGTACCGTCTCGCCCTTGAAGGGCCGCCAAACCACAGCTCGATAGCCAACGTTGAACTCGGCAAGGCCGCTGCCCGGTAGGATCTTTCCCTCGGAGATCTCAAAGGTGTCCATGATAGAGATCACGTAGTAACTCCCGGCAAAGGTACCCTCGACGTCCTTGAGGAGCTTGCTCGTCACAAGCTCATGCATATTACGACCAAAATAGGAAGGGTGCAGGGTGACCCTGCGCTCCATATTCTTGAGAAAAAACATGATGGCCGCTCGGAGGGACGTTGCTTGATTGCTCGGTTCGGTGGTGGATTGGCCGGACTAGGCGGCGGCCGGGCGGGCAGCCTCTTCGGGGTCGCCCTCGCGTTCGCGTACGGATATTGTAAGAGAAAAAGATAGCAATGCCTGCAAGAAAATGTCTGGTTTCCTCTGCGAAGTGATTTGCGTCTCCGCGCAACACCCGAGGAGTCAAGTACTCGATGATTGTGATCGTGTCTTAATTTGCGCCTGCTTCGGAGGGTATGATAAAGACTTTTCTTGCCAGATATTCCGCGTATGTTCGAAGCAGAGAACGTGTAAGGGCTGAGAAATGTGGCGTTTTTCGATGGAAAATAAAAGAATTAAAAGCGATATCGCGTGCTGGCAAGGAGTCAGATTCGTCGGTGTATCGACACCAAGATCGGGCGTGATGGGCGTGATTACGGTGAATGAATGCGAAAAGGCCCAGGCGCCTGAAGATAGGGAAAGAAAACAGAAGAAAAATGAGAGACGGAAAGAGCAATGCCAGTCTCCAATCTAACCTCCTTCAATGTAGCTGCCGATATGCGCCGCGTGGTGTGACAGGCGGTCTGCTCTGGCGTGTTGAAATCCCAAGCTACAAGGAAGTTCCGACAGAAGGGTAAAAAGTTGTTGCTTTGCAGGAAGCCCGCGACGAGGCTGACGAATTATTCGTATTGGGACCTACTCGACTCGTCTGGGGAAATCTTGCTAGGCTATCTGGAAGCAGCCAGCCACAAGTTACCTAACGTGGTCTGTGCATGTCGTACGCCATCCCTATCCGGGTATAGGTTTGTGTGCATCTGCATCCGTACCCGGTACGTACCGTAGTGGCTTCCAATTTTTGATCCTTGAAACTCGGTGAACTCACGAAGTGGATGCATTCACTCGCTGCAATGTCTTCGGTTTGTGCATATCACAAGCTTTCTCACGGCCCGTCGAGGGTAATTTTAGAAGTTACGTTACCGTGGTCTTATATTTTTCAACATAATCTACAGGCCGTCTCCTTCTCCTATACCTCGTAATCGCCCATTCGATCCCCAGGCTGATCAAGAGAAGGACCGGTGTCCCAAGTTCGCATTCCTAGCTGTCGAATTCTGGCCGATGTTCTAGCCGTTCCCCCTTAACTTTTTCCAGGCCCTTCGCCTGCTTTCCTTCTCCCAACATCTCTTCCTTCCGAGGTTTTTCCCATTAGATCAAATCCCCCTACAACACCGCCACCACCATAATAATTACCAGTTCACCAGTTCACGACCACTGTTACCATATGGAGAGCGCCTACGTCTTTTCTTGGACCGTCCGGACATCTTGACAAGATATCTATGTCCCTCGACGCCGCAACGGGGTGTCTTTGACTCGACCGATTTCGCGACCAGTTTTGCCGCCCTATCACTGGCTGGAACCATTGTTTCTGCTCACCTCGTCGTCTTGGCTCACCCCCTGTCTTCTTCTTACCTTGAGCCGTCACAGATTGGCTTGAGGCACCGTTGCATGGTTTGCGATCCATTACAGCCATCATGTCTCTCGACCTGGAAAAGCACTTGACCTTTGTGAGTTCTAAAGACTCCACACCGAGTAATAGATTTGGTTGTTGTCGACTACTTGTCCTGACCTCCATTCACGCATCCCGCCTCTCTTCCTCCCTCCTTTATTAACCAGCACGCCGCTTTTCATATAGTACGGGGCATATCATCATAACCCCGTCAATGTCGTCATGCACATGGCCTGTGTTCCCCTTATCTTGTATTCCGGATTCTGCTTGGTAAGTCAAAATCGTCTAAAAATACGGACACGGACTTGGCTCTAACTAAACCGCAGGCCACCAATTCGGGGACACTAATACCGTTACCCTCCTGGCTCACGGCCCCTTACCTGGATCTCAACTTGGGGACACTGGCTGCTTTGACATGGGGCAGTCTTTACGTTCTCCTTGAGCCCGTGGCCGGCACTCTCCTGGCCGTTATCAACCTGGCCGCTACCGCCTATTGTAATTCTCTGAGGCTTCACAACCCCGAATGGACGAATCAGGTCGCCATCGTAGTCCATGTCGCCTGCTGGATTCTTCAGTTCGTCGGCCACGGTGCGTTCGAAGGTCGAGCCCCCGCCCTCCTCGACAACCTTGTGCAGGCCATCTTCCTTGCCCCATTGTTCGTCTGGCTCGAATTTCTCTTCAAGCTGGGTTACAGGCCAGAACTTCAGGCTCGCGTCAGCAAAGCTGTCGAGAAGGAGATCGCCAAGTTCCGCGCTGCCAAAGACAACGCGGCTAAGAATGACAAGAGCCAATAAATAATCAAGCCGAGGTTGGGACCCTTTTTTTGACTTCTTCTTTGGCCAACCTTTCCAACCGAAGTCGCTGTCAACAATCGTATCACATTAGCATCCTTTTTTTTTCTTCATCACCAGTGCTGATCACTCGTGCGGCAACCCTTGATAAATATCTGGGAACGCACACTTCGCTTGATAGTCTCCTAATCCAACACCAGTGACGGAAACAGATTGAGCGTCTTCACTCCCCATGTGACGACAGTGAGCTCACAAAGTGGAAGGGGGATTTTATTTGATACCTGGAGACACTTCACCACAATATCGCCTCATATTCAATTCTACCTTTGCATACCCGGGGGGGGGGGGGGGTTAATCGTGACGCAACTCCGAATTTGGAATTCACATCATGTTTTTTGCTACTCCAGCTTTCTTTGTCGTTCTCGAGCGATCGATTAAACTGTACATATATCTGTTTATCCTTGGGACGGGACAAGATCATCCCCTTTGTGCATTACTTCCCCTTTGTCTTGATTTGCGATCATGTCCCTCTTATCTGCTGAGGTCTATCTCAACCCAACCTTGATTCTCGACTCGTTTAGAGTCAGCGCAGACAAATGATTCGTCGTCGGAGTCCGAGTCGGCCAAGCTTCGCCCGCCGTCGCAGCGGTACAGGTGAGCCAGCTTCCCAGGCAACTGTTTCCGTGAGCTGTCTCTCGTCTTGGCGGCAGGTCGTGCCGATGCGGGGGTTCTTTCGCCGTTGTCGGTAGATTTCTCACCCTTGCCCCGTGTAGGTCTCCTGACGGGATCGGCGGTCTTCCGGGAACCCGATGCTTTGGGGCGCGCAGCGCTCGTATCGATACGGAGATTCCGGGGATTGTTGCTACGCCCGTGTCGCTTGTGCTGTGGGCCGTCAGGGTGCTGATTCTGATTCTGAGCCGGCCTAGATGGCCTCGTCGCACCCTCATGCGTCTTCGACGGTCGTCGAACCTTGTCCTTTGTCCGTTGGTGGTCGGGCTTGGGTTGAGGCTGCCCATCCCTCTCACTGGTAGGATACCTGTTGTCTATGCGCCTCTGGGGACTGGCATCTGGAGTATAGGCCTTCGTGGAAAGAATACCGAGAGTCTGATAAACGTCGTCAGCATGCATCGTCGTCGTAGGATCGACGATCTCTGTCTTGACGGCCGTCTGTGGCCTACGAACCGGCTGTAGGGGGATGGGAGGCAGAGCCTTGGAGATTGGTCGTTGCTGCTGCTGCTGCTGCTCCCGGTGCGATCCGTGCCTCTGGTCCTTTTCCGGGTTATTGTCGTCGCGGAGTGGCCATGGCCCGCCTACGACCGGAGCGGCCTCGAAGCCCGGGAACGGCGCGGAGCAATGCAAACAGGGATGTGGTTTGCAAACTCGCATGCGGATTTTCTCGCAGGGCTTGTCGGGGCCGTTACCGAAGACTGCAGTGATGAGCGGGTAGAAGCAGCTGGTCTTGTAGCGCCATGTCCTGGCGCAGTTCATGGGTCGTCTTGAAGCGTGCCCGCACGCTGAATGTAAGCTGAGCTCGACGCACATTTTTGTTTCCAATCCCCGAGTTGCGACTCACCCTTTTAATGGATCCAATGAGCCCAAGGACGAGTCTTCTCAGGTGATATTTAGAGCAGACAGGTGACTCTGGTGCCTATGTCGAGTGAGAAAGAGAAACAATGGGCTTCCTTCCTCTCGTTGAAGTATTGGTGGGTGTTGAAAATGATATAAGGTAGTCAATGGAAGAGACTCGAGGGGTCAGTTCTCTAGGCACATCCGGGACTTTATAAAGACTTCGCGGTTCTCTAAACAACTGGCATTATCTGGAACAAAACATCGCGACATGGCACCCAATGGTTTTGTCCACGTACAGACTGTGAACTCCTTATCTGTACGGGAAAGGAACAACACATTCTTTCTGGAACAAAGAGGATGTCTACGAAAGTCCGAAGAAAGAAGACAGGAACTAATACGTGGGAACTGATCGACTCTTTGTTTGGGCATGGTCGTTTCTCTGAACAATGAAGGTGCTCTGTACTGCAACCATTGCATGAACTCACTTCGGGAACTCCCTTTAACTTGTCCTGGTCTTGTAGGAGCTGAATACCGTACGGATCTTACTCGAGAAGAGCATTATTTCGAGTCGCAACCATCAGTCCAGACAAGACCAACATATGAGCTAGTACAGTAGAAGATTCTTCATTTACCTGGTCACTTGACAGATCAGTCACGTTCTGGTGTCTGGTAGATATCATAGTGCCCCCTTTTCCGTGTTCACCACTATTTCAGCGACTCTCCCGTGGGATCCGAGCCAGAGGTTAATATGTCTCGCAACTTCAGTCCTGGCGAAAGCTTCTCCGATGTCATGGATGGAACTGCAATTAAGAGACTGGCGCGGTATTTCAAGCGACGAGCTGAACATCGACATCGCCCAGGGGAGAACACGCTACGCGGAACCAAAATCCCAAACGTCTCTGGGTTGCGTAGAGGGTCTTTCACCCCGCGGGAGCAGAAAGTCATAGGAAGCCCTTTCACTGACGAAGAAGGCAGTTCCCCTTTCGATCCACCATCCCCCGACATAACCTTTCCCGTGTATCACCGCGGGTATCGCTCCCGAGGTGGACCAGGACCACGAAGTACAGCATCACCACCCACGTCCCGACAAGTAACGGAATTAGAAAATCTGCTAAAGATTTCCTTGCCGTTGCCCTCTCGACAGCCACAGAATCATCGCGATCATAGCCCGTCCCCTTTGATCTATCGAGAAACCCCCGACAGTCATCCCAGAGAGCTGATAAGGGACGAACGAGGGGCGCGGTTGAGATCGGTTCCCGGAGGACGAATATTCGTCGTCCAGGGTGATCCACTGCTGGCTGCAGCTGCAAGCTCTGCTGTGCTCATAAGCGAGAATGCTGAAGACCGCCGCCCAACACGGAGTAGGAACTGATGATCGACATCCTACTACATGCGAATGCCTGGGTGTTGTTGCTGGCACGAGGAACACTCACTCGCTCATAATTATGGACAGACCGCTGTAAAGTTGATATTGGAGCAGGCTAGTATTCGACCGGAGGAGCATAGAGAGTTCTGACTGCGAAAGTGAGGCATACAGTCCCTTGATCACAATTCGGCAGTAGTGGTAGGCAAGTCTGTAAGCCGGCTGAAATAGACGGGACGGTTATTCAGCAACAAGCTATGGTAATTACGTCGATTCGAGTCAAGTAAGTGCCGTGATATGCACACAAAGGGAAAAAGAGTGAAATCCGGGGAATGTCAATCCGGGGAATGTCAATCCGGGGAATGTCTCCTGAGGGAGAGCCGACAGTTTGGCATGAGCTCTTGCGGTATTAGGGAATGACCCGGGCAAGGAGGGTATGTGATCGCCACGAGCTAGAGACGTGCCGTGGTTTTGAGAGTGGTGGATTCAAGTCAGATCATCCGGATTGCGAGACAAGAAGCCCCTAAAAGAGCGATGCCAGGCTGAAATGATTGTCATTGTAGTTCCCGGGTAGCGGTAATGTCTCACCCAACGGCACGCGTGTTTATGCTAATCAGGGTCCCCGAGGGCGCAGATACGAGTAGCAGACAATCCATTCCGCGGCGATTGAGATCGCCGAGTACATTCCATCGTATCTGTCAGCCATGATTGAACATAGTCGCGGTAGGAAACCCAGCAACATTCCCCAGCAATGGGGCGCAAAGCTGTCATATTACCGTGACAAGGGCCAAGCTGTAGATATAAGGGAGGAGACGAGACCACTGGACGAGCATGTCAAGGCCTGCGTTCTCCAGATCGAAGGGGAGAAGACGAAGCTAAGACAGAATTCCATCCTCCCGAACGTTTGGCCCGGGGGATCGTGAACTGGCCCAGAAGAGATCAACCTGATCCGCAATTCAAAATCATGCAACATTTTTTTTTACCACATGAAAGGGGCCGAGAGAGAGACCGAGTGCGTGCAAAACTGGCCTGGAAACCTCAAAGTCCGTCGATATAGAGAATCATGGTAGTCTGGCGCCATGATGAATGGGTATATAAGACCCGGCTTCCGGTCGTCAACTGAGTGAAAAAAAAATATCAGCATCAACAACCACAACCTCTTCAGCCAAGCAAATTAGAACATCTCTACAAGATAGCATAAGCTTCAACAGTCATTTTAACACATTCTTCACATTCTTCCCAGCAACAACTTCACCATGAAGGCCACCACTGCCGCCATCGCTCTCACCGCTCTCATCGGCGCCGCTTCGGCCAAGCCCGTCGAAATGGAGAACAAGAACATGATGAACAACGCCGCCGAGAAGATAACCGATATGCGTGTCGCCGAGCGCCGCAGCTTTCTGAGCATGCTGATGGGCGGCGACGACGAGGAGGCCGAGGAGGCCGTTCCCACTGAAACCGTTGATGTCTATTATGGACAGCCTGCCCCCACGGTGTCCATCGAGGCCCGGGCTGCCGAGGCGAGCGAGGCCGTTGGCGGGCAGGACACTTCCTCCCCGACATCAAACACGTCCTGGAGCTCGTTGCCAAGGCCCAAAGCCTCGTTGGTAAGTCAACTGGCCGACGGATGTAAGGTGATGAGCAAAATCCAACTGACAACTGTTGCTCAGACGCCGGAAACGCCAACCCTGCCGAGTTGAACAGCATCGTCAAAGAGATCACGGACGCCATCAACCAACTCACCGAAACCGCCGGTCCGGTCTCTAGCCTTGTGCCTGGTGGTCTTGCGCCTGGTGGTTCTCATGTTCGCATTATCGGCGATATCCTTGCGGCCGTTCTCAGCCTTTTGAGAGGTCTCCCTGGAGGTAAGTCGAGAAGCAAACAACCCTCTGTTGACCTTATTCATTGAGTTCGGAAGAGGCGCTGACCCGGGAACAGGCAACATCGCCAGCGGTCTCGTTGACGCCGCTCTCGGCCTTTTGCCCGTCGACGGCCTCCTCGGCGGCTCTGGCGGCAGCCCTCTTGACGTCGTCGGCGATGCCACTGGGGGGCTCACGGGCGGACTCACTGGCGGCAGCAGTGAAGGCAGCACTGGCAGCCTCCTCGGCGGTGGTGGCCGTCAGTAAACACCAGCGATAAACGCCGGCCAGCCCTGGGCTCATGGTAGCCTTTCTCTTCACGGACTGGAGGATTTTTGGGGGAGAAATTTTACCATTCGATCATGTACCTTATGATTCGGACATGGGCCGCATCACTTATGTAGGCAACGAATTCAAGAGCCAATTTTGCTTTTTACTTTGTGGTCTTCCTTGCCTTTTGTGCCATTTCTTTTGAACTCCCAATCCCGTGCTTTCGCAACTTGTTGTTTCTTTCCAGAATTGGACATGTTGTAAATCGTCTGGGGCTCCCAGAATCCAATGCACTCCAGTTGATTATCGCCCGGAGACGAAACGATTTATTAGGCGACAAACAATTTTACCTTAAAGGTACGTACCATATTCACCTCTAAGGTAGGTACCTTAGGTAAGGTACTCAAGCTCTTATCTTATCTAGGTAGGAACATCGATGTGGATAGGTAATTCGTCGGATAGGACCGTGGTCGGAATAAGCAAGCTGCAAGCTTCTGTGGGTACTGAAAACGACGATATAATTAGGTAATTACGCCTTGTAGGATTGTTGTTGCTTATTACCTAAGGTACCTTAAAGGAAGAATCTCCTCCCCTCTACATGTAGCAGTAGATACAGTAACCCCGCTCCAGGGCGGGTTACGTAATCCGCCTATCAGTACCATAAGCTATAGGCGACATTTCGTGACCTCATCCCGTCCACTGGTCGATGGAAGAAAACAGGCCCCAAACTCGAGAGACTGAGCAGTGATGGTACTTATAGTACAAGCACGCACACCAGATCGGGATGATCATGTTCCACCGTCACCTCCGACCACGCATCGATGCGTGAACCAACCCACAAACACAATGGATGACAGTGATGGCTACCTTAGGTAGTTTCAACGAATCGAACTCGGGAGGTAGCTGGCTATAGCTTCAAGGAGGTGCGCGATTCATACGAGGCAGGTCGATTACGAGTATATCTTGTCGCGTTACATGGCCAGATTCTCCTTCCGTGTCCTACGACTTCGAAAGGGCTTTGAATCGAAACGTCGGTTTCCATCTCACCAAAGCTTGCACTCCATTAACTGTCTCCTTCTGTCGGTATGGCTCGAATCGGCACGGTATTTTGGGCTGGTCACGGCTTGTACCGGCACCACCCATCTCACCAGAAGAATCCCGGGGATTGATCTCAACATCCGCCGTGTGCTAACGCGGGGTAGCTGCTTGGTTCCTAGTACAGTAGGACGAGCTTTACCGCCCATACTTCCTTTCCTTGACACCTCCCATTGGCAGAGTCATTTGGCGGAAGAGGTGTGGTATGCATACTCCAAATGCAAACAGCCACTCGGAACTTGTTGCCATGACCGTTCTGAGTACCTGCCTCGTCTACTTGCGTGCATACCTACCTACCTTTCGGAGTACGCAAGTGTGTCTCTTGTATTGATCCGCCCATGTACCCATGCGTACCCATGCTTTCCACCCTAAGTCATCTGAATACATCATCCATGTCAGTGACGGACGAAGACACCGCTTGTTATGTATCCCTGGGTACAGGCTCAGGCGACTTGGAACCACCATCTTTTCTTCTCGTAATGATATATATACCCTCGACGCTTGCTCCCAAATTTCTCCTCTTCCGTTCTTAAGCCTATCCGTAGAGCTTCTACCGAACACGCGACACCGAGCTCGACCACCAAGCTTATCCGGGTTGTCATAAAAACCAAGCATTCCATATTTATACGATTCGCATATAGTAGCCATCACCCTTAACATGGATCCCTTAAGGCCGGGTGAAAACCAGCAGCAGCAGGGGACTTCTTCCACTGCACGCAGAAGAGTAACTTATACCCAGCCTCTCTTTCCGCTTCCTACTACTAGAGGGCGTCGTGGTTGCCTACGGGAGTTGCAGACCCTAACCGCGATGGCAGAGCTCGAGTGGCCTTTTCCAAGGCCTCAAGGACGCAAGGCGCTATCCCGCCCCTTCCACTCGCCGCCAGAGCTTCAACGATCAAAAGCCTGAACCTGGAATTTTCGGTCGGCTTTGGCGCAGGTAAGCATGCCTTGGGGAGATGCTTGAGCTACACCTGAATCCTCGCGTGCTTCCACCACTCTTTTCTCTTCCTTCTGTATTTTCTTCTTCTTCCCTTAATCCCC